TTTGGTTACTTACTCCAACATATTGAGTGTTATTTAAGGCTCTGATATATCCATTAGCATCTTAGCAAAAGTTAGATTTTAAGTTTAATAAATCTAAAATAAAAATGTTTAAATTTTTATTAAATATATAAAATAATTACTTGCCAGATAACCCTATTAATATGCAATATTGTCTTAAATAGCACACATTTTATTTTCTGAAATATATCCTAAGTACTTTTAGGACTGTATATATAATGCACATAACTGTTGGCTATTATTTTTACTAAGGCAAACATTATTAGCATCATTAAAGCAAGTATCTACTTAACTCGTTATCTAGTTATTTACCAAGCATTAAAGCTATATATCTCTTCCAATGTATTATTGAATTGAAAATTAATAACATTAACTATTTAAAATACAACCGTTTCCTATAGACCCATAATCTATTGTAATTTAACATTTTTAAGAAGCAGAATCATAACAAATTGAATTGGTTTTATTTGTACATCTATTAGATTTTAAATTATATTTATGGATATGAATAATCTACATATAAAGCCAAATATGTATTATTATTACCTCTAAGCAGAAGATGTATTGATAGCTAAACATTCTCCAGTAGAAGTTATACCTGCCTAACCCTGAGATCCATCTAGAAGAAAGCATCCTTTTCCATCACCATAATAGAAATAATTGGGATAAATTTTAAAACAGTGATTTGATTAACATTTCTTAAAGTCTATTTAAAAGCATAATTTGATTTTAATAATTTCTTCTTATAAAATTTAAATTACTTGGTGAGATTTAACCCCTTTCTAAACAGTAACCATTTTAATCTACTCCCTAAATTAATTTTGTAAGTATAAATATAATTAATAAATAATTTTACTGATGCAATGGTGTCTTACTCAGTTAACCAATAACACTAACCGTTATATAAACATGTATCTAAAGTTTCATACGCGCATTCAATTGCACGATATTATCGATCAATAGCACACTTTCCATTTTCTAGTTTTGATATTAATTTGCCATCAAAACCTATTTGCTTGCATTAATTACTCGAAATGCAATAACTTAAAAAACTTAAAGATTCTTTTCAAAAAAAAAAAAATTTTACCCTTAAGAGCAAAAATCTATTTGTTAATTTGGAAGAGTGTCAGCTTTTAGACACCTTTAATATTACATTTCTCTACCAGCATAAGGAGTTTATATCATCCTAATTATAAAATTATCATCCTAGCAGTAATTTTTATCCAAATTAGTGATAACTAAAAATTATTATAATAAAGATTTATCATTAAAATAAGTATTTCAAGTTTACTTTAAAATTATTTTTATTAAGAAGAAGTTGCTTAGTCTTTTTATGCACAAAAACCAGACGAATTTATAAAACCTAAGTATCCTCTTGACCAGTACCACCAGTAGTAATTTATGCATTATGATTAATCGCTTTTTTAACATATGTTTTAAGGATCATTCAAACAATTCTAAACTAATCCTGTGCTTGGCGTTTATTCTGAACTTAAACAATTAAAATTTGTATCTCTACCAACATACTAATACAAATTCATTTAATAGCAAGTTCCATGTAATTTGCAATAATTATTTCTAGATGATATATTGATTTATATGCATGTCTATGAGTAATAATCATAACATATATAATTAACCTAATCAGTACATCTATTTTCATATATTAAGTTTCAAATAAATGTATTTATAATTTTCAAAATATAATAAAAGTAAGAAAATCTTCTTCTTGAAATAATTTTTACCTTATTGCTGGATATTCGTTTAATCTTAAGCAAAATCCATCTTCTGTAATTCCAACTTAATAGATTGACCCATCTAAATATGCGCAGTAATTCTATTATGAATCCTTAAAATATTTGCAATGGTCTTATTAACATTTTCTCATACCTTTCAATTTAAAATGTTTATTAAAATTAAATAGATAATTTATATTACTATATGTTATTTAGCCTCTTTATAAGCAGTTTCCATTATTGTCTTATCCCTTATTATAAAATTTATTTTAAAAACAATATTATAAGAAATAAAAAAGTGTACTGAATATAGCAAATTCTAAGCAGATAACCAAAAACATTGCTAATTTAACATACATACATCCAAACTTTAATAAGCACATTCTATTGCTGTGGATGTTTAATCTAAACCACATTGTTAATTTGAAAGTTTAGCAATAAGTTTTTTATCAAAACCAACAGGTTAGCATTTATTATTTGCAATACAATATCTATATGTTAAAAAAATAATTTTTATGATTTCTTAAATTCTAAACTTACCCTTAAACACAAAATTCAATTTATGAGGACTATGATGTTTCTTACAGGCATAATTAGTTTACTGAATCTCTTCCAACATATGGAGGTAACAATTATTAAATTATAAATTAATTATCTTAGCAATATCCTTTGTTCAAATTAACAATAACTATTTTTTAATTTTAAAGTGTTGAACTATTTAAACCTACCGTAAATTATAAATTTACTTTAAAGAGCCTAATTGGAAGTTTGTTAACCTAATTAAGCACAAATTCCAGTACTTTGAATACACCCTAAATACTATGAAGATTTAGCATACAAGATACATTATTTCTTGTCACTTGTTAAGCAAATAGTTTAGGTATCATTAAAACATTTATCAATAGTACCACTTTAAGGAGTTTAATCTTAATAAAAGCATTTATAATTAGTATCTCTACCAATAAATATAGATGACATTGATTAACAATTACCTCCTTAAGAACATCCATTACCAACTAATCCATAATCCACAGTTTATTAACATACTAATTTAATACCATCAAAACAAACAATTGGCAATTAAGCACATCTAAATTTTCAATAGAAAATAATTATTAAAACATTTAGTTTTAAAAAATTAAATATGCCAAAAAATCAAAGTTTTGTTTTTAAAAAAGTAAAAAATATTTAAATTTTTAAATTCGTTGTTAAATAATGAATAAAAATATGAAGGGAGGAAGGTAAATTAAAATCATAGTAAAAATTAAAAAGAAAAAAAGGAAATTTTAGGTATTTAAAGATATTTGAACATTTTTAATATTTCACTCACTCCCTCCTCCTTTTTTCAAATATTTAAAATTTATAAAATAAATTAACTGTTTAGCAATTCCATTATTATAATCTAAGCAATTTTATGAAGAATCCGATCCAGCAAATCTTGGTTTACCATCCAAAAGAAAGCACCCAAATTATTAAGGTTAAGTTGAATATTTGCAATGATAATCTGCACACTTCAAAACACCTAATAAATAAATTATAAATGATAGAAATGTAATTAATTAAATGAATCCTACCTATAGAAACAGATTAATTCCTAGATAAACAGTTTCCATTTATGTCAACTCCCTTTTTTAGTATAGAAAATTTATTTTATTTTAATGGTAAATTTTATTTTATACCGAAAAATTTGTATCTGAACTAGATAACAAATTGCATGTGCCATTTTTTAAGCAGTAGTTATAAATTTTGATGGCACATTATATAGAGCCAGGTTGTTAAGCTTAAGTACAATAACCGTTTTATAATTTAGCTATTAATACTCCATCAAATCCAATCGTTTTGCAACTATTATTTGCAATACAGTAACTGCATAAATTAATATAATTAATTTAATTTTCATTTGATAATTATTTTACTCATTTGCACATAATTCAACATTTTGGTATGATGTTTAATCAGCTTTTAGGCACCTTGAATATTACTAATCTCTTCCTGCATATACAGGAAGTATAAGCTAAATTGTGTACGAATCATCTTAACAATAATTTTGATTCAAGTTGATAATACCTTATTTTAAATATAATAAATATAATTTTAAATTGAGTATCAATAAATTTACTATTAAAACCACTCGTTGATATTTTAGCACCAATTTATGCACAAATTCCTGTACTAGAAATTTTTCCTAAATATGTAGAATCACCTAAATAGTAAACACAGGTCAAAAGATTACTTGTTTTGCATATATAAGTAGAATCATAGCAATTTATTAATCCATACGAACTTTACTATAAGTTTTGTAAGCACTAATATTTATTATCTCTACCAACATATTAGTTATATGACATTTAATAGCAAATTCCATTTAAAATACAAATATTATTGAATGTAGAATTTGAATTAATTCTAGTACATTTCGAGGTATAATAATCCTTACAAATATCAAATGAATTATAACAACTATTATTAATTTAATAAATTTTAATAAGTTTAAATTAATTAAAGAATCAGAAATATCTATAAATATAAACTTTAACCCCTCTTAAAAAGGTGTAAGTTAAAATTTTTCTAATAGACTTATTATAAAAATAAAGATAGGAAGGTTGTTTAATTAATTTTATTATTTAGAGTTTTTGTAAAAATAGAATTGTTTAAATATTCTTTTAAGGTTTTCATTAAAATATTTTATAATTTTAAATATATGTTCTTAAATAATATATTAGATAAATTTAATGTAATAAATATTTTTACATAAATATTTCTACTTATTTAAATGAACTTTAAATATTCAAAGATAAATAAATGTTCCTGAAAAAATCAAAAAATCAAAAATTATTTTACCTAGATGCAGCTATACTAGAATCAGTACAATTACCATTATTGTCTATTCCAATTGCACTCTCAGATCCATCTAAAGGAAAGCAACCTCTTGCTCCAGATCCAGATTATTATTTAATGCAATAACCTTAGACACATGATTCCAAATCTGTTTTATTTAATATAAATAAAATTATTTTAAATATAAGAGAAATATAGATTTAATTAATAAAAAGTAATACCATTATAATATTAATTTGCTGCAGCACAATTTTAATTATTTAATTTAGCAGGACTTTAAGAAGACATTTAAACACAAGAAAAACCTTTCAAACAATACCTAAAAGATTAAAATTAATTTATGGAAATAAATTAGTGTTTTTTATTGATATAAAATGCGTCTACTATGAAGAGCAAGAATTTAGTTATAAAATAAATGGATATTTTTTGTTTTTGATCTAAATTAGACAAAATCCTTCTTAGCTAATTCCCTTTTTAATAAAGAACAACTAAATTACATTAAGATTAAATATTTAAAAATCTATACGTATATCTAAGGATTATTCGTTCCATCAAATTTCAAACAACTTTTTTATTAATCTTCTTAAAAAATACAATATTACGGCTTGCAATTTATCAAAGTTTCTTTTGGAAAATATTATCCTTGATAAATGCACTAATTATCACCAGTCTTACCCTTAATTAAAGATGTTTAAATTTTTAAAATATCATGATTGAAAATATGTTTCAAAATTACAACAATGTTGGAATTCGAATAATTTATACAAGAGTACTAGTCTTAAGAGTTTTTTATTTGGCATACGCTTTCATTACAATATACTTTGTGAAGATACAATTCATTTTAAAAGACACAAAATCCAAGAGAAGTAATTCCCTGTTTAATAAAATCAAGCTATTAAGAAAAGTTACATCAAATTAATTTAATTACATCCACTTGATTTAGATCTAAGCATTTATTTTTACCCACTAAATAACAGGATGTTCTATTTCGTATAATTCTTAATTAAGAAATAAAAGATATTTTTTATTAAAAGTTGATTTTACTCTTATTTACACCTTCTAAATTATCCACCTTCTAAATAATTGCACAAAAATAATACTGATACATTTTATTTTGCTTGACCTAATTTAATTTGACCATACAAATCCTAACAGAAGCCTTTCTTAATATATTTCAATTCTATTAATATAAAAAAGAAAAAATTAGTGATTATGCTTGGTATTACAGTTCAAAAAAAAAAATAGGAAAATGTCAATTTTACTTTGAGGTGAATTAAAATTAGATGTAAATTCATTCAGACCTATACAGATATTTTCTGAATCTAATATAGCTACTATGTGATTACTATTTTAAACTTTTATACAGCTTTTTCTATCTTAAGATATACAAACAGGTTCATAATCACTTTTACAAAAGTCAATTAAGTCATATTTAATAGCGTCAATTACACAATATCCATAGCGCTTTTCTTTTCCAATGTATTCTTTACCATCAACCAACTTACATTATTACTTTTTTTGGTCAAAGCATTAATTTTAATGATTGCAACTACATATGATGAAGGATAAATATTAGCTTAATAGTATTGCTAATAAATAGAGTTTCATAGATATTAAACAGACTATTTAATTAAGTTTTAGAAAATATTAAAATATAATCAAAGTAATTAAATAAGTCATACAATTAACTAAAGAAAGAAACAAAATATTATTTATTAATTTACTTAACTAAAGTAAAGCTAATTTAAATAAAAGTATTGTAAGCCAACTTCTAAGTATATTTATTTATTTATTTTTTGTTGTTAATATATTTTTTGAAATTATATACGTAATTTGTTTTTAGCGTACGTCATATAAATTATTTTTAAAAGATATTTTCGAAAAATAATAAGGCTAAAATTTAATATAAAAAAGTGATTTTCGTTTGGGCTTAACTTATGAGGACTTACAGTAAGTAATATGTAATTTTTTTAACTCTGATTTTTAGAATATTTAATTAAATTTAAGTACTTTTTATAGTTAGAATTTACTAAAATTAACTATCTATTGAAAAGGTATTTATTTTTTTTATTGCACCATATTTTTGGTATCTAGTTAATTTAACTCTTTATTTGATAAAAATTTTATCACCTTAATATTAATAGAATTGTGCAAACTAAATTATACTTTTAGAATATTTTCTTTTCAATAATACTATATCCTATAAACTCATTTATACTGTAAAAATAAACTCCAGAAAATTAGTTTCCCCATCATAAATTTTATATTAATAAATGGCTCCATTATTAAAGTTATCATTATCATAATTCTCAATATTTTTTAATGCTGATTAATTTATTTTTAGCCTCGGCCTTGACTTTGATAGAATATTATTTATCATTTTTAGAATTGGCTAAGATGAATAGATATGAAAAAAATCTATGTATTTTAACTAATTACTTTTTTTAATAAATATTAATAATTATTTCCAAATTTATCTATAAAAATTTAATTTTAATGTGTGTACATAAATTAGACACTACTCTATTTTAAAAACATTAATAAATCTCTTCATGCTTTTATTTATTTATTTATTTATTTATTTATTTATTTATTTATTTTTAATTTTCAAATCTGGTTATTTTTTTTATAATTCACTTTTATTTAAACAATGTGGTTGTAAGAATCAGCTTTGAAATCTTGATAAAGCTGAAATAAGCATATATACTGTATACTACTCTCTATATTAAGATCCTCCCCTACTATAAGACCCCATATTTTTTTGGAAAGATAAAGACCCCCTTTTTTCTAAATTAGGCGATGTGGTGGGGGGTCTTATTATAGGAAGTTTACAGTATTTTTATTGTGGATTATCCAAAAGAAATTAATAATTATTGAAATTATGACTGCTTCAATATGTAGTTTTAATTAATTAAAAATAATAAATTAAGTATTATACAAAAATAACAATCAACTAAAAAACTATAAAATCAAATTTTAATTTCAAACTTTCATTTTTATTAAAATATTTTAAATGAAATAAATAAATTTATTGAAATTGATCATATTTTTATTTTTAAATAATATTTTTAAAAATAAATAATAAATAAAATAGATCAAAATAATTCTAGTTTTTAAAAAATTATTTATTAAATCAATATTGTTAATGACTATTTAATTTTTAAAAATTATTCAAAGTAATAAAATAAAATAATCAGTATTTTACTTAATTTTTATTATTTTTGATTACTATCAAAATTAGAAAGCCTTAAATATCTTTTAATTCAAATCAAAAATTTATTTTTAAATTAATAAGAAAAGAGTCAAACAAATATTTTAAATAATTTTTATTTTATCGCATTTAAACATTTTTTAACTTCATAAATAAATTTAAATTAGAAATTTATTTTAATTTTAAAAAAGATTTTCTTGTGAAAACAAAACATTTTAAAAGTAAATCATAAAAACAAAGTTAATTAAAAAAAAAATTATCTAAGGATATTATAACTTTACTATTTAAAATATAAAATTAAATTCACTATTCATTATTTTTAATACTAGTTTGTTTTTCTTTTAATTAAATAGTTTTATTTTAATAATATTTTCTCAATTGTATTTATGCTATTTCTCTTTTAAATTCAAAAACTTATTTTTTAAGTTTAATATTAAAAACAGCGTTTCTTAATATTTCCCAAAATTATTGAGTTTTCTATCTCCTTTAAGCAAACTTATCTAAATTTAATAACTTTATAATTTATTCTAACTTATTTGACCTAGATATAGTATATTATAACATTTCACCTAATATTTATTTGAAATTAAAATTTAGTTTGAAGATTATTATTTAGAAGATCACTATAACTATGCATATTAAAGCAATAGTACACATTATTTAAATTTTTTAATATTCCAGTTTGAATTACATAGAATTAATGCAAAAGCATATTGCTGTTAAGTATTATATTCTAAAATCTGCTAAATTTAGCTTTTTGCTTTCATATGGTTAATCTATATTTATAAATTTATAAAGAAATATTAAAAGAATTTATTTTATTTTAAATAAGACTAATTTATCTATTAAATATATAATTTATATAATCATTATTTTATAATAAAAATATAAAAATTTGAGATATTTAAAACTTCTTAAAGTAAATTAATTATTTCATGATTTTAAAAATAAAAATTCTTACATTTATAAATTATTAGGCTATATGATAGAGGCACTATTATTGATAGCACGATCTACAGCTAAGTCACTTAATAAGAAACTTAAAAAATAAAGAAAAGTAAATATTTGTAGCCAAGCCTAACAAAATCCCAGTAATAAAATTGCTGCTGATAATCTAAAGTAAAGAATCCATATAAAACTTAGTATTTAAACATTTTTATGAAAAATCTAGCTTTATAGATTCTATAAACAAATAAGCATATTAGGATTGATAATACTATTACAGTAATAACTAAATTTATATTTCCAAATATATTAGAAGTCATTTCATCACATGAAATTGATAAATACTCCATTATGAATCCTTTTTTGTCAAACTTTTAGCAATTAATCTATTTGTTATATTTTATAAAATTACATTCTTTTTAATTTTGAGAAATAATAAATGAATTACTGATCTAAATATTTTCGATAGAATTGAGTTATATGAAAAATAAACAAAAATACTTAAAGAAATCAGAATATCTTGTAAGTAATTTTGATAATTAAACTTAATTCTTAAAAGCATATAAAATATTATTATGCAGGATATAATAGCAAAGTAAGTTCCCAATAAAAAGTAAATTCCTTTGTAGATTATACTGGTTCCAGAGAATTTTTATTCTAAAAAACACTCGGATATCCTTATTTAATCTGTAAAAAGATTACCAATATCAATAAAAATATATGAAAAAGTATTAGGGATGTAGCAATCATACCAAAACATAATTCCTATAATAGATGATTAATAAACTAAAAATTTAATAGTCCTTGCAATACTTTAATCATTAAAACCATAGTACTTTTTACTAAGGATAGTAAGCACCTTCTTGGTTAACTTTAAATGAACTTAAATTTGTATGTAATAAGTCAAGAAAATCATTAAAATAAAGGCAATAAGTGATATCATTAAAGGATAAGCTATTTCTGCAAAAGTTGTTTGGCTACATCTTTATTTTTATTTAAAATATTAAAACAATTATCAAAATAGTAAATTACCTTTGACATTTTAAATCCAAATTCATGAAATAACTATCTCCCCAATGTTAACCATTCCTATCACAATCTTCACAAAGTGCTCCAATATATCCTAATTAAATCATATTATAAATGTATTTATTCAATTTAATAAATTTACCTTCTTTGCAATAATAATTTAAGTCAGTACTTTAGATTTTTAACAAACTCCTTTTTTTAAATTTCTTATATAGCTAAATATCACCAACACAATTTTTACAAGGAAATAAAACAATAGATTTTTAACTTACTCTCCATAAATTAGAGGGTAAAAGGATTTTATCTCTAAAGCATTTAGCTTAGGGGCTTGGACATATTTAACATGTATCTGAAACCTAAAAGCTATAGGAACCATCTTAGCAATCATAACATAAGTCAAATTTTTCTTGAAACTTTTTTGGTATTTATCCTGGTAAACAAACTTAAACCATCTGAATATTAATAATTAGTTGATAAGAATCATATCCTATTATAATTTCATCTTTGTTAAAAACTGGAATTTAAATTAAATCACTTGTTATAGATAATAATAATTATTATTTTGAGTATCCGTAAACCTGAATTTACTAAGTTAAATTGAAAATCCCATTTTTATGAGCAATTTTATTTTAATTCAAAAAACCGCTTCCTTAAGTAATATTTATTGAAAGGAAACTATCTTAAGGAATGTTTTAAATATAATTATTTTAATCGTCACATAAAGCCAATAATATTTCATCCTAATTATTTTATTTAAATAATATTTATTTAACAAATACTTAATAAGCTAAACAATAAATCTTTGAAATAATCTATTATGAAAATTGATTATTAAAAATAACTTTTCTTTAATATTTTTCCCCCAATAATAAGTGGTAGGATGAGTATATTTTAGTCGTTTTTGATTTTTTTCTAGATATTTGTTAAAAAAATATAAATTAAAAATAAAATGAATATTTACTCTTAAAGTGCCACCTTGATGATTTTGAATATTTATATATTGAGTATCAGTCAATTATGTTTTATTAACAGTAATAATAAATTTAGTTGGTGAAGTTTAAATATTTTCTCCATATTAATAACCTTTGTTATCTTTATATGTATTATTAGTATATTTATTAACTCTTTATCCTGTTGTTGAAGCTAAAACTCCTCCAAATTTTGCTTTGTTATTAGAAAAAGTACAATTTTAAAGGTTGATTAAATTAGTTAAAATATTTTTTTTTGTATTTTCTAAAAATAGTGCTCCACCATATTACCTAGCAGTATTAGTATCAAAAAGAGTCTAATATATAAATACTGTTGATTCTTTTATGTACAAGGCTCCTCCATTGACATTAGCTATATTATGGGAGAATGTAGAATTGCTAATAACCAATTTATCTTAAAAGCTTTATAAAAGTTTGGATAGATTATATATGTATTATTTATTTTGTTATAACTATAAGCTAGATCCATACTGTGCTAAGTTATTTTAAAATGTTGAATTTTACATATCTAATTTAGAAGATAAAATTTCAATTATTCCTAAATTGCACTGTAAACATTTATTTTAATTTACTGTAAGATTAAAAACTAAACAGTTTTAGCTATGAAAACTTGCTAGGTTTGATACACGATTGTCTTGATGCGATAAGTCTTCAATGATATTTTGGTTATTTAAAATTTAAGTGTGCTATATTTAAATATTTTTAACATTGTTCACATTTATTAATTTGCCATAGAATACACTTTTTTCATAAATGTTATTTATATCTAAGTAATTTAAAACATTTTAAATGCTGAACATTTAAGAAAAAATTATGCCTTTAAAGTATTTTAGTACATTTGAATCTTTAAATTTATAGGGGACTATCTAAAATCTAGATTAAAAAAACTAGACATTTCTTACATCCTTTATGAAAATCTGAGAAGAACTCAATTATTAAATATTTAATAATGTATATTAACTTAGCAAATTTGCTATATTTTCAACAGTACTTATGGTGTTTTGAATTTAATTATTTACTTTTGTTTTTGATATTACAACTTCAGATTAAAAATCAGAGCTACTTTAAATATTAATGCTACTACCTTAGCATGATAAATTATCAAAGAAAAAGCTCTCTTAAATTATGAAAGCATTTTATTGATTTGATGATTAAATATTTATGGCTCCGCCACTAAACAAAGCTAGATTTTTAGAAAAGATAGACTTAAATACCAATACATCTAAGCTTTCAGACATAAATCCATCTAAATAAAAAGCACCTCCTTTCGTTTCTTGATCATTGTTACTGTATGCCTTATTGTTAATAAAAGTGCTATTAATTAGATTTAATGTTCCTTTACCTTGCATTATTAAGTAAAATGCTCCTCCATTTAAAGCATTTCCATTAATAAAAATGGATTTTTTAATAATTAGTTTTTAGCTTGTAATCTTAAAAAATCCTCCATTTCTTACTGAATTATAGTTCTAATAGCCATTTGAATTAGTAAAATTACAAGATTTTAAAATCATCTATTAAACTGATCCTTCAATCCAATTAAATGGACTGCTTATATCTAAGTCTGCAAATGTTGAGTTTAAAATTGTTGCTTTTATCTAAAGACCCTGAAAGTAAAATCCTAGTGATATTTTGCCTAAACTTGTCTAAATTTTTATAAATATTTAAGAAAAATGTAAATTCATCATTTTTTATAAATTTTATAGAGTTATAAATAAATTTAGGAGGAGGGGTGGATTTCATACATTATTATTTAAAAATGAATGAAAACATATATTCTTCTATATGCTTCTATCAACTTAGAAACCTGCTAAGTGCACATCCCTCCCCCCTTAAATCCTCTAAATTTGAAAAGATTTTATTTAATGTTGAAATTTTACCTTATTATTTAAGACTTACGACTTAAAAAATGAAAAAGTAACATTTTAAACTGTTAAGCTAATTTATTGTTTTGAATATAAAGAAAAAATGGTAACATCATTTGTATATCTTTTCAGTAGTAGAGTAGATTAAGTACTAAATAAATTTGTTACTGTAATTTAAAAGTCTTTTTGCAAATAATTATTTAAGCTATTTTCTATTTAAAATATGTTTTTCTAAAAATAAATTCCCTCTAATTTAATATTTTTGATGTTAATTTAATTTTTTGTCTATCTTAAGTAGCATATCTAAGCAGCAAAATATTATGAACTAGTTTGATATTAATATACTTATTGCAAAAGTATGTTTCTAACACTGTCAGTAGAGATAAATAAAAATTATTAGTTGTCAACTATGGTAAGATTTTGTATCTAAACAAAATTTTATTGATTAAATTGCACTATAACTTAAGTATAATTGGAAGAAAATTAATTTCTTAATATGTTTATCCCATGAATACTGCTATTACGATTTTGTTATGTTTGAAAGAATAAAAATAAATAACTATCAGAGTTGACCTTGTTATCTATAATGTCGATGCCAGAAAATGAAGAACTTTGATTTTAATCTTTAAAATAGTTATCATATTATTATAAAAAGCTGTAGTTAGTAATTGTATTAGATATGATTTAAATTTATGTTAACATGAATGTATTAGCGGCGATTAGAGGTAATACTGCTTATTTTTGGGTTTATTAGAATGTACAATTATTGAAAGTTAAGTTATCAATCTACAAAAAATCCAAGAAATCAGAATTTAGTATTGTAGATCCATGAAGAAAGCTACTGTTTAAGAATATTATATTATTTAGTAAGATACCAATATATTGGTCTACTAATAGATTCTACTTCATATCTAATAGTAAAGATTACTAGTCAAATAATGATTAATTTACAAATAAATTTGTAATATCTATTGTAATATTCATGCTGTTCGTTGATATTAACTTAGATTATTAAAACAAAACCTATTTATAAAATTTTAATAAAATTAATTACCTTAATTCTTAATTCTTATCTAATAGTAAAGATTTTTAATAAAAATCGAAGTAAAAAAATAAATCAAAAATTTTGAAATAAAAAACTTACATTATTTAATTTAACTTAATTCATCTTAAGGTATATAGAAGAATTCTAAGTATTGTTTATATTTATTAATGATGTTGATTCGAAGATTTGGATATTCTGGAAAACTACTTGTTCTAATTTTACTTTCGTCTATTATATTGTTTATAAATTAAATGTCATGAATTAAATACTTTATATCAATTATTATATTTGTAAAAATTAACAATTAAATAGCTAAATATTTGTTAATGCTTTATCAACTAAAATGAGACCTAATTTAGCGTCGTTCCTTTGCTGTAAGAAAATTATATTTTTTATATAAATTTAATCAAACCCTTAAACAGTAAAAGCATCCAATTAATAAAATTTTAAAACAGAATTCTAATTTAAAGTTGTAATATTTAAAGAAGTAGACAAAGCTCTAATACTATCCTTTATATTAATACTGAATTTTTAAGGTCTATAATCATAGCAACTACCATCTACAAATATTAATTGTACTTCTAACTCTTTTACTTAGAGTTCATTATAGTATATAATTGCTTAGTTATATTCTATCTCATTTATTAAAAATTAATTCAGATCTATTTCATTAAGTCTACTGAAATTTATAGGATTCTGCAGTGAACCATCTCCTAATCTTGTACTCAAATCTAAACATTAAGCATATATAACTTTTTATTTTTTATAATAGCATCCTTGCTCAGATTTATTGCATAAATAACACTTTCTTCTTGATTTATCATATGTTATCTAGTAATTCTGTAGTACATAGCTTTAATCTAGACTCTATTTGCATGAAAGGCATTAAGCATCATATATAAATAGTGGATTGATGCTTACATCACTATTATTTACACAAGTCTCACAGCTTTTAAAAAAAAATTAAATAAATTAAAAAAAAACAATATTTTATAATTATTAATATGTACAGTATGGGACAGATCTAACAATCATTTCCAGAAGAAGTAAGACTAATCATAGTTTTAGGATTAGGTATATAATTTTATTTGAAATAAAGAATTCCAATAAAATAAGAAAGTTAATTTAACTCAGCTATAAGCTTGTCATAATTGCATTATACGCACTAAGGCTAATTATTTATTAAAATACATAAATTGCAGTTTGGTCCACATTGAATTTTTATGCATTTTTTTTACTGTTAATCGAATTAATATCCTTTTTAACACTCAGTACAGTATAACTGATAGTCATTTTAATAATAATTTAACCTTTAATTTACAGTAAATTATGTTCTTTTATAAACTAACTCGGAGGTGAAATTGTAATATCTATAACCTATTTCATAAAAATAAAATAATTAAGTATCTAGTATCTAATTTTATATAATTTACCTTCGTAGCACTTTGCACATCCAGTTGGGCATTATATACAAGAAAATATTGAAGGTATACTATATTAGTCTATGCATTTAGTACATTAATAAATCTAATAGAATGGGCTAGGATTTTGTGGATCTTAATACTTATAACATTCCTAGCATCCTACAATCTTTTTAAAAATAATTAAAAATAAATTTAAATTATTTATAAAAAAATTTTACATTTCTTGAACAAATATCATCTTAGCAAGCACCAGGGTTCACAACTTAGTTAAGAATTTATCCTGAATTACAAAATTAACATTAAATTTTATTCAAAGGAGAATAACAACTTTCGCATCTATTATCTGAAATTTGTTACTAACATCCATCCAAACAACTACTTGCATCGCCAGATAATATATAACCATCTACACACTGTTTGCATATTTAATTTGCAATTGTAGAATTTTATGTAAAGGACCATATATATAGTGTAAGATCATAACTTTATGCTATTTAAAAAGTTGTATATCTACAATTTTAAATTTCTTTCTAGCAAAATTGACCTTTTTTTAGTAAATATTTAAGAAATATTAATAAAGTTTGCATTAAATTACCGTCATATCCAACTACGTATCCTTATGGGCATTAGATACATTTTTTAATAAAATTCTGTGTAGAAAATTCATAATAAGATAGATATTATAATTATCTAATATTATAGTTCAACACTGTCTTATAATTTTCTATTTTGTTAAAAAATAAATAAATAAATTAAGTCTATTTTAATATTTTGAAAAAATAAGGTTATTTTTAAAAATATTTAATTCATTTGTTAAGTAAAAACCAAAATAAAAAATAAATAATATTAATTTTTCTATTTTAGAAGGGGTGAATTAAAAAAAATTTTTTTTATTATTTTAATTAAATGTTTCTTAGGTTAAAAAATAAAATTATAAAAGACTATCAAAAAATAAAGGAAAATTTATAAAAATGATTATAGATAAAAAATCAGTAATAAATAAAGATATTTTTTTACCATATTAGCAATAAAGACAATTAATACCACAATTATCACATGATTGTAGATTGTAGGAAACCAAATAATATTGGCTACACTTTAAGCAAATTGTCACAAAATAATAATACTTTTATTGATTTTTTTCAATTTAAGATTTAGGTATCACTTTTCCTGAAATAAAAGTTGCGTATTAGCAATTTATGCAAAAATCTGGGCATTTTTGACAACTTCCATTATCATCATTAATATAATAATCCTAACATTAAAGGCACATTACTTTTGAATCAGAAATTTAAACACAGGACAAGCAACCTGTAGGACCTTTTTTTAAAAATAAACTTAAAATTAATTTTTTAAAATCTTATAGAATTTACATAATCTTGATCTATGAAAATATAACTAATAAGGAGCTTATGTTGTGCTAATTGGTGAGATGATATAATTTTATGCAGCATATTTTTATGATGTAATTTGTAGAAGATTATCTAACTTAACTATAAAGTTTTAACAATTTCTATACTTTGATGAAATCTAATTCCTATTTTAAAAAGGTATTTATTTATCAAATATGAAAGGAGATGTAAAAAAGAAATATGAATACCATGTACCATATTCTGAAGAGCAATCTAAACATGAATAAGTTGGTATTTAATTATAATAAATCTTCAAAGTATTATCTTAAATTATTTATTTTTAACATTAAATACAAAACTATTAATTTGATGTATCCTAATACAAAAAGAATCCTTCAATACATTATGTACAGAAATTAGGAGAATTGCAAGAAAAACATCTTTTTTTTAAAGTAAATAAAATAAATTTTAATTTTAAAGCAATTTTTAAATTATACCCTTTTGGGCACTTAAGGGAAGGAATAGACTAACAATAATCTTAATCATAGCAATCTTGTTTCACATAAATTAGCTACATATTAAAAAATAGTTGTGAGCTTGATAATAATGCTTTTTCTTCTATGCTAAAGCATTATTAGTTTCCTGGGTTAAAATAATAATTTGCACACATTAAACACTGATTTTTAACAACTGTAGTGTCTTAGCAAAAACCTTTATTATTCATGCAATTCATGTTTCCTTAGCTATTTGGAGTATTGAGGTCTTAAATTTAACATGTTTTTAATTTGGGTACATAAACAAAACATTAATTTCCTTTTAAAATTTTTAGTAAATCTTAAGAGCCAAAGCACATATTGTTAAATTTGCAATAATTTTCTGGGCATATATCACATTAGCCTGAATTTAAGTATTAGCATATTCCTTTTTGGTTTTAAATGAAAATATTTTCTGAATGTACTTAAATTTAATGAAGTATAAAATAAATATCTCTTAAATGATTAGTTACCATTTATGTCTTTACAAAATAAAGCTGGAGGCTATTGAAGATCAATACATGTTCCAGAGTTTTAATTTGTTAAGCATTAGCTAACTTAACAATATACACATGATCCATTTTTTGCACACATACCATTTTTTCCTAGACAATAACCTTGTTTAATATCTTAGATTTTGCAAGACTGACTAACAGGGTCTATGCAATATTTTTCATAAGCACACATTATCTAACATTCAATAATAATAAAATTGTTGTTAATTAATAAATTAAATAAATAAATAATCTACAGCAACGGTCTCTCCTTCTTTCAAGCAATGCTATGTATCGATCTATATACCTTTGTTTGATTTAGATTAATATAAATATTAATTAATCAGAATTTTATTTAAATTAAAAAAATATTTGGATTTAAATAAAAGTTAATATTATTTTATATATCTTTATTTTAATAAATTACCAATAGTATTTGGATTTGAATAATCTAATTAATAGCAAGAAGCTAGTTGATTTTAAGGATTTATAATCAAGCAGAATCTATAATTATATGTAAAATAAGTATATCAAGCATAATTAATTAATTACTCATTCAAAAAAAATATTTTGTGTTAAAAGTTACCCTTCTTTATAACAATTAGAAGCTCCATATTAACCTTCAATTTACTCTGGTAAGCATTTTTAAGTTTAATTTTCTTTACCAGGAAATTTATTTGATAAAGGTACACATGCCCCATTTAATATACAAAAATCGGGTTGACAATAATTTGCTATAAGTTCACCCTATTATAAACATTATTAATTGACTAAACTTCTTCCTATCTTATTATCATCATTCATCAAAACACACTTATAACCATCATTTGGATTAATACAGTATAAACCATAAAGACAACCCATACTATTTGCTATTATAATTTTTAAGTTTAAGTAAAGGTTATTTAACTTTTTAAATTAAAATAATATACGCATATTTATATCCTAACATGTTTAATTAATGTTTTTAGCCTTATATATTAAATTAGGAAATTAAAGATCCTTTTCTTAAAGTAATTAGCATTTCTATTTTCCTCCTCTTTTATTTATCAACAAAAAATGAAATAAAATAATTTTTTCAATTAAGATTTATTAAAATTACCCAAGATCGAGAATACAATATATCATATCAAAACATTCAACTATTTCTATAATTATTTAAATACTATGTACAAAATTTAATTAAAAATTAATTTTACATGTTGAAGTTTATTAATCTTTCAATACACAATCTCCATTAATGTCTCTTCCTACAACTTAATTGCCAAAAGCTAATTGGCCCAAAGAAAAACAAAAATCTAAATTTTTAGGATCACTATATTTACAGCTCCCTTTGACACAAATGTCTATATTATCTCCTTTAAATTAACTGGGATCTATATAAGATAAGCAAACACCTGTTCCTTTTTATCTGGCAAATCTATTATTTTTAAATGACAGAAGCAAGGATTAGCATGCATTACCAAATTTATCGTTAAGGCAGAATTAACCTGGGCTACATCTTACTGCATTTGGTAAATCTTGCTGAAGGCAATTACCTTTGCTATCTATTCCAGCTCTATTTATATCTCCATCTAATTCAAAGCATCCTTGTTATGATGGATTGTTTGGGTTTTATTATAAGCAATAACTTTCTGAGCATTATAATATTTCTAAACAAAAATAATTTTAATTATTTGTTCTTTTATCATAAAAAATTATTACGTGAGTAATAATATCTTTCTGAATGAGCACATTAAAAGTTATCCAAAACTCCCTATTAAAATTAATGTTTTATTGAATATCTTTTATAAAATGAATTATTAATACAGCCTAAGCAGGATTTGTGTCGTTTATTTATACACAGTTTTTGGTAGATAAATCTATGCAGTAATTTGCTGCACACTCAACGCTTATTCCTTCTCCCTTCTTCAAACATTAATAATATTTATCTCTCCCAACATATTATTGGTCATACGCCTTGCATGCATTTTCAACTATGCAAAAACTTTTTATAAATTTATTTGAGTTAGAAAATTTAATTGAAATTTATATATATTCTCTCTTATATTTGTACTATTATCCACTCAAAATACCGAATTTAAAATTAAAGATAAATATAAAAAATAAACTACTTTAAGTAAGTATCTATTTTTTCCCCCCCATTAAAAAGATAGATATAATTTTTTTAAAGTGGTTTTTAAACGAGGGAATTGATGAATGAGTTATGATGAAATATCATTTTTTTAAAATGATGATACAATAATTAATATAATCCAATAATATTCATAATATTACCCTGTATAGCATTAAATGATAGATTTGCTTGGAGTTTTTCCAGATTCTAGACAAAGATATTGAGAAGAATCAACTCCGACATATTATTTTCCATCAAGCCTTCTAATATATCCTTACTAATCTTGGCAATAATTGTTTCTTAAGTTTACCAGATCTTTAAAATTAATAAATAATATTATTATTATTTTTAAGTAAAATAATGTAAGATACCAACTAATTATCCTTAATTTGTTTATTAATTTTCAACAGCGCACTACTTATTTTAGACTATATATCCGAGATATAAAGAAGTCCTTGGATAAACAACACAAAATTTTAATGATGAATAAACAGCCATGCATATATTTTAATTATCATTGTAACAAGTATCTAAATTATTAGTAGCTTCTTAATCACTTAAACAAATAAGTGACGTATCTCTCCCAATAAATTAACCAAGATTAATTTAATAGCAATAACCACTGTAATAACATCCATTACCAGTAGAGCCAAAATTTATAGTTTATTAGCAAGTATTTTTTTGAAAATCTAAACATACTTAACTGGACAAAGCACACCTTTAAAATATTGATGATAATATTGTTTAATAATTATCCTTGAACCAAAAATCATTAAGTTTCGTGTGTTAAAATATTCATATAATTTTTTCCAATAAATATATTATTTTACCTCACTGGCGTAGATACACCATAGTCCAAACACATTCCATTTGAATCTATACCAGCAGCTCCTTAGGTACCATCAAGATAAAAGCATCCAAAAGAGTTTAAGAGTAGTTTTTTTTGATAGCAATGATTAACTGAACACTTTTTCCAATCTATAATAAAGTTTTAGGTATTAAATTTTTATATAAATAGAATTTTACTTTAGTAATATTTCCCTCTTTATAAGCAATTTCCATAATAATCAATTCCCTATAATAATTATTTATACAGATTAAAAAAATTAACCAAAGAATTTTACTGAAGTTTAGATATTTTAATCACTTAAATTGTAGCAAATTGAGTTATAAATACAATAATCTTAATCATAGGCGCATTCTATGGCTGAACTTTACTAAACTAAGCCACAATATTAATTTGAAAGCTTAGAGACATTCTTTGAATCGAATCCAATTTTTTAACAACTATTATTCGATATACAGTATCTATATATATTTAATAATAAATTTCTTTAAATATTTGCTTCTATTTTATTAATAAATATACCCTTAAATACAAGACTCAATGTATGGAGACTAATCAGATTATTTCAGGCATCTATTATAATTATAGCTATCTAATCTGCCATAATATGGAGGTAATATTTTTTAGATAACATAACTATCATCCTAACAAAAATTGGGATTCAAATTAGTAATCGCTTTTTAAAAATATTTGTAATAAATAAATGAGTAATTTAAATAATTATTACTTTAAAATTATGGTTAAGATGTATATGTTTGATAACCTTCTTATGCACAATATCCTGATGAATTTATGTACCCTAAGTAAGTAAAGTAAGTAGGAATCTAATAATAGTATACACACATAGTTCCATCTCTTTTTTAGCATATATAACTAGGATTTTATAAACAGTTTTAGACATTTTAAGGTTAAAGAGATTATTCAGATTGTATACAATAGTAATATATGTCTCTTCCAATATACTACTATAAGCTGAATTCATAGCATTTGTTTGCTTGTTGACAATAATTTTAATAGCCTTATAAGTTGATACATATTTACGAAGAATTTAAATAGCAAATGTATGAAAAGTTGGTAGAGCATCTAATTAGTTAATTAATTTTATTTATTAATTTAATTAAGAAATCATTGATTTTTTAATTATTAAAAATTCATTTCATAGTAAATAAAAATATTGTTTATAAAAATAAGATTAAAAATATGATATTATTTAGTATGCAAATGTTTGAAAGTAAGTAACCCTTTTAATTTTGAATAATTTTAAAAAGTAAAAATCTATCTTTAAAAAAAAATAAAAAATAAAATTTTCTGGTTAGATAAATAGATTAATATTTAATTTATTGTTTTTACTTTTAAAATATTTCAAAAAAGTATTTTTATTTAAAATAGAAAATTGAAAAAATATTTGAATTTTGAAAAGACATTTTATAATAAAGAATTTCTTTAACTTTCAAAATAAAAAATATTAAGTCTAAATAATTATTTACCTATCAGCTTTTTATTCAAAATTTTGAACACAAAATCCTTATGAATCAATTCCAACTGCTTATTAACCATCCATCTTAATACATTTTGCATTATTAGCTTGACCATACATGCAGTAATCAGAAGCACATATTTATAAATCTGTTTTAGCGTAAAACAATTTTTCGAAAATATTTTAAACTTTTTAAAATTAGAATAAAAATAAATCTTTACTTTAGTAATATATATTAGAAGCAGCGCATAAACCATCTTTTCTAATACCCTTATATTTAAATATATATTATTAATATTTAAAAAAATAAATTAAAATATTAAATCTAATTTAGTTACACATACATCATAGTCTTGATTAAAAAAAATACGTATACAAACTCTAGGATTTTCTAGCAAGCAGACATTTCCTTCATAAAAACAAGAAATAGAAATTGGTTCATTATAATTTCCACAAGTTCCACCCATCTTAACTGCTGGGTAACTAGCACTCAATGGCATACATGTTTATTATGAAGTATCATAGCAATGCTTTCTAATTATTTTATCATTTTATTTTGAAATAGAAAATTAAATAAAAAAATTTATTCTACTAATCGGCGCAGAGTTGTAAATTTCTGTATTTAAGATAAAAATCCTATTTTTCTACTTTTTAAAAGATACATATTCCGTCAGAATCTTTTCCCTAAAAATTGTATTTTTAAAGACTAAAATCATTTTAAAATAAAATGCTTATACAATAATTTAAGGATGAATTGAATGATCCATTTTGACGCATGTTATTTATTTATCTTAAAAATAAATACAATAATGCGGTTTGCAAATGATTTATGCATCACTATGAAAATACTAATCTTGTAACACACATTCATTCTTATTTGCTTTGCCCTACAAATTATAGTATTTTTTTTAAATAGTAAAAGCGAATTCAAGTAAATTACATATATTTAAGGTGATTTATAATTTAAACAGGATTTTTGATATTATTTGTTTGTAAATTTACAATGAGAATCATTGCAGTAGATTTCCTATGAATAATTTTAATTTTCATCCACACAATAACCATCAATCGTAATTCCCTTAATTGATTATATTAAATTAAAATATAAATTTGTGATTAAAAATAATATTACGACTGCTTCTGATTAATTTAAACACCTATCTAATTAAATTGAAAAACAATATCCTTTACTTAATTTAATAACCTTGAATAAATAAATTATTTCAAATTAAATTCAATTTACTTTTCACCGCATTTCTGCTTTAATTATTTATCACAAAAATAATAAAAAGAAAATCTTTATTCAACTAAACCTTTTTATATTAAGCCATTGTAATCTTAACAAAATCCTAACTTAATATATTTCAGCACTATTAATACAAATATTTATTAATTTACAAATGGGCTTTTAAATTCAATAATAGGATTAAAATGACTCTATTTTTAAAGAATTTTTACATGAAGGTTTATTTTTATTTAAGATAATCTAGTTTAGTCTTACGCAGATGCTGTCCTCTTAGTTTATAGCAACTATGCTATTATTAGACTCTACTTTAATACACATTTTTCTATCATAAGTTATGCAGACATTATTTGATTCACTTAGACAAAAATCTATTTCATCATATAAAACTGAATCAATAACGCAAAATCCTGTCTTTTTCTCTCTTCCAATAAACTGTAAACCATCAATTTAAACACATCTTTTTTGAATAGGGTTTAAGCATTCTAATCTTCCTTAGCAAAAACAGCTGATTAGCTGAAAATATTAGCACAAAACCAATACAATTTGTATTAACATATTCTTCTGTAATTTGATTGATTTTTAATTTAATTTAATATTAATCTTTCAATTTTTTAAGATCAATTTTATATTAAATTAATATTTTTAGGTGGTTATTACTAATAAATTACATAGGTAATTAATATTTTTTATTCAATTGAAAGATATTTTTTATTTTTGTTTCATTTGCAAATTAGTGGTTTAGAAAACTTTATATTCATTTCCATTTCAATCCCAATTATCCTATTTAAGATTAAAATAAATAATAATATAATAATTTATAATATTTTAAGCAGATTAAAGAAATTAGTAATCATTTTTATTTATTGTTCATATTTAATTAGTATGAAAAGGCATTTATTTTTTTTATTTAACTCATATTTATTTTGGGTAACTATGGGCTAGTTAATTTAATTGTTTATCTGATAAAAATTTTTTCACTCTAATAGATTTGCACACCAAAATTATCCTTTTAGAATATTTTCCTTCATATCACTTTATCCTATAGATTTATTTAAACTGTAAAAATAAATTCCAGAATTGAATTTCCCCATAATAATTTTTAAAAATAATCCACTTTAACAAGAAAAATTTTCCATATAAATATTTCAAGACTACCATAAATTCTCTCTACCTGTTTCCTAAAGAATTTTGAATGTGTTCCCTTTTATTAATCTAATTCAATTAAGGTGTGTTTCTCCACATAAATATTACTTTGGTTTATTAATATAATGTCAGATATTTCTTCTTAATGCCAATTAAATGGATCATCTGATTTATATTCTATTGGTGATATTTAGAAATGAGATATTTGGATTTTTAGAAGCTAAAAGATATTTAAAGGGTTATAATTGAAATTTATTAATTGTTGATACAAAAACTAAACTTGTATTCAACACTAATAATGATTATCGCATCTTTACCCAATCAATCTTTCAATTCTAATCACATAGTTTTTTTTATTTTCTTTTTGCTCTATTGTAAGAATGCTGTTTCTTTCGCGCACATCACTCAATCTTATATTAAGAAATGATTCCATAATTAAAGTTATCATTCTCATAATTCTCAATATTTTATAATACTCATTAATTTGTTTTTAGCCTCTATTAAGTGAGAGGCATTGATTTTTATAGGGTATTATTTATCATTTTTAAAATTGGCTAAGATGTGATAAATATGAAAAAAAATCTAAGTAATTATAAGCTAATTACTATTTTTAATAAATATTAATAATAATTTCTAAATTTATTTATAAAAATTTAATTTAAATGTGTGTATATAAATTTGGCACTCATTACTCTATTTTAAAAATCTTAATATATCTCTGCATGCTTTTATTTAATTTTAATTTTAAAATATGACTATTTTTTAATAATATACTTTTATTTAAAGAGTGTGGTTGTAAGAATCAGCTTTGAAAAAAGCTGAAATAAGCATATACATTTTAAAGAAATAAATAAATTATTGAAATTATGATGCTTCAATATGTAATTTTAATTAATTAAAAAAAACAAATTGAGTATTATACAATAGTAATAATCCACTAAAAAATTAGCTGCAATTTAAATTTCAAACTTTGAATAAAATATTTAAAGAGATAAAATAAAATAATCAGTATTTTATTTAATTTTTATTATTTTTCATTATTATCAAAATAAGAAAGCCTTAATATATTTTAACTCTAATCAAAAATTTATTTTTAAATTAATAATAAAAGAATCAAACAAATATTTTAAAATAATTTTTATTTTATTGCATTTAAACATTGTTTAAAGTTCATAAATAAATTTAAATTTTAGTTAATATTAATAATTTTATTTTACTTTAAAAAAAATTTTTGTTTAAATTATAATTTTATTATTTAAAATATAAAATATAATTCACTATTCATTATTTTTAATACTTGATTGTTTTTCTTTTAATTAAATACTTTTATTTTAATAATATCATCTCAATTGTATTTATGATAATTCTCTGTTAATTTCAAAAACTTATTTTTTAAGTTTGATTTTAAAAGCAGCGTTTCTTAATCTTTCCCAAAGATATTGAGTTTTCCATCTTCTTTAAGCGAACTTATCTAATTAAATAGCTTTATAATTTATTCTAACTTATTTGACCTAGATATAAGATATTAAATTATTTCACCTAATATTTATTAAAAATTAAAATTTAATTTGAAGATTATTATTTAGAGGATTACTATAACTATGCACATTAAATCAACAGAACGCATTATTTGAATTGTTTAATATTCCTGTTTGAATTGCGTGTTATTAATGCAAAAGCATATTGCTGTTAAGTATTATATTCTAAAATCTGCTAAATTTAGCTTTTAGCTTTCAAATCTTCAAATTGTTAATCTATATTTATAAATTTATAAATAAATATTAAAAAGAATGTATTCTACTTTTATATTAGACTAATTATATATATTTATATAGTACCCTAGGGTACTACTGCCTTTTTCAAAGCTACTTACATGAATAATAATAAGATAGTTTTCTATTTATCTACACAAAAACCATCAAACGTAATTTCCTTAATTGGTTATATTAATTTAAGATATAAATTTGTGATTAAAAATAATATTACGATGGCTTCTGATTAATTTAAACACCTATCTAATTAAATTGAAAAACAATACTCCTTTCTTAATTTAATAACCATAAATAAATAAATAAATAATTTCAAATTAAATTCAATTTACTTTTAACCACATTTTTGCTTTATTTATTTATCACATAAATAATAAAAAGAAAATCTTTGTTCTACTAAACCTTTTTATATTAAGCCATTGTAATCTTAAAAAAATTCTAACTTAATTATATTTTAGCACTATTAATACAAATATTTATTATTTACAAAGAGCTTATATGATAAATAATAAGATTTAAATGACTATATTTTTGAAGAATTTTTACATGAAGGCTTATTTTAATTAAAGACAATCTAATTTAGTCTTACGCAGATGCTGTCCTCTTAGTTTATAGCAACTATGCTGTTATTAGACTCTACTTTAATACACATTTTTCTATCATAAGTTATGTAGACATTATTTGATTCACTTAGACAAAAATCGATTTCATCATATAAAACTGAGTCAATAACGCAAAATCCTCGCTTTTTCTCTCTTCCAATAAACTGTAAACCATCAATTTAAACACATATTTTTTGAATAGGGTTAAAGCATTCTAAACTTCCTTAACAAAAACAGCTGATTAGCTGAAAATATTAACACAAAATCAATACTATTTATATAAACATATTCCTCTGTTTTACAAAATAATTTGTTTGATTTTTAATTTAATATAAATCTTTCAATTTTTTTAAGATCAATTTTATTAAATTATTATTTTTGAGTGGTTATTACTAATAAATTACATAAATCAATTGAAAGATATTTTTTATTTTTGTTTCTTTTGCAAATTAATGTTTTAGAATATTTTATATTCACCTCGATTTCTGTTACCAGTAACCAGAATTTTAAATTATAAATTCCCATTTATTCTTTTTAAGATTAATATAAATAAATGATAAATTATAATATTTTAAGCTAATTAAAGAAATTTGTAATCATTTTTAGTATATTATTTTAATTTATTTATTTATCAATAATTTGTGGGCTTCAAATGTTTCTTCGAAATTTGATAATTCACTTATTATTCTCTTTGACTTATTCAGGATAGATTCACTTGAAAATTTTCTTTATTTTTTAGATATTTTGTATTTATTTTTGTTTTCAATCTAATATTATTAATGATATTGAATGTGAGCATCACAAACTAAATATTGAAGAAAATGAAAAATGTTTAGTTGAAATAATAATTGATGACATTTTAATAGAAAATGTTATGGTTTTGTAATATATTGAGTAAAAATATGAAATAATGACAAAAAAGTAAATGAGATAAGATACTTTAATATAATCTAAAAGGTTTTTTCAGGAGTATTTTTATGATGCCTAAAGTGCTGCCTTTAATTTAGTCTATGCAGGAAAGTCTGTTCCTAAAAATTAGTTCACTAAGACCATATTTTGAAAGAAGTTTAGTATGGGATTTTATTGTCAGTTGTAGATAAAAAAATAAGTACAACACTTTCTGATTTCATTTAGATTATTCAAATAAAGATAATTTTGCTCTTATAAATGATTTGGAAGACGAAGTTGCAGAAACATTTGATTGATTCTGATAAGACTTAACGAAAAAAATTTTTGTTTAGGAGTTTCAATGATAATATATTAAAAGCAGATAAAATATTATTCAAATTTTTACTTTAGAATATTTTATCAAATTATAAAAATATCTAAAAAATGATAATTTAATACATTTCAAAACTACTTATTTAGACATATTGTATTGGAATAAATAGTAAATGGCTTAATTTATTTGTATAGCATTTATAAAAAATAATAATAAGTAAAATATGCTGGAGGTTATCAATATTCTTTAGAGTAAAATTTTTTTTTTTTTTCATCTTTTGTGCAAATTTTGGTAATTAATTATCTTCATATTTCATTTTACAGGATTTTATCAGAAAAAGATATACAATTAATATTTATTTGTGATTATGCTTGTAACTTATTCATTTCGTTATTTTATTTTAATTCTTTTATTAAATAAAAAGCATTTACTCTTCAAATAATAATATCTGATAAATATTAAAGAGTCATTTATTTATTAATTTTACTGGAATTTTAGAAAGCATCATATTAATTTAATATTATTATTGAATGATTGATAGCTTAGGTAAAAAATACACTCTTTTTACATCCAACTTCAATCATTTAGTTTATTACATATAGTTAGACTTCAATCAGTTTCAAACCAAATTTATGAAAAGCTGAACAATTTTGAAATCTAAATTAAAACCTCTTTAACTTAATTTCAGTGGTGATATATTATTAAAATTAAATAATCATAGGGAAATATTTTATTTCCCCATTACAAATAAAAGATTTTTAATATAAATCACTAGAATTTGGCTCTATCTTATGCTTTAATTTAATATTTATTGTCAGATTAATAACAAAGGATTAATTTTTATGTTTCTTTTTTATTTTAATTATTTTTTAACCAACAAATTAATTCAAAAAAACTAACAAATTTTATTCTGTAAACAATTTAATTTAAATTAAAAGAAAATTTTAAATATCTAACAATTTTACATCTGTCAATTAAAAGTCGAATAAATTAATTTGCTTGGTCCTTAAAGAATCCAAATACGTATTTCAAATTAATGATTTCGAAATTTTTTTTGCTATTTACAAAAGCAGTTTACTTTAAAATTTATATGTTTTTGTAAATTACAATTTAAAATAATTCTTTATTTTATTTAAAATAAAATTTTAATCTTTTTAAAAAAAGATTTCTTAATATTTATTCAAAATTTAAGATAATTTTGATAAATTTTGTAAAGACCTATGTATAATTTGTAAATTCTTAGATTAAGTAAGCTATTTTACATTTTACGGCAATCAATTAATTGAAATACATTTTATTTCAATTATATTAGATATTTAAATAATTTAGATAAGATATGAAAAAAAATCTATTTACTTATTTTATTGAACAATTAATCACATAAATTTTTAAAATAGAATAATTTAAGATAATTTGTATTTTCTAATTTATGGCAACAAAGTAATTTAAATCTATTTAATTCTAACAGCGATATTTGATATTTAAAATTCATTAAGAAAATAAATACTAAAAAATCTAAATATCTTATTTTTATTTTAATTAACAATCATACAGATTCATACAAATTTTGCATAAGATAAATTAAGATAATTTGTATTTTTGTTTTATGACTGTAAATTAATTTTAATTTATTTATTGCAACCATTAAAATTAAATAATTATCTTTTTTTACTTATTTTTTATTTGAGAAATCCAAAAACTATTATAATCTTCAAATAAAATATGAGCTCTACATAAATTCTGAGCAAAAAAATTTTTTGATTTGCCTATTCTTTAAAAAGTAATAAAAATATATTGCTAGAATGAAACTTGGCTCTCCTAATTGAATATAGATTATTTTTAATTTAGTTTACATTCCAAGCGAAATAGCCTTAATTTAATCAGGGGTTGCTCTATCAATTTATTAAATCAGTAATAATTATTTATTTTGCTTAACATCAAAAGTTAACATTAGAGATCTTCAAGCAAGAAGTTTTAATGGATATAAATTAGAAATGAAAAAAGTAAATGAAACAAATATAATAAATAAATAAAATAAAATAATAATAAGTTAATAAAATGAGAAAAAAAAATATATTGCTATTGAATATAATTTGCATAGTGCTTGTTAGCCAAGCAATAGCTTAAAACTATGATTACAATACTGCAAATGTTTGCGATACTGGCTCATTTGGTAAATCTCAAGATTAAGTTGCTTATATGTGCACTCATTAAGCTCTTGGTTCTTGCTAGCTACAATAAGCTGTGTAAGCTGATGGCTATTCTAGCTTTGCAGAGTATGGATTCGGAGGTTATGGAAGCAACCCTCCTTCAAATTATTGTTGTAGATGCTTTTAAATTCAAGTCTAAGATGGTGATGCTCCTGCAAAGGATATTATTGTTTAAGGTATTAACACAGGTGGTGATGTAAACAGTAATTAATTTGATTTATCTATGATTGCTGGTGGCTTTGGCGCTAACAACGGATGTGCTAACTAAGTTTTTGCATGGAATGGTGGTGCTTGGGATGGACGTGCTGGTGCTGCCTAATACTCTTAAAGTGCTGCTGGTGATTGGTGCAGTGATCCTACTTCAGATAATTCTAGATGTTAAAGTGCTTACTCTGGTGGTATCACTAAAAAAAGTGATTGTGCTAAGTTACCTAACAATAACTTAACCTAGCTATGTGAATACTCTTTTGATTCAAAATGGAGAACTAACAACGGAAATAGGGACACTATTATGAAAGAAGTAAGATGTCCTGCTGGATTGATTAAATTATCAGGCTGTAACAGAGATGATTCATCTTTACCTTACCCTTCTGGAAAGCTCTCTGCTAGTGATCCTAGTCTTATGAGAGGAAAATTGACTCATATGTGGGATTGTAAATATTTTATTACTTTAATATTTTTATTATTATTGATTTTTACTAAGTAATAAAATTCGATTTAAAAAATGACAATTAAATTATTCTATTTGAACATAATTTGGTTATCAAACATAAAAGAAATAATTAATAAATTACTTAATTTGTTGAATCAAATATAATTTATAAATTAATTAACTCAATTATGATAGAACGAGTTCAGTCTTATTGATTTTACCACAAAAAAATTGAATTTTTTGTTAGTAAATTGTAAGTAGATTTCATAAACATAAAAATTAATATACCAGATTTTCATTAAATCTTTAATACTATCTATTTTCTTTTCATAAAAAACACTACATTCTATATTTATTTAATTTAATTCTCTCAAATAAAACTCTCCACAACTAAATTATTAAAGTTATATTTTTTCTTTTAAATAGGTTGCAAACCATCTTGTTCATGGACTGCAAATGTATTAAAAGCTAATGGCACTGCTGTCATGTCTTGCGATGCATCAGGTACCAATATCCTTGGAACTAATACTTCGTTTTAATGTACTAATTTTACTTGTGATCCTACATGCAAAACCTGCTCTGCATCAAATGATGCAAAAAAATGCACATCTTGCAATACTGGCCACTACTTAAGCTCAAACCCTGGATAATGTACCGCTTGTACTCCTTCATTAAATTGCTAAGAATGCTCCAATAGCTCAACATGCACTACTTGTTAAACTGGATATACTTTATAGATTGATGGATCATGCAAGAAACCTTGCGATTAAAGTTGTAAAACTTGCAGCACTTCTTAAGATGCTACTTAATGTACTTCTTGCTATGATGGATACTATTTGAATGGATCTTCCGTTGGTACTTGTTCTAAATGCCCATCAGGTTGTACTAGCTGCACTTCTAATAGTAACTGTTTAGCTTGTACTGATAATTATGTTTTAATAAGTGGGAGTTGCGAACCTTGCGACTGTCCATGTTTATCTTGTAAAACAGACACTAGTACTTGTACAAGCTGTATTAAAGGTTACATTTTAAATGGAAACACATGCGAAGCTACTTGCGATTCTACTTGCAAAACTTGCAGTAAAAACTAAGATGCAACTTAATGCACTTCTTGCAATTCAGGATTCTATTTAGATGGAACTACTGTGGGATCATGTGTTTAATGTTCTTAAAATTGCAGCAGTTGTACTTCCAAAAATAGCTGTTAAACTTGTACCAACAACACCATATTAGTGAGCGGTTAATGCCAATCTTGTAAAAGCCCATGCTAAACTTGCTAGACTTCAGTCACAAATTGTTTATCTTGTGTTTAAGGGTATACTTTGAATAGAAATACTTGTTCTCCAACTAAAGGAGAATGTCATCCCAGCTGCAAAACTTGCAGTGTTAACAATGACTAAAATGCTTGTACCTCCTGTTTTGATGGGTTTTTAATTTTGGGTAGTGGTAATTGTTAGCCTTGTCAGCCTCCTTGTTATAATTGCTCTGGAAATCCCAATAACTGTACTTAGTGTGCTAGCGGTTATGCTGTCTAAAATGGTACATGCTAAAAAATCAAGTGATAATACATAATATTATTCAACCTGCTAAACTTGCACATAAGCTAATAATGCTAATAATGTATGTGCACTATGCCTGAGTGGATTTGTTCTTACCTCAGATAACTATTCCTAATTCTGCTAAAGTCTCTGTTAAACATGCAGTGATTCTCCAACTAGCTGTTTTATTTGTGTTGCTAATTATACCTATAATTGCTATGTTTATCCTCTCAATTTGATTTACGAAATGAATTAATTAGATTACATTATACATATAAATTATTAAAAAATCTATCTATAATAAATTTATATTAGTTTGATTGAATAATATTACATTAGATTTAAAATCAAATCAAAATTTCTAAAATTTTTTTTATCATTCCATTTTAACCAACAAATGAACACAAAGAGAATATAAATTAAAATGAAAATGAATTATAAAATAATAAAATATATTAAGTGTAATTTATATTTGTTATTAGTAGGCCAGAATAGGCAATAATTCAATTCAATAAAATGATTTCATATCATTCTCCTAATTTAATTGAAAATTTAAAGTGAACTTCCATGAAATAAAATTATGTCATTCAAATAAGCTGTATAGCAGAATTAAAGTTTAATTTTAAATAAATATTTTAATTAAAATCTTTTATTTTTTTTAGAATAATTCAAAATTTTATTCAGTATTTATTAAGAAAAAATTTATATTTTAGCTCTAAATTCCCAAGTTTTAATTAAATTTGTTGTATTTAAAAAAGGAATAAATTTTTAAAAACTAACTTTTCAATTAAAAATTAATTTCGTCAAAAACATTATTATTTATTTAGAATGTTTTGGAAAATGATAAATATAAATATAGATTTTAGAATCATAAAAAAAAATTTTAAATATTTTATAATCTGGATGCAGTATATACTTAAATATTATTTGAAATAAACATAATCAAACTTTTAATAAAGCAAACATTTTTAAAAATTTGTTTTAAGTCAATTGAAATTTAACATTTTTAAATGCCTGAGCAGCCAAATTTAAATTCCTAAAAATGTTGTAAATGATTATTTTCATAGCTGTTAAAAATGACATCATTACATCATTAAACATCAATAATTAGTAACTTAGATAAAAGAGGAAAACTCTTGGGTTTAGCTAAATTTCAAAATAGATATAATATTTCAAATTACTTGCAATGGTACTCACCATACTTATCTAAACAAATCAGCTTAGAAATCATAATATTTTGTTATTGATTTCAAAGTAGAATTATATTTAAGGAATCCTTACAAAATATGAATAAAATTATAAAATAAGTAAACAAGTAAGTTGAATTTGTTAAATTTTGATAATTAGTTTACCTAATTAAATGAATCAATTTTAATAAAACTAACACCACAGAAAATTATAATTTTACCAAAATATACATTTTTAATTAAAATTTCAGTGTAAACAAAATAGCTTTACTTCTCACTGAAATATTGTATATTCAAGCAATTCTCTCAAAGTAAAAGAGAGAGCGTAGGCAGAATTTCATTTTGCTCATTTTGCTTATTTTGCTCACATAATGAGAGAGAATAGAATCACTTTAGATAACATTTTCGATAATGCTTTTCTAAATTCCATTAATCTCATATGGAATTTTTTATTTTGAAAATAGGTCATTCAGCAATTATTTAGAGTAATAAAAAATGTGATCATCAAATTTGAATTCCATTTTGCTTATAAAACCTTAGAAAAGAATAAGAGGATTATTTTTTTTAAAAATTTTAACTTCTTCCTGCTCTCTTAAAATTTAAGCTTCACTATGAGAAAATTGAATTTTTACACCATTTAAAATTTAGGAGTTAAACCCTATTTCAGAATTTGAGCTCATTTATTTATTCCTAAATAAATTGTTCGTTTATCATATTTTTATATTCAAAATGCTTAAAGATACAGTTTTACACACCAAAAATATTAATGAATGAGTTAATAATACTTTAATAAAATCTTCTTATATGTTAGGAATGTTCCTTCTATATTAACCATAGCTTAGGAACAATTATTTTCAATAAATTTTATACCTATATCATGATAAATTGTTTCACCTCCTGTTTTCCTCCTTAAAAAAAGGCACCTAATCTTCATACAAGCTGAATATGTAGTGCTCTTACAATTGCTTTTATTATTTTCCTAAAAATCATAATCTCCTCAAGTTAAAATTATGAATTTGTAGTACCAATAATAACTAAATATTTATTTTTCCAAAGTATCAAATGAGGCGCTTTTATGTCTTACTCAAAGAGGAGCTGTTCTAGAGACATATTGTAATATATGTCATTTGAATCAGAAAAAAATACTTCGAAATATATTCTTATCAATCTAAATTGATGTATTGAATTAATATAGAATCTATCTTCTTAGAAGTTAGATATCTACTAAATTAACTCAAAAGACTATATTTTATTATCATTTTTATTTAAATTTTAATATTATATAAAAGCTGATATCCATTAAATTATTTTTAGTTGTAAAATATCTTTCTCGTTTGATGTAAGCAATAAAATTTTTAAATCATTGTTAACACACAATAATATTTTAAATTGATGTTCAAAATACTAAAAGCAAGTATTAAATAAATTATAATCAAGTTAACATAAATAAGGGTTATATAAAGTATATTCTAATTATTAAGTTCAGTTTATATTACATTATACTAATTGAAAACAAATCAATGCTAAATATAAAATTTTAAAATCTATATAATTTAACTTCTCACTTCCTATATTTCCTTTTATTATTTAATTTTTTTGTAAGACATTTTTATATAAGATATTTTTTTTTATGGTTACCTTTTATTAATTTTTAATTTTTTATCAGTTGTGTATTATTTAATATTTATTAATGAAACTATATAATAATTTGTTTTATTAAATAATATTTGGTTTTAAGGGACGCAAAAATAATAAATAGAGGGTGCGAAAAAAATGAATGGATGTAGTGCACAAGAATAACGGTTTCTACTGTATTAGGTATTCTAAGGTAACTATTTTATCAGGATTTAGAGGAGACTTTAAATGCTTTATAGAATGCGACCAAACTTATAAAAATAAAAATATAGAAATACATATATACATAGTTAAAATAATAATTGTAGACATTTTAATTGTAAATGCTATGGTCTTAAATATATTGAGTAAAAATAAAAAATGACAAAAAAGTAATTGAGATAAGCTACTTTAAAAGAATTTAAAAAGTGTTTTCTAGAGTACTTTGATGATTTCTAAAGTGCTGCCTTTAATTTAGTCTGTGCATATAAGTCTATTCCTAAAAAAGTAGTGCATTATAACTATATTGTGATAGAAGTTGGGTATGGGCTCTTACTGTCAGTTGAGGATAATAAAAATAAGAACAACACTTTTAGATCTAATTTGGATTATTTTGATAAAATAATGTTACTCTTCTAAAACTAGTTCCAGATATAGATAGCTCTTGATTTGGTAGATGAAGTTGCAGAAACATTTGATTAATTCTCATAAAAGTTAACTAAAAAAATTTTTGTTTAGGAGTTTCAATTATACTATATTAAAAGCAGATCAAATATTTTATTAAATTACAAAAATGTCTAAAAAATGATAATTTAATACATATTAAAATTACTTATTTAGACATATTAAATTGGAATAAATAGTGAAAACGCATTAGTATGTTTATATAATATTTATAAAAATTAATTATATGTTAAATATATTGGAGGTTATCAATATTCTTTATTGTAAAAGTTATTTTTTTTCATATTTTGTGCAAATTTTGGTAAATTAATTATCTTCAAATTTCATTTTATTGGATTTTATCAGAAAAAGATATACAATAAATATTTATTTTGTTATTCTGCTTTTAACTTAATCATTTCATATTTTTATTTAATTCTTTTATTAAATAAAAAGCATTTACTCTTCAGATAATAATATCTGATAAAAATTAAAGGGTTATTTATTTATTAACTTTACTGGAATTTTAGAAAGCATCAGATTAATTAATTATTGAGTGATAGATAGCATTGGTATAAAAAATTTACTCTTTTTACATCTAACTCCTATCGTTTAGCATAATTTTTTTGATGTGTCATTTTGGAATTATCTTTATATTATTGGTTTAATTAATAAAATGAAAATTAAAAAAATCTAAAGGTTATTCACTTTGTAAATAAAAATGTAACTAACTGCAAATAAAAAAAATGGTTAAAAAATTTAACTTAAAATTTTAAATAGGGTAAAATAAAAATAAAGTTATGTCCAAAAGTATGTTTTATTAGCAAAGTGGATTGAATTTTACTTAAGAAGAAATTAATAATTGGGTACTAATAAATGATAGAATTAAAACCTAAATTATAAATTAATAATTTACATTATCCTAACAATAAAGATTTGTATTTATTTTTTATTGTCAATTAATAGTCGAATAAATTCATTTGCTTGATCTTTAAAGAATCCAAAAATATATTTCAAATTAATTATTTAGAAATTTTAAAAACTATTTACAAAAGCAGTTTACTATATAAATTTATAAGTTTTAGGAAATTATATTCAAAATAATGCTTTATTCTATTTAAAATAATATTTTAATCTTATAAAAATGAGGTTTAATATTTATTCAAAATTTAAAATAATTTAGATAAGTTTTGTAAAAACCTGTATATAATTAGTAAATTCTTAGATTAAGTAAGCTATTTTACAATTTACGGATATGAATTAATTTAATTCAACTGTATTAAATATTTAAAATAATCTAGATAAGATATGAAAAAGAAATCTATATATCTTATTTTTATTTTATTAAACAATTAATCACACAAATTTTTAAAATAGAATAATTTAAGATAATTTGTATTTTCTAATTTATGGCAACAAAGTAATTTAAATCTATTTAATTCTAACACAGCAATATTTGTTGTTTTAATTCATTTAGAAAAGATATCATAAAAAATCTTAATATCCTATTTTTATTTTAATTAACAATCATACATATCCATACAAATTCTTATATAAAATAAATTAAGATAATTTGTATTTTTGTTTTTATGACTGTAAATTAATTTTAATTTATTTATTGCAATCATTTGAAGTAAATAATTATATTTTTTAACTTATTTTTATCATTAGAAATTCAAAAAATTTTATAATTTTCAAATAAAATATGAAATCTACATGAATATTCAGCAAAAAAATTTTTTTGATTTGCCTATTCTTTAAAAAGTAATAAAAATATATGCTAGAATGAAACTTGACTCTCCTAATTCAATATAGATTATTTTTAATTTAGTTTACACTCCAAGCGAAAAATTTAATCTGGGGTTGCTCTATCAATTTATTAAATCAGTAATAATAATTATTTATTTTGCTTAACATCAAAAGTTTACATTAGAGATCTTCAAGCAAGAAATTTTAATAGATATAAATTAAAAACGAAAAAAGCTAAGAGAAACAAATATAATAAATAAATAAATAAAATAATAATAAGTAAATAAAATGAGAAAAAAAAATATATTGCTATTGAATATAATTTGCCTGGTGCTTATTAGTTAAGCAATAGCTTAAAACTATGATTACAATACTGCAAATGTTTGCGATACTGGCTCATTTGGTAAATCTCAAGATTAAGTTGCTTATATGTGCACTCATTAAGCTCTTGGTTCTTGCTAGCTACAATAAGCTGTGTAAGCTGATGGCTACTCTAGCTTTGCAGAGTACGGATTCGGTGGTTATGGAAGCAATCCTCCTTCAAATTATTGTTGTAGATGCTTTTAAATTCAAGTCTAAGATGGTGATGCTCCTGCAAAGGATATTATTGTTTAAGGTATTAACACTGGTGGTGATGTAAACAGTAACTAATTTGATTTATCTATGATTGCTGGTGGCTTTGGCGCTAACAACGGATGTGCTAACAAAGTTTTTGCATGGAATGGTGGTGCTTGGGATGGACGTGCTGGTGCTGCCTAATACTCTTAAAGTGCTGCTGGTAATTGGTGCAGTGATCCTACTTCAGATAATTCTAGATGTTAAAATGCTTACTCTGGTGGCATCACTAAAAAAAGTGATTGTGCTAAGTTACCTAACAATAACTTAACCTAACTATGTGAATACTCTTTTGATTCAAAATGGAGAACCAGCAACGGAAATAGAGACACTATTATGAAAGAAGTAAGATGTCCTGCTGGATTGATTAAATTATCAGGCTGTAACAGAGATGATTCATCTTTACCTTACCCTTCTGGAAAACTCTCAGCTAGTGATCCTAGTGTTATGAGAGGAAAATTGACTCATATGTGGGATTGTAAATATTTTATTACCTTAATATTTTTATTATTATTGATTTTTACTAAGTTTAAATACATAAATAAAATTCTAAAATACACGATCTATATTCATTTCAGATAAAATATTGCTTTCTTTATTCTTAAATAAAACTCTCCACAACTAAAATATATTAAAGTTATATTTTTTCTATTAAATAGGTTGCAAACCATCTTGTTCATGGACTGCAAATGTATTAAAAGCTAATGGCACGGCTGTCATGTCTTGCGATGCATCAGGTACCAATATCCTTGGTACTAATACTTCGTTTTAATGTACTAATTTTACTTGTGATCCTACATGCAAAACTTGCTCTGCCTCCAATGACGCAAACAAATGCACATCTTGCAATACTGGCCACTACTTAAGCTCAAACCCTGGATAATGTACTGCTTGTACTCCTTCATTAAATTGCAAAGAATGTTCCGATAGCTCAACATGCAAAACTTGTTAAACTGGATATACTTTATAGATTGATGGATCTTGCAAGTAACCTTGCGATTAAAGCTGTAAAACTTGCAGCACTCCTTAAGATGCTACTTAATGTACTTCTTGCAATGACGGATACTATTTGAGTGGATCTTCTGTTGGTACTTGTTCTAAATGCCCATCAGGTTGTACTAGCTGCACTTCTAATAGTAACTGTTTAGCTTGTTCTGATAATTATGTTTTAATAAGTGGAAGTTGTTAAGCTTGCAATAGTCCATGCTTATCATGTAAAACTGACACTAATACTTGTACAAGTTGTGTTAAAGGTTATGTTTTAAATGGAAACATATGCGAAGCTACTTGCGATTCTACTTGCAAAACTTGCAGTAAAAACTAAGATGCAACTTAATGCACTTCTTGCAATTCAGGATTCTATTTAGATGGAACTACTGTGGGATCATGTGTTTAATGTTCTTAAAATTGCAGCAGTTGTACTTCCAAAAATAGCTGTTAAACTTGTATCAACAACACCATATTAGTGAGCGGTTAATGCTTATCTTGTACAAGCCCATGCTAAACTTGCTAGACTTCTGTCACAAATTGCTTATCTTGTGTTTAAGGGTATACTTTGAATGGAAATACTTGTACTCCTATAAACACAGGAGATTGCCATCCTAGTTGCTAAACATGCAGCAGACCAAATGATTAAAATTCTTGTACTTCATGCCCTACAGGATATCTTGTTCTTGGAGGTAACTGTTAGCCTTGTTAAAGTCCATGCTAGAATTGCAGCGGAAATCCTAATAGTTGCACTTCATGTATTGCAAATTATTCATTAAGTGGAAACACATGTGTTGGTAGTAATTAAGATTAAACACAATGTCACCCCAGCTGCAAAACTTGCAGTGTTTAATATGACTAAAATGCTTGTACCTCCTGCTTTGATGGGTTTTTAATTTTGGGTAATGGTAATTGTTAGCCTTGCCAACCTCCTTGTTAAAATTGCTCTGGTAATCCCAACAATTGTACTTAATGTGCTAGTGGTTATGCTGTCTAAAAAGGTACATGCTTAAAAATATTAAATGATAATACATAATGTGATTCAACCTGTTAAACTTGCACATTAGCTAATAACGCAAATGCATGTGCATCATGCGTGAGTGGGTTTGTTCTTGCCTCAGATAACAGTTGCTAAGCATGCTAAAGTCCCTGTTAAACATGTAGTGGTTCTACAACTAGCTGTCTTACTTGTATTGCTAGTTATAACTTACAAGGCAATTAATGTGTTCCCTAATTATTGGCAACAGTAAGCATGAATTCAAGCATTTTGAAATTGAGTTTGATGGGTTTAATAGCTATATTTATCCTTTTAATTTGATTTATGAAATGAATTAGATTATATTATATACATATATATTATTAAAAAAATCTATAAAAATTTATATTAGTACAAGATTGAATAATTTTACATTAGATTTAAATTCAAATCTAAATTTCTAAATTTATTTCATGTAATTCCTCTCTTCCTTAGTCTTATGCAGAGGACTAAAAATTTAGCTGAGGTCTTCATTTAGAGGTACAAAATAAACTTTTTAAATATTTAATAATTGATGAATCTGGCAGCTGGCCGCAGTATATACAAAATTCTTATAAATTTTGATGTAAATATATTTAACTTTTATTAAAGCAAGAATGTTTGAAAATTGGTTTTAAATCAATTGAAATTTAGCAATTTTTAAATGTTTGAGCAGCCAAATTTTATTCATAGAAATGTTGTAAATGATTATTTTCATATCTGCTTAATGTAATATCGTTACATCACTACACCTCAATAATTAGTAACTTAGATAAAAGAGGAAATACCTTGGGTTTAGCTAACATTTTAAAAAAAATAGAATATTTCAAATAATTTACAATGTTACTCCTCACACTTGTTTAATCAAATTGGCTGAGGAATCTTAATTTATTTTTATTGATTACAAAGTAGAATTATATTTAACAAGTGCTTACAAAATATGAATAAAATTATAAATAAGTAAGTTGAATTTGTTAAATTTTGATAATTAGTTTACCTAATTAAATGAATCAATTTTAATAAAATTAACACCACAAAAAAATTATAATTTTACTAAAATATATATTTTTAATTAAAATTTCAGTGTAAACAAAATAGCTTTAACTTTCACTGAAAATTTGTAATTCAAGCAATTCTCTCAAAATAAATGAGAGTGTAAGGCAAAATTTAATTTTTGATCGTTTCGCTCTCATAATGAAAGATAACAGAATCATTTTAAATAATATTTTTAGAAACTTCATTAATTCTATATGGAATTTTTAATATTAAAATTAGATTGTTCAACATTATTCAGAGTAAAAAAATTAGATCATCAAAAATGAATTTCTTACTTATAAAACCATAGAAAAGAATTAGATAGTTATTTTTAAAAAAATATTACCTTCCTCATGTTCTATTAATATTTGAACTTCACCATGAGATGATGGAATTATTATATCCTTTTAAAGTTTAGGAGTTTTGCCATATTCCATGATTTGAACTCATTTATTTATTCCTTAATAAACTGTTCATTTATCATATTTTTATATTCAAAATGCTTAAAGATACAGTTTTACATACCAAAAAAAAATTAATGAAAGAATCAACAATACCTTAATAAATTATATCTTCTAATATATTTAGATAAATATCTTTAATATTACAAACTTAATATACAACACTTTCTTGTTTTTTACCAACAAATTAATTAAAAAAATGCTAATTAATGTTATTTTGTAAACATAGAATTTAATTTCTTTGAAAACAAACTTTTAAATATATAACAATTTTTCCATCTGTCAATTAATAGTCGAATAAATATATTTGCTTGATCCATAAAGAATCCAAAATCAAATTGCAAATTAATGATTTCAAAATTTTTATAACTATTTACAAAAGCAGTTTACTCTAAAAATTTATATATTTTATTAAATTACAATTCAAAATAATTCTTAATCCTATTTAAAATAATATTTTAATCGTAAAAAAAAGAGGTTTCTTAAAATTTATTCAAAATTTAAAATAATTTATAAAATAGAATAATTTAAGATAATTTGCATTTTCAAATTTATGCAACACAGTAATCTAAATCTATTTAATTCTAACACAGCAATATTTGATGTTTAAAATCATTTAGAAAAAATATAATAAAAAATCTAAATATCTTATTTTATTATAATTAACTATCATATAAATTCATACAAATCCTTTTTTAAAGTAAATTAAGATAATTTGTATTTTTGTTTTTATGAATGTAAATTCATTTTAATAGATTTATTACAATAATTAGAAGTAAATAATTATCTTTTTTCACATACTTTTAACATTAAAAATTAAAAAACTATTATAATTTTTCAAATAAAATATGAAATCTACACAAATATTTAGCAAAAAATTTTTTGATTTTCCTATTATTCAAATAGTCATAAAAATATATTGCTAGAATGAAACTTGGTCTCCTAATTCAATATAGATTATTTTTAATTTAGTTACATTCAAAGCGAAATAGCTTTAATTTAATTTGTGGTTGCTCTATCAATTTATTAAATCAGTAATCATAATTATTTATTTTGCTTAACATTACAAATTTATATTAGAGATCTTCAAGCAAGAAATTTTATGGATATAAATTAGAAACGAAAAAAGCTAAGAGAAACAAATATAATTAAATAAAAAAAATTAAATAATAATAAGTTAATTAAATGAGAAAAAAAAATATTATGCTATTGAATATAATTTGCATAGTGCTTGTTAGTCAAGCAATAGCTTAAAACTATGATTACAATACTGCAAATGTTTGTGATACTGGCTCATTCGGTAAATCTCAAGATTAAGTTGCTTATATGTGTACTCATTAAGCTCTTGGTTCTTGCTAACTACAAAAAGCTGTATAAGCTGATGGCTACTCTAGCTTTGCAGAGTACGGATTTGGAGGTTATGGAAGTAACCCTCCTTCAAATTATTGTTGTAGATGCTTTTAAATCTAAGTCTAAGATGGTGATGCTCCTGCAAAGGATATTATCGTTTAAGGCATTAACACAGGTGGTGATGTAAACAGTAATTAATTTGATTTATCTATGATTGCTGGTGGCTTTGGCGCTAACAACGGATGTGCTAACTAAGTTTTTGCATGGAATGGTGGTGCTTGGGATGGACGTGCTGGTGCTGCCTAATACTCTTAAAGTGCTGCTGGTAATTGGTGCAGTGATCCTACTTCAGATAATTCTAGATGTTAAAATGCTTACTCTGGTGGCATCACTAAAAAAAGCGATTGTGCTAAGTTACCTAACAGTAACTTAACCTAACTATGTGAATACTCTTTTGATTCAAAATGGAGAACTAACAACGGAAATAGAGACACTATTATGAAAGAAGTAAGATGTCCTGCTGGATTGATTAAATTATCAGGCTGTAACAGAGATGATCCATCTTTACCTTACCCTTCTGGAAAGCTCTCTGCTAGTGATCCTAGTGTTATGAGAGGAAAATTGACTCATATGTGGGATTGTAAATATTTTATTACTTTAATATTTTTATAATTATTGATTTTTACTAAGTAATAAAATTCAATTAAAACAATGACAATTAAATTCTTCTATTTGAACATATTTGGATTTTCAAACATAAATTAAAAAATAAATAAGTAAATTACTAAATTTTTTTTTCTTTTATTTAGGTTGCAAGCCATCTTGTTCATGGACTGCAAATGTATCCAAAGCTAATGGTACTGCTGTCATGTCTTGTGATGCATCTGGTACCAATATCCTTGGTACTAATACTTCGTTTTAATGTACTAATTTTACTTGTGATCCTACATGCAAAACCTGCTCTGCATCCAACGATGCAAACAAATGCACATCTTGCAATACTGGCCACTACTTAAGCTCAAACCCTGGATAATGTACTGCTTGTACTCCTTCATTAAATTGCTAAGAATGCTACAATAGCTCAACATGCACAAGTTGTGTTAAGGGTTATGTTTTAATTGGAAATACATGTCAAGCCACTTGTGATTCTACTTGTAAAACTTGCAGCAAAAACTAAGATGCAACTTAATGCACTTCTTGCAATTCAGGATTCTATTTAGATGGAACTACTGTAGGATCATGTGTTTAATGTTCTTAAAATTGCATCAGTTGTACTTCCAAAAATAACTGCCTAAATTGCAGTAATAACACCATATTAGTGAGCGGTTAATGCTAATCTTGTACAAGCCCATGCTAAACTTGCTAGACTTCAGTCACAAATTGCTTATCTTGTGTTTAAGGGTATACTTTGAAGGGAAATATTTGTACTCCAACAGACACAAAAGATTGCCATCCTAGTTGCTAAACATGCAGCAGACCAAATGATTAAAATGCTTGCACTTCATGCCATACAGGATATCTTGTTCTTGGAGGTAACTGCTAGCCTTGTTAAGTTCCATGCTAGAATTGTAGAGGAAATCCTAATAGTTGCACTTCATGTATTGCAAATTATTCATTAAGTGGAGACAAATGTGTTCATATTAATAAATGAGTTTGGCAGTTTTAATTGCTATGTTTATCCTTTCAATTAATTTGATTTATGAAATGAATTAGATTACATTATCTACATATATATATCTATAAAAATTTATATTAGTACAAAATACTAAAAATAAATTTATAAAAAAATAAAAAATAATTTTTGTGTTTTAAAATAATATATTAACTAACAAATCTATCTATCCAGCCTTGACATAGTTTCATGGTGTGATATGAAATTAAAGAAAGGTATTTGTGAAAGGCTTTTAATTCTTCAAAAAACATAAAAATCATGACCAACAATTATTAATTAAGTAAAATAAAAATAAATAAACTAAATTTGGAGTTGTTGAAACTTTTAATTATGCAAGAGTTTATTTTCAAGGTTTATCCTGACTTAAAATAAATGAATAAATAATTCTTACAAAAATTAAAACAATTTTGAGATTATTATTTATTATTTCAAATGTTTTTCAGTATTTAATAAAAATATTAATTTTTAAAGAGATATTCATAAAAATAAAATAAATTTTACAAAAAAATTTAATTATTTGTTTTTAAATTATGAGATTTGCTTGCTTGTTTTAATGAGGTAAAATGTTATTTTTATTAATTTAAATGTAAATTTGATTTCTTTAAGAATTATAAGATGAAACATTCTTTATTTCCTAGAAATATTATTAAAAAATTAGACCACAACTTTGAAAATCATAATTTATAGTTAAAAAAAATAAACTAAATTACCAAATCTGTTATTAGTCATTTTAATATTTCAAATAAAACACATTATGTTATTCATCTAAAATCTATTATAAAATTTAATAAATTTAATTAATTTGTAAAAATACCTTTTATTAGAAAGTATTAGTGCTATCCAAGCTATAAAATTTAGATAGGCTTTTGTTTATAATTAAATAATTTTATTTTTTTAATGTCTGTAAATTTTTTTATTTATTAATAAAATTATAATAGCAATTGAAAAATGAATTTATTAAAAAAAGATAAAAAATAAATTATTTTTAATTCAAATAAAATAATTTCACAGTAGATGTATGCTTTTGTTATTAAAACTATAAAATATAAATATTTATATATTTAGTTTTTGAGTTTTTAAGTAATAAATTAAAATGTTTTTCATCAGTAAAACACTCAATTATTATTTTAAACAAACAAAAATATTATATCATTCATTGAGTATTTATAATTTATGATATTGTTTTCATCGATTTATTTTAAATTTAAATCTTATTATTTGAATATAATTAATTTAATATATCAATTTAGCCACACTATGAAATATTTGTTTTTAGGTAAATCAATTATTTTAGCTTAGGAAAAATTTGTCTTATTTTTTACCACGTCATTTGAACCCTTAAATATCTTTAAACATGCTAATCTAAACCTAATTTTTATATTATTTACTCACATTTAGGTGATTTTGATTAGAAAAATTTAATAATTTTAATATATTTAGGCATTTAATAGTGATTAAGTTAAAAGAGTATTAAATGTAAGATAAGAGCTACTATACATAGTAAACCAATTGTGCATAAAAGCTCTAATTATTGTTAGTTTATTCTCTATTACATAGTATTGATTGAAAAACAAATTGCTGTTAAATATTAAATTTTAAAATCTATCTAATTTAATTTCTCGCTTTCATATGGCTTATCTTTTTATATTTTTATAATTACAATTAAAAATTAATTAAAAGCAAAAAAATATTACATCTAAATACTAAAAGACTGTAAGATAAGGAAATTATGATAGATATTACTATCTATAATTAGCTAATTAAATAAGAGTAGTAGAAGATCAAGAAAAGTATTAATTTGTAACCAATTTTCACAAAATCCCATAAATAAAATTATTACTTATAATCTAATGTAAAAAAACCATAAAGATATTCGTATTTATACATTTTTAAGAAATATCTAGCTCTGTAAAGTCTAAATATAATCAAAGCAAAAGGAGATAATAAAGCTACAATTACCAAGATTAAGGCTGACAAATCATAATAAGTCTAAAATACTAAGCTGCAATTTAAAGATAAATATTCCATTACAAATTCTACATCACCAAATTTCTAGCAATAAACCTTTTTTAATTGAAGAAAAGTTTATGATGATTCCATTTAAAAATATTAAAAATAATTATTTAAATAAATAAATTTTTACTGATCTAAAAATCTTTGACAATATGGCAATCAGTGAAAAGTAAAGAAAGATACTTATGGAGATAACCATTTCTTTAATGGTACCTTTGTATTTGAATTTTGTTTTTATAAAGGTGTTATGTATGGCCAAGTAAATTATTACAAAAAAACATATCCCTAAAAATAGGTAAATACTATTATTAATTATCCTAGATTCTTAAAAAATTTATTGTAAGAAGCATTCTGTTACCCTTAATTAAGTAGGAAACAGATTACCAATATCAACAAATAAACGTATTAGCATATTAGGTATATTACTATCATAACTAAACATTATTCCTATAATTGATAACTAAAAAACAAAGAATTTTATAATTCTAATATCATTAGAGTAGTGATTTCCATAAAACTTTTTAAAAAGCACATAAATTGTTTTAGCCATTAACTTAATTTTTAAATAATTATGCATTCTATTAGCTGTAAATAGAGGTATTACTATTATGGATATTAATATAATCAATGGATAGATGATTTCTGTAAAAGTGATATCGCTACATCTGTTAAATATTTTTAATAATGTAAATAAATAGATAAATGAAAAAAATTTTTTACTTTTTGCATTTTTAATCTAAATTCATGTAATATTAATCTCCCCAGCTTTAGCCACTTCTATCACAATCTTCACAAAGAGCACCAACATAGCCTAAATAAAAAAATGTTTTAAATGTGTAATTTAATGTAAGTTTACCTTGCTTGCAGTAATAATTTAAATCTGTACGTTTAACGTTGAATAAATTTCGATGTTTTAAACCTTTACTTAATTTGATATCTCCAACACAATTTTTACATGGATACAAAACAGCCGATGTTTAACTGACTCTCCATAAATTTGCAGGTAAAAGAATTTTATTCTTATAACACTTAGCTTCTGAACTAGGACATTTTTAGCAAGTATTTGAAATTACAAAACTATATTAGGTATCTTTACAGTCTTAACAAGAATCAAATTAATTTTTATAAGCTTTTGGTATTTAGCCTACCTGGCATTATTAAATAGTTTGCACATTAAGTATAATTGATTTGTTAATATAATTTATTACATAACCGCTTTAACTAAGTTATGGTATTTAAATTAAATCACTTGTTATTTATAAAGAAAGCTATTTACCAAAGTTTCCATATACTTAGATTTATTATGTTAAGTTGAATATTCCATTTTAGTGAGTTATTTTATTTTAATTAAGAAATCCATTATCACCTAATAATGTTATTAAAAGAAAGCTATCTAATGGAATATTTAGAATATTTTCATTTTATTCATTTGATAATCTAATTAAAATCTTATCCTAATAATATAAAGAAAAATTAATAAGAATTTTCTGTAAAAATAATTTAAAAATTAATAAAAAATTAATAATTTATTTATAAATATGTTAATTAAGCTAAAAAATTAGATATGAATATTACTTAAAAGGACCCTCCTTGATGATTGTAGATAATTATATTTTAACTTGAAACATATTCATTATTTATTGATACATTAAATTAAGTTGGGGCTGTTTAAATATTTTATCCATGATATGTAGCTTAGTTATTTTTATATACACAAGATGAGTATTTATTAACTCTTTAACCTGTTGTTGATCCTAAAGCTCCTCCAAAACTTGCTTAATTATTTGAAAATGTACTGTTTGCAAGGTTAATTAAAAATTTTAAAATGTTCTGCATGTTATTTTCTAAATATATTGCTCCACCATATTAACTAGCATAATTTTTTTCAAAAATGGATTTATTTATAATAACAGAAGACTCTTTTATGTATAAAGCTCCTCCACTTATAATAGCTTTATTGTTTGTAAATTTAGAATTACTTATAATTAATTAATTTTTAAAATTGTCTTGAAGATCTTCAGGGCTATTAATTGGTTATTTAGTTTACTCTATAAATAAACTTGATCCGTATTATGCAATGTTATTTATAAAAACGGAATCTTGAACTAATAAGCTTGAAGTAAATATTTATAAAATACCAAAGTTGCACTAATAGCAAACATTATTTGTGACAGTCAAATTTGAAATTAAGCAAGTCTGGCTACTTAAAAAAGCGATGTTTTATATATTCTATCCTTATTTCTAAAAAGATTTATTGATATTATAATTATTTGATATCTAAGTATCATACATGTAAATATTTTAAGTATTTTTTACCATGATTAAATTTTCAAAGAACACACTCTTTTCATAAATATTGTTTAGATCAAAATAATTTTGAGCATCATTTATTATTAAAAGCTTTTAATATAGAAGCTCTTTGAATTAAGATTGTTAATCGTTAATGTTTTAGCTTGGAACTATTTAAAATCTTGAGAATAAAATTTATATATTGCTGGCCTATCCAATATAAACTTATGAAGGTTCAGAGGATTAAATTATTTAAGTTTTGTATTAATTGAGAACATTACTAAGTTATTCTAGTAAATTAGAAGTATTTTAAATCTAATTGTTAATTTTAACAGATGAAAGAACAATTTTTGCTTATGAATCAAAATAATTTTAAATATTGATACTACTGCCTTAACTAGAAAAATTATCTAAGAAAAAACTCTTCTAAATTATTACAGCACCTTTTTAGCATAATGACTTAATATTTAGTGCTCCACCAGTATTAAATGCAAAATTATTAGAAAACTCTGATCTGATTACGAAGATATCAAATGTTCTTGAATAAGTTGCATCAATGTAAATTGCTCCTCCTTGTGTTTCTAAATCATCTTAGCTGAAAGCAATATTGTTTTAAAAGGTACTTTTAAATATATCTAGCTTTCCATAATTTTGTATAGTTAAATGAATAGCACCGCCCATTAAAGCTTGGCCAAAAATAAATTATGAATATTTTATGTCTAGCTATTCTGTGCTAATTGTGAAAAATCCACCATTTCTAACAGAAGTTGTATTAAAGTAATTATTTATGTTGCTAAAGTTACAAGATATTAAACTTATTTGCTTAACTAAACCTTATATCCAATTAAAAGGCTATCTCAAATCTAAATTGGTAAAAGCAGAATTCAAAATGTTGACTTTAGTTGTTGCAGATTAAAAATAAAATCCAAATGATATCTTAGATATTATAGGCTATTGATAATAATTAAAATAAATTATTTAAAATAAAAGTAAAAAATTTATTGAGTTTTATATTTATTAAAATAAATATCTTAAATTAGTCAAGAGAGTTTTTAAATTTTTAAGTAAAAATTGATACTTTTTATGACAATGAAAATTGAGATTTAATGTAATACATTTACAAATAAATTATACTTAAATTAATAATTTACCTTATTAACTAATGAATATGCTGAAAATGATGCGAGAGTGACATTTTATACTGTAAAGTTAGTATTAAACTTTGAATTGATAGAAATTAATGAAATGTCTTGAGTGCTATCTAAAATAACTACTTTAGTTTAGTTACTTAAAATATTCTTAACATTAATTTAAAGAGTGTTTTATTATTGAGTATTAAAGTTATTTTCAATAAAGACTATATTGCTAGAAATGCTAATTGATTATTACTCTAAATTTTAAATTGTTATTTCTTTTAGCGATTATCTTAAATAACATAATTAAGGGGCTATAAATTATTTACCTGTCTACTATTAAGTGATCTCTGATAATTATAATTTTTAAATGTTTTCTGTTTACACTAGTAAAAAGAATTAGTTATCTATTGTGGTAATATTTTACATTAAAATTTATTTAAGACCACTAAATTGAATTAATATTTAAGTTAAATCTTACTAAAATTTATTCCTTTGAATGTTAATTCCATTAATAATGCAATTACTACTTTATTAAGTTTGTATCATTAAAAGGAAAAACGGATTATAAGAAGCATTATTATTCATAATTTAAACTTCAGAGAGAAGTGAAGTTTAGTTTCCTTAATTTAGTTAACTATCTAGTTATTAAATAAAACTATAGTTTGTAATATTATTTGAAATGATATTCATCTCTGTAATGTTAAAGATATTCGATATAATTAATGGGATAGATTCTTGTTATATTTATGAAAATACACAGTTATTGAAATTAAGTTTGTTAACTAAGAATTAATTTATATTATTTGAATTTATTATTTAAGACTTGTGAAGAAATTTGCTCTTTGAAAAATCCAAATTTTTAATATCTATAGTAATGTTTTAATTCACCTAATAATTCTATTATAGATCTATCATTACAGATTTTTAATCAAAAGTTGATTCCTTAATTAACATATTATATATTTAAATAGTAGTATTCCTACTATTTAAAGATAATAATGCAGATTATTAGATATTTACCTAAAAATATTTATTTAAAAATTTAATGTATAAAATGGATTTCAAATTTTAATTATAATATTTTTAAAGATTAAATAATTAGTAATGTTTGAGAAATTACGTTAATTAGTTAAGATGAATTAATTTCTAGGTATATTTCAGAATTCTCTTCAATAGTATAAACATTTATCAATGATTGAGCATTATTTATTAAAATATTTTGAAAAACTACTTGTTGGAATATCACATTTGCTTACTGTACTTTTGAAAAAGTAAGAGTTAAATATTAATTAGAAGTTTATTCTTCAACTTATTAAAATTAACAATTTATCAAATAAATGTCTTATAGTAGGTTTTCAAGTATTATCAAACCAAAGCTCACACTGTTTCTTTACTATTAGAAAGATATGTTTTCGATGTATACTTTATCGAACCCAGAAATAGTAAATTCTCCTAATTACATGAATTGTAAAACAAAACTTGAGTTTAATGTTGTTATATTCAAGCTTGTAGTCAAAGTTCTAAAACTATCTTTTATTGTAATTCCAAAAATTTAAGGTTTATAATCCTTACAAGTATCATCAACAAATATTAATTAAACTTCTAACTCTTTAACCTATAACTCATTGTAGTATATTATTGCTTAATTATAATCTATCTCGTTTATAATAAATTCATCCAAATTTACTTCGCTTAATCTACTAAAGTTCATTGGTTAATCCTCAGAACCGTCTCCTATTCTACTACTAAGATCTAAACACTGAGCATATATAATTTTTTACTTCTTATAATAACATCCTTGTTCTGTATTTTAACATAAGTAGCACTTTTTTCTAGATTTATCATAGGTTATAGTATAATCCTATAAAATATAACTTTAGTCTAGAGTTTGTTTGCAAGATAAGCATTAAGCATCATATAAAAAAAGTGGATTTAAACTTGTATCACTATTGTTTATGCATGTTTCGCAGCTTTAAAAAAAATAAATTAAAATGAATTTAATAATGAAAATAAAATACAGGATAGGACATATTTAACAATCATCTCCAGATGAAGTCAAGGTTATCATACCATGAGGATCAGGGATATAATTTGATTTAAAATAAAAGGTACCAATAAAATAAGTTAGCTAGCTTAACTGAGCTAATAGTTTATCATAGTTGCATTGGATGCATTATGGTTGATTGTTAATTAAAATGCACTTAAGGCAGTTTGATCCACATTTAATTTAAATACAACTTTTAGATTACTAATTTAAGTAGTAGCCATCTTAACATTATGTACAAAACAATTAGAAATTATTTAAATTAAACTTTAACCTTTCATCAATCGTCAATTTTGTTCTTTCATACAATAATTCTGATGTGAAGTTATAATTTCTTGTACCTTTTTTTAAATATTTTAATAAATTGAATAATAATTAAAAATTTTTATGTAATACCTTCATAACATTTTGAACATCCTGTTGGGCACTTTTTGCATTAAAGCAAAGAAGGTATGCTATATTAATCTATGCATTAAATGCATTAATAAATCTGGTCATTTTAATTACTTGAGCTAGGATCTTGATATTTAAAGCACTTTTAGCATCCAATAATCTATGGTAAATTATTAATTATTTAAAATGCTAGAAAAAAAATTAGTTACATTATTTTTGCATAGGTCTTCTTAGCAACGATATATTTTCGATACTTAATTTAAAATATATCCTCCCTTACAAAAGTAACATTGAACACTTTATGTGCTTCCAGTGGGTGGAGAAGGATTAGTTGTAGCAGCCTATGGAGTAAAACAGTTACTGCATTTTTTATCTTTAGTTTACGATAGGCAACCAAATGAGCAACGAGTTTTATCACTAGATAATAGATACCCTTATGCACAGTTTTTACAAATTTAAGTTGTTATAACATTTTATATATTTTACACATATGACCAAATCTAAACAGTTAAATCATATTAATTTGCTCCTTGTTCTATTTTAATAGTGCTATAATCACAATTATTAATGTTCTTAACACACGATTATCCTTATATTAAATATTCATTTAATATAATTATTTTAAATAATAAATAACATAAAAATACCATCAAATGATGTGAAATAGCCATTTTAACAGAGTGTACATTTCTTAATAAAATTTTGTTGAGTTATCTAATCAAGTGAGTATGAAATTAACTAAGCCTGGTTGTAATTTAGCACAGACAAGTAGTTTTCTTATTAATAATTGAAAGATAATTATATAAAAAAATAAATATCTAATTATTAATATAATTTTTAGAGATTTATTAAGTTTCTAAAATAAGTATTTAATAAAGTTAATATGATTTATAAATAATCATGAAATATAAAATATTACCATACTAGCATTTTTTACAATTAGTCTCGCATTGGATACATGTATAAAGGTCATATGAGACCAAATAAAAATCGGCACATTGTAAGCATATTTTAACAAAAATAAAACTCTTAAACTATTTTTAGTCTATCTGTGCTTTAAATACAGCCTTTCCAGCAATAAAAGTTGCATACTAGCAATTTAAGCAATTATTAGGGCATTACTCACATATTCCATTATTTAATACATATGAATCTTAACATTAGACACAAACAGCTATTTTATCTGAACTTTAAATGCAAGATTTACATCCTAATGAACCTATTTTTTTTAAGTATTATGAAAAACTAAATAGTCATAAATAGTATGTTACATAATTTAGATTGGTAACTGATTAACTAAAATTAATTAATAATTTATTGAACTTTATAATTGAGTGCTTATTATTTTGATAATTAGATTTGCAACACATCGTCTAATGAAATTTTAAAGTTAGTACAAGTTTTATATTGAGATTAGCTCTATTACCTATTGATTTATAATAATCAAGTTTATATAGTTATTATTATTACATTTTTTAATTTTTACCATATTCCATATTCTGAAGAGCAATCTAAACACTCGTATATTGGTATTTTGTTGTAGTATGGCTTCAGACTTAAATCTTATAATATCATCTATGAGCATTATATACATGTTTATTATTTTGATCCTTACTGATACAAAAAATATCCTTCTATACATTAAGTGCAGAATGTAGGAGAATTACAAGAATAGCATCTAAAATATTTTATAAAAACTGATTATTATTAATTTATTAAATTATTTTAATTTTATACCCTTTAGGACATTTGAGTAATGGATTTAAAATACAATTTTAATTATCATAACAGTCTTATTTGATATAAATTAAGTTCATATCAAAACTTAATTGTTGAGGTATTGGAGAAAGTTGTAATTTTTATTCTAAGTTATAACATTTTTAATTCCCAGGATTGAAATAATATATAGGGCATTCTAGGCAATTATGATTATTAATAGATATATCTTAGCAGAATGACTAACTATTCATACAATTCATATTTCCTATTTGATTTGGAACATTTAAGTTATTAAGTATGCATGAATTTGATTTTGGTTCATATATAAAGCATGATTTATCTTAAACTAACTTTAATAATTCAGTGGAACCTTTACACATATTATCGATTAAACAATAACCAGTTGGGCAAATATAACAATTAGAAGATTCTAAACTTTGACATATGCCTAAGTTATATATAAATATTAATTAAAATATATTATTTATCTTATTTATAATTTATAAAATTCAAAATATTTTACATTCATTTTTATAAAATATTTTAGAAAATTATTATTAGTTATCAATATAATAAATTTAATTATAAATATAATAAGAATTAGTAATGATTATCTTGATAAAAATGGATATAGTGAAAATAATTTACCGTTAATATCTTTGCATTAATATTTAGATGGTAACACAAGATCTTAGCAGGTATTTGAAGCGCTACTTGATAAGCATTAGCTAATTTCACAATTGCTACATTATCCACTTTAAGAACAGAATCCATTTTTATCAATACAAACACCTTAAGTAAGATCTATCAATATGCATGAAAGCTTAGAAGGATCAATACAATATTTTTTAAAATCACACATCACCTTTTTAATAAATAATTTTAAATCTTATTTTTTTAAAGGTTCAAATTTACAGCTGTAGGCATTCCTTATTTCAAGCAAAACTATGTATCTTTCATTTGACCTATTAAAATTATTTTATTTATAATTTAATGATATATTTTAATACTTACCTATTGCATTTGGATTGTTGTAGTCTAGCTTTACACAATAATAATTTTTAGTTTTCTTATTTTCCATTAAACAAAAACTAGTTATATAAAATTAAAATTAATTAAACAAATAAGTTAAAAAACAAAAGGATAACCCTATTTGATAACATATAGATGCTCCATATTAACCTTCAGATTATGGTAATAAGCAACTATACGTACCATTCTCTTTGCCTGGATATTCAGGGGATAAGCGCTAGCATTCTCCATTTAATAAGCAATAGCCATCAGTACAAGCACTTGCGCCTGGGACTCCTTCTTATATACACTGCTAATTGTCCTCACTTCTCCCTACCATCTATGGGTTATTAGGGTCCATTTATTAACACTAATTTTAGTTTTAAGTATTGATACAGTATTAGCCACTTAAACATCCCATACTATTAGCTTTATTTAATTCGGAATAGTAATTTATTTTTATTTAATTAATATAATATATTTACGCTAATTCAAATCCTAACAGGTTTAATCAGTTTTCTTTGCTTTGTAAATAAGATCAGGATATATCGGGTCACTTTCTTAGAGTTATTAACATTTGTATCCACCTCTAAAGAAAAGATAAAAATTTCAAATTATTTTATGTTAATATTAATGCTTATTTTATGTTACCCAACATCAAGGATACAATATGTCAATCCATAACATGATTCTATTTCTGTTAATGCAAATAAAGTTTTTATTTGACTAAAAGTTTTAAAATTTACTATTTGTAGTGATTTCATCTTAAATAATACAACCTTAGTTAATATCAGTCCCAACAATCAGGTCTCCATTATAAATATATCCTTGAATTAAGCAATATTATCCTAAAAACGAATCAGTGTACAAACATGTGCTTGAAACACATGTTTCAATTTCATCTCCTAATTTATTAGGATCCAAATATGGTAAGCAATATTGTGTATCTTTTTGCCTTGCAAATCTATTACTATCATATGAAAGTAATAACTATTGACACTGATTTTCATTTTGCTAATTTAGGCAAAATTATCCCTTCATACACCTAATTATTTTATAAAGTTATTATTATTCAATTTAAAATTCTAAATTAAATACCTAACTGCATTTGGTTAGTCTTTCTAAAGGCAATACCCATCTTAATCTATTCCAACTCTCTGTAGAACAGCATCGAAAAGAAAACAACCTTCCATATAACTTGGTTGTTGTTATATCTGTATACAATAATTTTGAGAACATTACTATTTTACTATTAAATAATTTATTTGATTTACTTAAGCTTAATTACTAAAAAAATTTACAAGAGCTGTAGTACTAACCTGATACAGCGCATTTGAAATTGTTCTATACACCCTAAATACAAATATCAATTTTTATTTTTAATGAAACATTTAAAAAATTTTACAGATTATTAAGGATCATTGTCATTTATTTAAACACAACAGCTCTAAATTAAATCTATACAATAATCTTTTGTACATTCAATACTTATTTTTTCTCCTTATTTCAAACACTAATGCTAAATATTTTTTCCTACATAAGTAGAGTCATATTTTTAGCAATATTAATTAGATATAATGCAGAATCTTAAATTAATAAAACAAAATGAATATAATAAAATTTAAATAGATTAATATTATTACCCAGTATAACATTAAATAGGTTAAGTTATTTACTGATTTATCTCTAAACACTAATATTTACTTTTATCTACACCTACATATTAATTACCATCAAGTTATCTGATATATCCATCGGTATCTTAACAATAATCTTATCTTAAATTTACCAAATCTAATAATTTAAAAATAAATTGAAGCTAGAAGTAATAATTTAATTTTACCTGCTAAAGTGCCTTATTATATCGTAACTTAATCTTAAACAGCACATTATTTACTCTGAACAATATATCCTAAATATGTTGGATCATTCATATAAACAACACAAAACTAAACCGAGGTTTAATCAACAAGACAAACGTTTTTTTAATCATTAAAGCAGCTTTCTACCTAAGTTACCTACTAATAGCTTGTTAAACACTATAGCTATGTGTCTCTACCAATATATTAGTTCAAAGAGTATTAAAAGCATTTACCATTAAGAATACAACCGTATGTGATAGTTTAATAACAAGCGTTGTTAGCAAAACATATTGTATTATCTTAAAAACAACTTTTAATTAAAAAAATTTAGAAAAGAGATAAAAGAAAAAAATAAAATTGATTTTTTACCGAATTGCTGTAGTTTATCCAAAATTTAAACATTTTCCATTAGAATCTATCCCAACAGCTCCTTATGAGCCATCAAAATTGAAACAAGCGTTTTAATTATTTAATGTTTTATAACAATTATTTTGGGCACATTTCAAAAGGTCTTAAATAGAATTAATAAATAAATAAATTTATTTATTTTTAATTAAAAAAAAATTACTAGGAACATATTGATTCAAAGCAATGCAATTTCCATTCTAATCGACTCCCTAAAAATATTATTTTATTTTTTGTCAAAAACTAAATAATTTAAAAGAATATTACTGAGAATTGTGGATTATTATTTGTTAACCAATAACACATTTAATTAAGCATGCAAACATTTAAATATCTATAACCACATTCAATAGCTCCAGGCTGCTATTGAGGGGCACATTATAGATTAGATAATTTTGAAATATTAATTTTATCAAATCCTATTTACTAGCATGTGTTGTTCCAAATACAATATCTATTCATCATTAAATATAATAAATAAAGTAAATTAGAATGATATATTTTACCCTGAAATACAAAATTCAATCAAAGAATTAGCTTAACTATTAACTTTTAGGCATTTAGAGTAATTTGTTTCCCTGCCAACATATGGTATTTATATTTAAACAATTTAAAAATTTTCATCTTAACAGAAATTAGGATTTAGGTTTGTAATTTCTATTTTTAAAATAAAAAATAAATTTTTAAATAGATAAATTAAATATATTAAATTTTACATTATAATTATATATTTGAAGTTTTTTAGTTTTGTTAAGCACAAAATCCTGTCCCACTTATATATCCTAGGTATATTTAGTAATTATCTTAATATTTTACACAACTAGTTTGATCACTTTTTTGGCAAATACTTTGAGGATCATTAAAACAGTATTAAATTGTTTATCCAAGATTTAATTACTGTAAACTTGTTAAGCAATTAAAGTTTGTGTCTCTACCAATAAATTAATTAATATCGATTTATTAGCAATTTCCATTATTAACACAATATCCATATAAAGAACTATTATCTAATTACTTACATACTTAACTTGAAGGATCGTAACATATATTTTAAATTTTAGAACTACAACTATTTATTTATTTTAAAATTAAAATTATTATGTTAAGATATATTAATGTATTATTTTTAAAATAAATCAAATAAAAATAAATTTCAAATATTTATCAATTTTCACTCTCTCATTTTTTTCCTTAAAGAAAATATAAACTATTTTTTAATTAATTAGAATTTTTGCTTGTAGATTTTGATAAATTAAAAAAATAAAAGTTTACCAAGTAGTAGCTTAATTTAAACCAACACAATTACCGCTACCATCTTATCCAACAGCTAGTAAAGAACTGCCAATCTATGTACTAGTTGCACCAATTAGACAAGTTCTAATAATAAAAAATAAATTATTTAGGAATTAATAATTAAAGAAATCTACTAGCTGCTACAGTCAATCAGAATTCTTTTTTTATTAGAATAGATTTATTATTATAATTATAATCCTAAAAGACATTTTCCACTTTAATCTTTTGCCTATTGTTAAAATAATTATTTAAAAACAATTTTTATTATTTATAATTACTCTAATATCAGGATAAAGAGGATCATTAATGAGAATACAAGCTGCCTCATTATTTATGTTATGAACACAATATTAAGGCTTACAATTTATAAAATTATCACTTGAAAAATAATAGCCTTCCTTAATACATTCATTCATACTAGTTCTACCCTATCATACATATTTTTATTTAAAAAATGAAAGATCAATAGGAATTTACTCTAATTTCAGGTGACTCATATCTTATGCAAGCATATTAGTTAAATTTGTTTTTAGATTTGCAGTGTGTAATATTACACTATATCATTTGATTATAATATTAATTTTCAATCACACATATTCCTTCGATGGTTGTCCCCTAAAAAGTTTTCAGGTTAATGTAATTGAAATTAAAAATAATAAATATTAGTTTACAAACGCTTCTATTTTCTTTATACACTAATTATTGAGTATTGAAAAACAATATCCACTATTTTTAATTAAAATAAATGTAATATAAATTTTCTAAATTAATCTTACAATTGATCACATTTTTATATTGATAGATCCTAACAAAGATTATTAAAGTTTTAAATTCTTTTCTAAAGACCGATTTTAATAAATCCATACTAGTCTTAGCAATATCCATCCTTAATATACCTGAAAACTTTTTAACCAAAAGATGGTTTCATTAGAAAAAGATAGTAATAAATAGATAATTAAATTACTCAAAGGCCTGCTTTATTATGAAGCATTTTCATATATTCCTATACAGATACCTTCTTCAGTAATTGCAACTATGTTTTTAGATTTCTATATTTTTACACAACTTTTTCTATCCTAAGTTATGCATACATTTTCTTATTTACTGATGCAAAAATCAATTTTATCGTATTATATAGAGTCAGTCACGCAGTACCCATTTTTCATTTCTCTTCCAATAAATTCTACTCCATCAATTTAAACGCATTTACTAACTCTCTAGTCAAAGCAATCTAATTTTTAATCACACTTGCAACTAATTTTGACTAAAATCAAAAAAAATATAATCACTGCTATTTAGATAGCCATATATCCTCACACTTTTTTAAAGATACAAAATTTAATTATTTTCTACAATACTTATTTATTTATATATTTTTTATTTAAATTATTAAAATAATTCAAAAGGTTAAGTACATTTAATTAATACGAAGGTTAAAACACTGAAATTATAGATTACATTTATTTCTTGAAATTAATTTTTTTAATAATTTAAAAATGTAAGAACAATAAATATGATAAATTGTAACCAGAAAATAATAAAATATGTTATTTTTGATATTTAAAGTTTTATTTTTGTAACTATACAATATTATCATCATATTATTACTTAAAATATGATAAAAGATTTAAGTTTATTGAATTAAAACATAAAATATAAAAAATAATTAAAATAATTATTATACTACCAAAATATTTTATTATTCAAATCTAGAAATATTTTTTCTTTTACAAAAATATGGATTAAGTCTAAAATGTTGATTAAAATTAGATAAATATTGCAAAAAAACTATAAAAATAATAGAAATATTTAATCCTTTTATCTTAAAACTAAAAAGTTTATTAATTTTTTAATACAGTAAGGGTCTTGTTAATAAACAAGATTCAAGTTTTAATGGAATTTATTTTAGATAACCAAATTTCTTTTATATTTAATTTCCTTTTTAGCTTTATTGGGATATAAGAAAATCAAAAAAAGTATGATAAATTTTTTCTTTTTTAAGATGTAAGCAAAAGAGTTTAAAAAATTAACTAGTAATTAATATTATGAAATGGTCTAAATAATTATTTTCTTAAAAATTCAAATTTTCAATTTTAGTTTTCTTTAATTTTAATCAGAAAATATAAAAGAAATTACTATTATAAAATAATGATTAAGGTTTTTTAATTTTTCAATTTAAAATATTTTATTTAATCTTATCTGACTTTTTTCCAAAAAAACACAAATATTTAATAATAAACTCTTTTATAAGTAAATATAATAATTTTTAAACCTCTGAGAGATTTAAGATAGGGAACAACCATAAAGATAATTACATTCTATTTAATGAATATATTTATATTTAAAATTTTAAGGGCTAGTATAATATAGTGGAAATAAAAAAGATTTACAGAACTACAATTAACTTTTATAACACATAATTATTACTCATAAAATATAAATTAGTTAGCTAGCTGAATTATTAACTAATAAAAAATATTTGATTAAATTGTTGTAATAAAAATATTCAACTTTTTTAATATTATGTTATTTTGGTGAATATCAGGTTTTATTAATTTTAAATTCTTTTCTGCTTTCTTTGGTAATTTTTTTAAAAATTTTTATTCTACTATTCTATTGCTCAATATAATTGTTTTTATTTATTTCATAAATCTTATTAATAAAGCTAATTTCTTTTGATCAATTGTTTTACAAAAAAACAAAGAAAATTTAGTAAAAGTATTAATTAAAATTTGATTAATAAGCAAAGTAGAAACTGAAAATGATTGAACTTCTTAAATATTTTGATATTTTTTCTTAACCAATTTAATTTAATGGAGATTCTTCTTAAAAAAAGAAGACGAGTCTTGGGATTACTCTAAGTTTTTTTATATTTGTTTCAACTCTTTTTTATTTTACTTATCTCTCTTAGCTCTACTTTAGTAATTAAATAGATCCTAAATTTAGATCATAAAATTTTGTCACAAATGATGTTGTTAATATTACATTGAGTGATGATACTTTTGGATTTTAGCTAGCTCCTTAATTTGGTTAGAATCTCATTTAAGAATAAGACAGTAAAAATAAAACATATATTGTTTTCTTAGCATTTTATTAATAGAGAAATAGTAGTACTTTTAAAAGTTAATAATTAGATGTTGTGAAATGCTAAAATCCAGAGTTAGAGGGTTTTTACTGCATAGATTTTTCAAGAGCTCCTAATCTAAACATTACAATCAGTCATAGAAAAAGTCTTTTTTCTGAATTAATAATTTATCCATACAGATGTCAAGATACTGATAATTTGAAATAATTTGTCCCTGATAATTGTGCAGATCCCTATGAGATTGAAAGTTATTTGTCTAGTTTACATAACACTTTGAATTTTAAAATATAAGTTTCTTAGATTAATATTACTTCAAAATAAGTAGAAGTAAGCTATGTTAATAACCGACTTCCTGCTTTAGGTAATTTTATAACATTAGCTGAGCTTAAGATGAAAAAGTAGATTACATCAGTTAAAGAAGGATTTTTTATTTAATCAGAAAGCATCTTTTCTTCTCCAATAACTGCTCAATTTGCTTCATCATCTTTAGATTATAAATCTTATGTTAAACAGACTGGCCAAAAAATGATATCTATAGTAGTTGTAGATGCTGATGAAAATGTTGAGTATTCGTTTGTTTAATACCCACCTTATACAGAGGTTTTAGCACTCTGCAATAGCTTTTTTTCATTACTTATGATCCTAGGAGTCATTTGTAAAATGGCTGCCTTACGTATAATCAGATAAGATATATTTTTATTGTTTTTATAAAATACTTATTTGGAAACATACTAAAAAATTCTTAAAAATTGCAAATTAATAGAATTTAAAAACGACATTTAACCAATTTAGAGATCTAAAAGTATATTTTTAGATGAAAATGAAGCTACTGAATCGGATTAAAAAATACAAATTCCAATTTTTAAAGAATTAAAAAGTTTGTCTGTTTTTAAATAGGGTTTTAGTATTGACCAAAAATAAGGCTCAAGCCCTTAACAAAATTTATCTATTTTAGACAATTAAAGCTCTATATCTTAATCTAATGTACTTTTTTAGACTAATTTAGATTAAAGTGATATCAAAAATAAGATTAATAGAGATTCTCCTCTTTTAAATGTTAAAAAGAATATTTTAAAAAGAAATTTTATTAATTAATCTTAGAATCAAAAAGTAAAGAAGTTGTAGGATAACAGCTTTTACTAAAAAAGCTAATCCTAAAATTTAAAGTAGGAATTAGTGGAAGATGCAAATAAAAATAACACTTATATTCATACAATAAAGTAAATGCTATTATCATTTCAAAATAATAGTATTAAGCATAAAGTTTAAAACTTACTTTTCAAAACAAGGTAATTTATTTATATTATCAATTAATTATCTAAAAAAAATAATTTTAATAAAAAATTAAAAATTTTATTTTAACTTTTAATTGATAAAAAAGGTTATTTAGTAGAAATAAGTTCCTTGAATCTTAAGGATTAAATAAGTAAATGGTGGAAAAAATAGAAAAAGAAGTTTTATCAAGTTAAGATTTTTACAAGGTTTATAAAGATATTTTGTTTTTGAAAAAAGCTATTATGATTCTTTTTAGTAAAGATTAACTTGCTGCTTTAAAATTAGTAGGTTATTCGCATGAATTTCTAGGGTTTAATTTAGATAGAGAAATAAACTAAACATTATTAAATGGTAAATTATTTTCATTAAGAATATTTGATATAAATTTAACATTTTCTAATTATCAAATAAGATCGATTTTAGAAGAGTTATTTAGAGTAACAGTTCGTTATTTAATAGTATGAAGAGCTGTAAAGCTAATAAGTAAACTTATTTCTGTAGAGGTATTAAAAATAATAAAATCTAAGTTAAATTGATAAAAGAATATATTCGTCTATGTGTATAAATTAAATTGTATGATCTACTTACTTTTTTAGTTTAATTTTTTTGTAAGCCTTTATCAATTTTACACTTGCAAATAAAATATATACTATACTTTAAACTTTATATATCTGTCTTAAATATTTAATTATATTAAATATACCTAAAAATATGATTGCTATATTTTTATTTAAAGATTTTTTAATACTTCTACCATTCAACCCCCCTAAAATATCTGGATTAAAAATAACCTTTTAAACAACAAAAACTTCCTAAAAATATGTTAAAATTGAAATTAATAAAGATAGATTGATAATATGTAATAATATAATTTAAAAGATAATTATTTTTATTTGTTAAATTTATTTATAAAAATAATCTAAATTTTATTTTTTAAAAAGATTAATTATTAATCAAATTTTTTTTTGACCACTCTATTACTTTTAAAAAGCTATGATAATTTTTTATTGATTTCTTACCTGTTTCATATTCAATAAATTATTTATTTTTAATAAATTAAAAAATATGTATGATTTAATAGCTTTTTAATATCATTTGAATGTTTAATTTGATTTTTTAAAGGTTTTTACTCTTAATTAAAATAAAAGAAAAATAGAAAGTAGAGATAATCTAAAAAAATTGAAGGATATTCTAATGATTACAATATTAAGATATTTTGATTTGTTTTCGCAATCTATTTAATTAAATGGAAGTTTGCCAAATAAAAAATAGACTCGCTTTGGGATTTTTATAAGTATTTTAATATTTTCCTTGACTCTTTTTTACTTTGTTTACCTATCTTAGCTCTATTTTAGCAACTAAATTGATCCAAAATTTAGATCATAAAATTTTATAAGTAATGAAGTTGTAGATATGCCTTTAAGCAATGATTTTTTTGGGTTTTAGTTAGCTCCACAATTTAATTAAGATTTAATTACGTAGCAATATAGCCAAAACAAAACGTTTATCGTGTTTTTGGCATTTTATTTTTATCGAAACAGTAGTTATAATGGATATTAGTAACTAGATGTAGTTAATTGTAAAAATCCATAGTTAAATGGCTATTATTGTGTAGATTATTCAAAAAACCCTTATTTAAACATAAAAATTGGAAACAAAAATAATGTTTTCTCTGAATTAATCATTTTTTCTTACAGATGTTAAGATACTGATATCTATAAAACCTTTGTGCCTGATAATTGTGCAGATCCAAGTGAAATAGATAAATATTTAGCAAATACATAAAACACTTTGAATTTTAGGTTGTAAATTTCTTAGTATAACACTACTTCAAAAGAAGTAGAAATAGGATATATTAACAATAGATTAGCTTCATTAGGGAATTATTTAACATTAGCAGAGTTAAAGGTAAAAAAATAGATTACTTCAATTAAAGAAGGTCTTTTTCTTCAATCAGAAAGCTCATTTTCTTCTCCAATATCTGTTTAATTTGGTTCATCATCTCTAGATTATAAATCTTATGTTAGAGAAACGGGTAAAAAAATGATATCTTTAGTAACTGTCGACGTTGACGAAAACGTTTAATATTTTAATATCGAATATCCACCTTTTACTGAAATATTAGCTCTTTGCAATAGCTTTTTTGCATTACTTATGATTTTGGGGGTTATTTGTAGAGCAATTGCCCAACGCCTTATAAGACAAGACATCTTTTTACTGGTTTTATAAAACTCTTACTAAGAAACATACCAAAAAATTCTTAAAAATAGGAACATAGCTCAGTTTAATGAAGATATTTTGCTAAATTAGGTTGATAAAAGTTTGTTGACAGCGAATGAAGGAATTGAAAACAATTAACAAATTTTAATCCCGTAATTCAAACATTTAAGCAGTTAGTCAGTTTTTAGAAAAGGTTAGAGCTATGATTCAAAACAAAGCTGCAGCAAATAGCACAATTAACTTCTTTAAGATAATCAAGTATCTATCTCAAATGTACTTTTTTAGCCTCACCAAGAGCTTAGTTAAGTATTTACTAAACCTAACAAATAATCTCCTCCTTTGAAAAGTTATTAAAGCTATAGTCTAAAAAAAGATAATAGTTATTAAAGTAATTTATCATTATGTTAAACTTCACAGAAAAATGAAATTACTAGAAGTATTTATTTGAAAAGTCATAATAAAAACAGTAAACAAGATGAAACAAATAATTAAAGTAGAACTAAAAATGATTGCAATTTTAATTAAATAATAAATTAAAGACTAACTGCCTTTTCAAATTAAAAAGTAAATGAAAAAGTAAAAAATTAGCTTTTCAAAATAAGGTAGATATTTAATTTATTTTCTTTGATTTTCTAAAAATAACTTATTTTAAAATAATATTAATTAATTTAAATTTTATAGATTATTTTGTAAAAATAAATTTCTTGAATCATGTGGGTTGAACAAATAAATGATGGATAAAATAGAAAAACAAGTTTTTGAGAGTTTAGATTTTTATAAACTCTACAAAGATATTTAACTACTGAAAAAAGCTATGATGATGCTTCTTAGCAAAGATTAATTTGCTGCATTACAATTAGTAGGTTATTCACATGAATTTTTAGGCTTAAAGTTAGACAAATAAACAAAAGCAACTATTGAAAATAGTAGTTAAATTTATTTTTTGCATCTGTTCTAAATTTAATATTTTATTAAATTTTTTATTTATAAAGTTGAGAATTAGAAGAGTCATTTAGAATAACAAAATATTATTTAACAATCTGAGGAACTACAAAGTTAACAAATAGGTTTATTTTTGCAAAGATATTAAAGTTAACAAAATTTAAGTTAAGTAGATAAAAGAATATTTTCGTCTATGTTCATAAATTCAATTTTATGAAAATAATTTTTATTTAATTTTTTATAAATTAATTTGGTAAACTCAAACAGATAAATTAATAGTAAGTAATTTTTATTAAATTTGTGTTTTAAATAAAAATAAAACTATAAAAAATAATATTTTAAGATTTCAATTTTTATTTCTAGAATCATATTCAAACAAAAATAGTAATAACCTAATTTTTTTATCATTCCCTTAATTTTATTTTTATTTTAATAAAATAAATTATCCCTATTTTAAGAAAAAAAAAAAAGGGACATGTCTTAATTAATTTAATTAATGAGGATTTACAATAAATAAATACTTTAATGTGACTCATTTTAATAATTAATTTTGAATAAAGTAAAAAAAATAATATTTAGTTTGTTATCTTAGTAATGAAATTTATAAATAACTTGAATGTTAGGATATAATAAATTATAATTATATGGTTGAGTGTGCAAATAGTTGGATGGTTAATAAATTGTGTTTTATTTAATTTTTATCCTTTATTTATAATGTAAATAATTCAATTAACAGACATAAATACATTATCAAATAAAGCAAACTATTTAATAAATTAGTAATATTTGAGATACCTATTTATTTTTAATTGATTAATTTTATAGTAAATATATAAATAGATAGATCGAGAGTTAGCACAAAATGTCTGATACAAAGTATAATTCCTCTCTTTATGAAGGAAATCTCAAATTAAATCATGAAGTGATAAATAATTCTAATACAAAACAGCTTTATTCATTTACCAAAGCAAAAAGATTCATATACTAAAAACCAGCTTGTGCTTAAGCATTTTATGATCTTCCTAATGTAAAAGACAAAAGATCAGCATTAATGGGATCAGGATAAAAAGTTCCAATTTCAAATGCTGATAAAACTATTCCAAGCCCTTAAGACTATATTATAAAATCATACTTCGAAGATTCACTATAAAAATAGAGAGGAGTTAGCTTTAAAAATGGTCGAGATGTAAAATATAATTTATTTAAATTTAAATTAGACAATCATTCCAAGCCACTCTAATAAATATTATGATAAAAAATAGAAAACAAAATTTGGAAATATGTTTAACAATCAAGGAGCTCCAGGCGTGGGACAATATTTAATCAAATCTGACTTTGAAAAATTAGCAAATAAAGGATACACTATGATGTCGAAGAACTAAACTTAATGTAAATACTATTTTTCAATAAATCATTATAATGACTCATTAATATAAAAAGCCATGTGGAACATCAAAGCACCATATCCAGGACCTGGATCATACAATTAAATAAACCCAATAGACCCAAAATAAATAGTACTCTCTACAATGAAAAAGTATTAAGGTTATGCCATACCTCATTCTAAAAGATTCTCTAATTAAAGTAAATGAAATTAAGCCATATTTATTAAAAGAAATATATTATAAATATAAAATTAATTAATAATTATCAATTTATTCGTTTATTACTTTAAAGCTTTATTATTAATTTATTATTTAGGATGTTCCACTCCTGGACCTGGATAATATAATGATGAAAAACAAAAATAAGTTGGATAATATATAAACTCAAGATAAAGAAGTATTTCAGGAACAAGATTTACTACTGAAAATAGAAATGTATTTTAAATTTCTAAATAGCCAAGTAATTTAAATTCTGCATAATTTTCCAAATTATTCATTTATTCATTAATAAAAGTGCCTGGACCAGGTTCATATAGAGTTTATACAGAATTTGGTGATGGAGATTACGATAGACCAAAATCATAATTTAGAATGAGGAGAACTTATTCTACTCCTAGTGTTTAAGCAACATAATGAATGAAAGAAAATATTACAAATTAAAATTATATTAAAAACAAGTGAGTACTATAAATATATCTAATAATAATTTATGCTACACAATTTTATTTAAAGCATTTTTCCATTTATAATTAATTTGTACAAATTAGTATATGTTATTTAGTTAATTTGTTTTCTCTATTGTTGAATGAAAATCAAATATTAATTTTTAGAATATTATTTGATATATTTTTATTTTAATTTCAATTTAATAAGAAATATTAACATTCTGAAAGACATAAATTAAAAAATAATTAAAAAAATAATATATATTTTATAAAATAATAATAGAAAAATAATTGTTTCAAATTACTATTGACTTGAGAATTTTATTTTATAAATTGATTTATTACATAACACTTATTTTAATTGATATCAATTTTTAAAATTTGACAAATTTCCTTAATTTTCACTCAAAAAATTTTTGGATTTTTTTTGAACAAAGGTGTTAATTATTAAAAGATTTAAGAAAATTTTTTTAAATAATGTATTAAATCTGAATAATATAAAATTTATAAATTTTTTATCTTTGAGAATACCTTTTTTAAGGTTCAATTAGTCTAAACAGTATTGATTTTGTTAATCACCTAAGCTAAAACTAATTAAAAAAATAAAGAGTATTTTGCTTTTAGTATCCACAAAACATTTAAGGAATAAAAGAAGGGTCACCCTAAAAAACATACTTATTAGAAAATAAAATACTAATATTATTTTGTTTTACTCAAGCAGAAAAGGATTGTTTAGTTATGAAATTTTACAATAAATTAATTTTATTTAAAAAAAGAAGTTTGAGTTATTTATTAATAAATATATTTTAAATTTTAAACATGAAAAAAAAAATATTAAATTTGATTTATATTAAAAAATATTATTTTAAATACTATAAATTACTTCTAAGCATGTATTAACAGTAAAATAAAAATAATTATGTACTTGAATATTCATTGTTTCTCTCATAACTAAAAGATTATTTAAAACCATTTTTTAAATTTTCATTAAAAAACAAGGATTATGCTTTAGACAATATGATTTAATTAACAAATTATTTATTTTCTTATGCACAAGATTTTGTCAAAAAATTTTTGATAGGCACATGATAAACTATTAAAAAGAATTTTATGACCATTAAATTTAATTAAGCAATTTAATTTGGATATTCATTCTTACAAATATTTTTCTGATGGTCATTTCTTTTATTAATTTAGTTTTTGCTTCAAGTAGAAATATCTTTTACCTTTTTCCACAAATATTCAAACAATATTCAAGATTATTTAAATAAACCCCCAATTACTAAATAAATACATTACACTTTTCTTTTATTGTTACTACATTTGAAAGACAACACTTATAAATTTTATCTTTACAGAATAAGCTTACTATACTTTTTGTTTTGCACAAGGATTATTTGATATCTTTTTATTTATTTTAAAAATGAGGAAAAAAGGAATTGAATAAATTTATTAATTTTGCTTTTGTCATATTTAAAAAAAAACATGATTAAACATATAATTGTAAGATATATTATTTACTATTTATATTATATTTTTATTAATCATTTTTTTTATTTTTCAGAAGGGACTAACAGCATCTAATCCGAAGGTACAGTTACCTAAGACTGTGTTGTTTTACTTTCTGATTCCAACAAATGTGTGGTTTTTGCACAAAGGAATGTTTTATGAGGCCCAAGCTTCTTAGCAATTTTAGATGGAGAAAGTAGTGTTGTGATCGAATTCAGCTTCAATGTTAACGAAGTTAACTTTAAGAGGGACAAAGACATTTTAGGGTTTTCCTAATTTGTTAAGTGTGGCAATTTATAAGGTCATCTCGCTGGGGGACATAGTAGGATTAGATAAATAAGCCTTTCCTTCACCTACAACTGGGCAGTCCATAGAAGCTTAAGTGTTATTAAAGGTCCAGAAATTTCTTTAGCAGTATTTGGGGTTGCAGCCTTAAGAAACAGTGAAGTTGTAGGTCTAGGCGCTAACAATAGCGATCAAAGCAACAGCTAAGATAATTGATTTCATGGATAATTAGTTATCTTCTTTTCAGATTTTTTTTTGAGATATTTTTATTAATTAAGTTTTATAAATAATTGAATAAAGAAACTAATATTTCAACCAATTGCTTTTTGAATTTATTACTACTTATTTACTTACTTTTATAATTATTTTCTTTTATATCTGTAACACAAAAGAAAAACATAATATATTCTGGCAAGATAACCACATAAAATTTATTTAAAATTTCTTTGGAATCAAACAAAAGTCAGGTATTATAAATAAATATAATAGCAAAATATATTCTTTTATTATCAGTTTAATACTTCTTTTATTTAATATTTTTAACTGATCATTATTAGCTATTATAAATACCTTTATTGAATAATCAAAATCTAATTATAAAATATTATAAATATTAATATAAAATAATTTATGGTATGTTAAACTACCTTGTTATTCAAAATATCCCCTAATTTTATAAAAAATAATTTACTAAATTCAAAGATTTAATATATACTTAAACAGATAGTATCTAAGTTAAAGTACTAAATAATTATATTGAAAATAAAAAAATTTAAATTATATATACCAAAATACCTCAATCCATAAAAATGTGATGAACCCATTATGCTTTATGTCTTGGTTAAAGAAAAATAAATTAATTCTTGCCTTAATTGAAATAATAAAATAGAAGTAAAAAAATGAGTGAATATGGTAGGTAAATATTTACTTAAAAGGTTATTTATATGAGGAAAATTAATTGTAAATTTAAAATTTGAAATTAGTATTTAGTAAAAGTATGTATTAACTCAATGCTCTGCAGTTAAATATTTCTTAAATATTTTTTATAAAACTTCCTTTTAATAAATATAAAATATTTTTAGGTATTCAAAAAGATTAGATTAATATTCTCAGCAAAAAAAATAATTTATGCAGATAAAAGATTTAAATTTTAAATTTATAAAATAGATAAAACAAATTGTTTTTGCTGCAGCTGTATAAAAGATTTTTTTGTATTAAAATACATAAATGACATAAATGGAGCAAACTATTAATCATATTTGAATTCAAGATACAAATTAGTTAATTTTATCATATTTAAATATTTTATATATCTAATAAGATTTTTCTATTTCATTTGATTAAGAGTAAAAATAAATATTTATTTATTTAAAATAAACTTAAAAAAATATTTTTTGTTTTTAATTTTTATTAGAAAGATTTTTTTTCAATAAAATAAAACTTTTGAATTTATCATGCAGCCATATTTTTCAATTCCTAGTTTCTTTATTTAATTTATCTTGAGTTAATAAATTTTTAAAAATGACTAAATGATAGCTTTCAATAATTATAATAATAACAACTTAAATTTTTATACTTAATCAAAAACATATTTTTTTAACAATAATTTTTTAAAAGAGTTTGATATGTCATATTAGAAAAATTAATTATTTTTTAATATAAAATTAATGTCTTTATTTTCTTAAATGATTTATTATAATTTTGACAACATATTAATTAGTATGTATTAAAAATATTATTTATCATTACATTAAAAATATTAATGATTTATCAAGTCAATTCATATTTTCTTCAATCTTATTTCAAATACAATATTTATTTAGAAATAAAAAATATATTCATTAAATAGATTAAAAATATGATAATCTTTGATGTTATCATAAATTCAAATTATAATTTTCTTCAATTCATTTCAACGATAATAATTATTCTGGAAGAAATAATCTATTATTTGTTTCCTAGAAAGTTAAGATATATATTACTTAATCAAGTTAAGAGTAAAAAAGAAATTATATTTTAATGAAAATTCATTTTTTTAAAAATTAAGCAGCAAATTAGAATTTAAATGATAATTAATATTGACCAGCTAATTAAATTCAAGTTTATTTTTATCATTGGAGTGTGTTAAATTCTATTAATATATATAGTAATAATAAATCTTCTAAATTTTAATAAATAAGTTGTAATACAATAAACATATTTTAGGAATAATTTTAAAAACTAAAAATTTAAAATATCATAGACAATAAGTATTTATACTTATATAAAAGATGAATATTAATTATAAAGTTATAGAATATATAAAATATATTTTAGAATTTATTGGAAAAATGAAATAAGAAAGATATTTAACTCGTGTAAAACAGATTCAATTATTTGTATGAGATTATATCATTAGCAATGCTTAAGTAGGTAAATTTTTATTTTATAGTATCTTCTATTTTAAGGTAAATGCGCTTTTTTATTAACTAATAAATAAATTTATTCATTCAGTGATTCTTAGAATTAGATGTGTAAGTACAATTTTATTTGAATATAAAGTAGATGATATATCAAATAATTGAGTAAATTTACAATAATAGCATAGATAATTAAAATCGAGGCCATTTTTAGACCATTTTGAAAAGCTTCCTCTTACCAAATATTAATCAGCTAGTATTTGAATTTGAGACTAGCATTTGCCAATTTTTTTAAAAACTTTATGTCAATTTTTTTAATTACATGAAAAATAAATAGAAAGGAAATTTCTGTTTACGGAGCTCGCATCCCCAATATTTATTACATTAGATTTTGCATTATTATTTTTCTATTATTAAAAATAAGAATTTTTTTGCCACCAAATTATAAAAGATAAAACTAAAAATTTTAAATTTATTTCTAAATTAAGACCATCTTTAACATTATCTTTTATGAATTAGGCAAACATATTCAATTGTGTATTAGTTTGATATAAAATTATTTATTTGAGTTTTCTATTAATTAAACTATATATTTATTTTTATTAAATGCTGGAGTAAAATAAATTCAAGCTTATTATCTATTGAAGCCTTTCTAATTAATTCAAGAATGATCAATTCTATCTAATGATACATTCATAAGATAAAATATTTAAATGATAAAAATTAAAATACCATTTAAATAAATCTTACTTAAATATTTTAGATCAGTTAAAATTTATATTTAAATAAAAATAATATTTTATATTTTTTAAGAAAGAACGAAATCTTATGAACTAAATAAAAATATTTCTGTTTTTTTCCTAACTGAATGAATATGATTAGATTAGGTTGAATTTTATTTAGTTACAAAAAATTTATATCATAAAAATTTTAAGGCAAAAACAATTTTTTATTAATTAATTTGCTCAGTAATACTACCTCTATGGCAAAAAATTTCTAATTTTATTTTCTATTTTTCTAATCCTAAAATTCAAATAAATTTTTATTATAAATTACATATTTGAAGTATTTGTGTTTATTAATAGGACTAAAACATATTTTCTTACTAATTCTACATTTTCAAAAATCAAGTAACAAGAATTCTTTAACACAATAAATTTATTTTAGTAAAAATTTGTTTACTTAAAACTTATATACTAATAGAAAATAATAGTCTTTTATAATTTAAAAATATTCTATCTATTTTATCATTATATAAATGTAACATCAATGTAATTAATTTTTAACATCTGTCAGAATTAAATAAAAAATTTATGAAATTAATTTTAAGAAAAATGGTTTGAGTGATAATGATAGCTTGAAGAATAGTTTTCGATAATTTAGTTGTTTTAAGGTAATTAGTACTATTTTAAGTGTAAACTCAATCAAATAAATTTTCTATTGAAAAGAATTAAAAATTAGACTCTAATTAATTTAAAGTCTATAGCTATTTAAAATTGAATACAATTATTAGATTTTCAAATGCTTCTTAAATTATTTAGATAGTTATATAAATTTTAATTAAAATTAGAATGCTATATACTAAAAAAAAATAAGTAAAAAATATGGATTACTATTTGTTTAATAATATAAAAATAATTTATTTTAACTTAATAATATCAGTAGCATTAATTTTAATTGATGTAAAAGCTTAGAATTGCTCAAATTTAATCTCGAAATAAACCGCATCTATCACACGCTAAGGTAATTAGTTAGTAAAATAAGTAATATTTACTTATTATTTTTTAAATTAAGGCTATCAGTGTATTTATGACTCAAGCTAAAACTATTCAATTGGTGATTTAGTTAAAACTTACATTACATAATAGACTTCTACTCAATTTAAAGACATAGTTTTATCTAAGGGTGATTGCGATGTATAATACTTAATCAATCCAATCAGTTAATCACTATTAAATGATATTTTAATTGATTTTTAAGGTAATAATGGATAAAATTTATCCTATTTATAAATTAGCTTTGATTCGTACTTTTAATTACAAAATGGAGTTTTTCCAGATTCAATTACAATAATGACTTATTAGAAAAATGGAGGAAACTCTTATTTAAATTAGCTAGATAATTCTGTGAAATAGTAATCTTCATCTTTAAATTGCAAAAATAATTATTATAAAAAATCTGAATATTATTTAATTGACATGAAATCTGCTACTTCCTACTTTACTTTACAGACTTAAGTTCATCCTAATACTTTTCCAAATTTAATGGCAAATATTCAAATACTAGCATATTATTAAGTAATTTTTAATTTTATAATTTCCTTTTTATTTTTACATTTGATAGAAATTTAATTAGATTTATCTATTTTATAATTTTAAAACAAAATATCTTAAAATTATAATACAAATAAATTTGATTGATTGTGCTGCATTTTGCTAAAAATCAAATTAAAAAATTAATTTTTTTAATAAAAAATAAAATATAGTGTCCAATAGGCTGCTCTACATGTAATACATCTGGCGAATGTTCTGCTTGTATAACTAATTATAATTTAACATAAAAACTTTGCTTATTAAAGTGTAGTTCAAATCAATATGCACAAGTAACAGATACTGCTACAACTGAATAAAAATGTTTATAATGCGATGTTTCTTGTTTAACCTGCTTTGGTAAGTCAACTAATTGTAATACTTGTAGTAATGGATATTATCCTATAATTACCACAGGAACTGCTACTACGTTTTAATGCGTATAAACATGCCCAGATACTTACTATCTTACCAATAATCAATGCAAATAATGTCAAGCACCTTGTCTTAATTGTTTAGGTGATCCAAAAAGCTGTACTTCTTGTTAAAATAATTATTATCCTTTGATATCATAATAATAAAGTACTACATTTTAATGTTTAACCACCTGTCCTAATGGATTTTAATTCACATAAAACAAATGTTAAGAATGTTAAATTTATAGTACATAATCCTGCTATAGTTGTGGTCCAACTTGCAAAACTTGTTAAAAAGGTGAAAAAAATTTTTGTTTAGATTGCTATGACAGTATGACTTTTAATGGTTATACATGTGTTTGTAAAAACACCTAAGATACTAGAGCAAACTTATATCATTGCAGCTATGATATATATGCAGCAGTTTAAGCTACCTATGAGAGTAGTGTTCCTATCTTAACTCTAGAATTCGGATCACCCTTAGTTTCTGTGTATGGTCTTTCATGCAACTAAATATTTGACTAAGCTACAAATGACCTATTAGGATTTAATTCGATTTGCGAGATTAATTCAACTTAGATAATTGTTACTTTAAGTAAATAAATTATTTTTTAAATTATAGAAATGAAATAATAAAAATAAAATAACTAGGTTCCGATGCAACAATAATGGCTGATAATATAATAGGATTTAACAGCAAAGCTTTGGTTCTTCAATTCTAAGGATACTCAAATCCTATAAAAATATTCCATCTAATTTCAATTGTATAAAAACCAGGACCTTAAGCAACTGTAATAGTTTAATATAATGAAAAAGTAAACTCTTGTGATGATATCTCTTTTGCAATCGTAGGTCTTTTAAATGATGGAAAAAGAGATTTCTTTTAAATACAATGGAGTTTAGCTTAACCTGAGAGTTATAGCAATTAAACGCTATCAAATATTAATAAAATTATAAGTTTAGCAAATAAAAAGCAAAGTCGTAGCTTATTTATAAACCGATATATTGTTGCTCCTGATACTTCTATTACAATTAATCTATTTTACATACTTAAAATTTAACAAAGAAGCACTCTTTCATTTACTACATTTAATTAATTAACCAAATAACTTTTTATATAAAGTATTTAAAATCACTATCCTCCTATCTACAAGTAAAGAATTATTTTTATTGCTTTTATTTAATATTAATTTAAATAAGAGGGTTACTAAAATTTATAAAAAATCTTTTTATATCTTACTAAAAATTTTATTTTTTAAATTAAAAAGTTACATGGATATAAAAGTATTCTTTATTTTCTATGTATAACTATGCGACTAATAGGGAAATAGAATTACTAAAGAAACTTTAGACGTTTAAGTAGTTTCTAAAGCTTAACCAGAATTAAACATCGTTCAAAACTAATTTAATGATGAATAGATTGAAATAGATATTAAGCCTTATTCTATTCCTCTAAATTCTACTTTAGATCTTTCAGTAATACTAATATTTTTATTTTATAAATTTAATTTATTTATTTAATTAACTACTAGGTTTAAGCAGTTTCAATAAGTAATAATTTGATTAATTCTACTTACAATATGTCAATCACCCCATAAATCTCAGAATTATTTATTTAAATTTCTGGTGGTTCAGACAGAATGGTAGATTATTAAGCAAATACTACTATAACTGCAGTAGCAAGAGATTACGAAATTTAAGATGCTAATTCACCTTAAGGAATCTAACTTAAATGGACTTGTTAAAATATAGCTTCAAATAATGCGGATTCTTAATGCTACAATTATTTATTTGATGTTTTTCCTATTCCATAAAATGTTTTAAGCTTCACAATAGAAGAGGGAATTTTTAATCCATATCAGAGTCTTAAATTTACTCTTTAAGGCTAAAAAGATAGTAGATAATCATTGGCCAGTGTTTTATTAATATTTACAGAAATTAATATACCTGCTTTAATTGTTAAATTTGATGATGAAAAACTGCCTCAAAAAGTAAATATTAATGATGATATTTCCGCAACCCTTATTTACGATTCAAATACACCTATTAACCTTTTAACATATGCAGGTGCTATATTATACAAAAACAAAGTTGTAGGTATAATAAAATTTGATTATCTTAAAATCAAATTTAGAATATGGGATTATTTTTCTATGATAAAGGAAAATAACCCAGTAGTTTAAGTAAGATTTTCAGTTTATAATCCAGCAAACATTATGCCCAGCTTGAGTATCATAAACTTTAAAATTAATATACCACCATAAAAGTGTGTATTTAGTGTTAGTCCTTCTAGTGGAATAGCTCTTGAAACTTCATTTATTATATAATTTTCAGGGTGTATAACAAAAAGTAACCCAATTACTTACTAATTCTTTTACTATAATCAATAGATAGATTAACTTTAAGAAATTTAAGTACCATAAAATATACTTAGAAGATAAATTTAAGATTAATTTATTACTAGTTCAATAAGAACTGTTCTACCATCTGGAGATTTAGTTATAATGGGGTAAGCTATGGATTCAAACTTAGCTATTTTTAACTCTACTGTTCAAATTAGTGTTCGTCCTTATGACTCAGATGAGTAGAGTCTATTAAAACTCATAGAAAATGCCATAGAAGATAGCTAAAATACAACTACAAGAAATGCTATTCTATAATTTAGCATAATAGCTGAAGAAATTTCCAAGAATAATACAATCTTTAATCTTCCTTCAGTGAATGAAGCAAAGATAAAATTAATATAATCTATGCTTTTTTATTCAAATAAGTTACCAACTTCTTCATTTTTATCCACTTTATCAAATAAGCTAATTTCAAATCTCTAATCGTCTTTGATTGTACAATAAGATTAACAAAGCTAAAATCTACTTGGCCAAGTAAATTAAATACTTAATAATTAATAATCACTAATGAAAGTTACAAATAATAAACTCATGAGTAATAATGATATTGTTCTACAGAATTTAGTGGACTCCTTTAAAATTCTAAACTCAACAACTTAAAATTTTAATGCTGTAAACTCAACTAATAGTCTTTTGTAAACTTAATTAAATATGTCAGATTAAATAGGTCAATTAATAAATAATATTTCAATTCCAAATCAGGGCTAATTTTAAATGTAAGGAAATCAAATTTCTTTAAATTGTGAGTAAGTAACTTAAAAAAACCTTTAAAAATACTATTACGATTAAGGTGAAAATTTATTAGAGGAATCTAATATTTATAATGTAGTGATAACTAAATATGAGTAGAATCCTTTTAATCAAAGTGATGAGTTTCAAAATTATGTGAATCAGCTAAAAAATTAAACACCTTCAATCTAAATATCTTAAAATCCAGTTATTAAACCTTTAATTTAAGATATGACAAATTAAACCAATCAAAATGTAACCAATAAAATACAGATGTAGTTTCCAAATATAAAAAAACCATCAAAAAATAACCTGACTTGCATATAGCAGCAAAAATCAAGTTGGTCGTCTAAAAATTGTGTAATTGTAGAATCTTTATCAATTGGAGGATATAATTGTATTTGCAAAGATTAAAAACCTACAACAATTATAGAAGATTTAGAGGTAGTATTAAATAACAAAAATTTATAAACAGCATTTGGTTCAGAAGGATTTTCTAATATAACTCATTTCAGCACATTTTATGAGTTTGCAATTTTTTGGATTTTAACATCGGTTACATTAATATAATTTGGTCTTTGTTGGTTTGGAAAATAATTGGATAAAAAATAATAAATATGCATTCCATCATCTTTGACAAATGTAGCTCCTATATAAGAAAACAATATTTCAAATCATAGATAATTATAATCTTTAGTAAACATGGAAATATTTGTTTCACCAGAACAAACTAATAGGTAATAAAATTAAGAATAGTAAAACGATTTAAAATAATAGAACTCTCTTTAACAACAGTAATATTAGTAAGAGAATATATAAGATGAATAAGAAAAGCTTTTTAATGAAATTGTAAATTGGAAAATTAAATAAGAAAAGATTTAAAAACCTAAATTTAATAGAAGAGTTAGCTTTTTACCCTTAAGTGACAAACATATTTAAGATATATAAACAAACAATGATAATTTAAGTGGTTAAAAAATTTTGTAAAATAACAGTGACAAGATACAAAAATCTTTAGAAAAAAGTAATGAAAAATTATCTGAGCAAGAAAAAGAAAAATAATAAAAAGATACCTCTATAGATTTAAAGGTTACATAAGAGGATTAACAACCAATAGAAAATAATCAGATTTATAAAAAGTTATTATAAAAATCACTTATTTAGAAAATATTAATATTTCACAATTTTACTAATATATTTTTTATGCATAGCTTAAAACTTTCAAGGCCAATAAGATTTACTATTTTTTATTTGAAAGTAATTCACTCGCTAAGTGTATCGACTATTTTTGATTAATAGTATAATGATATATAAATGGTGTTTATTTCAGTTTTAAATTCAGCTATAATATCAGTAAGTGTGTTAATCATAGAAGCTATGTATAAGTTTAGAAAGATTGGAAAGATAATTTCATCATTACTAATAATCTCTTTATTAGCACTTTATTACTATATCATATTAGCAGTTATAAGTGGACAGTCAAATTCATATGCAAATTAAAGAGTATTTTCTTTTTTTATTCTTTTTGGAATAGATTTCTTGATTATTTCTACCTTATTATCTTCATTCTGTGTTATGATTTTAACACTAAATTCAAAGAAAATGTCTAGTAGCATCATTAAAAAATTATTTTAAATATTAAAAATATAGGACATAATACAAAATCTTGTTTTGTGATTATATTTATATATTTTGTATCCTTCTTTTTTAAATCTACAAAAATTTTATCATTTAAAATTTCAAATAGTATTCTTATTTTATTTAATTAAATATTTATTAATTTATATATTAATAGATTGTGAAATCTATCATTATATTAATATTTTATTTTTAATTTGATTTTTTGTTTATTTAAAATTTATTTAAATTATTATAAATTAAATACAAATTACATGTAAATATATAAAATACTAATATATAAATTTATTTAATATTATATTAATTTCTATTAGAAAGATAAATAGTTAGTTATAGGTGTAACCTATCACTATTTATCTCTCTATTACAAAAAAAAAAATCTGCAATTAGCAATAGTAACATTTAACCATGGTTTCAATTAAGTTCATAATATAATAAAAATAATTACCCTTGCCTAAGCTACTTATGTAATTTTATAAATTAAACATAATAGATATTATAAATAAAATTCATATTAATACGACTATGTATATGTTGGAAATTTACTAAGTATATACTTGCTAATTAATAACATTTGGTAAATACAAATTATGATAAGATTCTTTATTTAAAAATTTTAATTTTATTAAATTTACATTTTAATTTTAGGTTTTTCAAAATGTATTATATATAATAAAAATATTTTTAAATAATAAAATTAATTTATTTATTATTTTTGTTAAAAAAATTAATATTAACATAAAATCAATTACTCTAACTATTAATATTTGAAATATTTTTGAGTAATTAATACTCTTATTCTAGTTTATTATTTTTTTATTTTCTACTATTCTACTTTAGTATATTTTATTTATAAAATAAATAATTAGAAGAAATTTATTTTTCAAAAGCATCTTTATAGTACTAATTGATAATATTCATTGATTTTTTTTGAATTCTTTACTTTAATAATTTCCAAAGTTATAATGGTTATCTTGATTTTATTTGTTTCTTTGTAAAAACATTAAGAAAAATCTTGATACTATTTTAAAATAGCTAATATGTGAGTAAAATAACTATCAAAATATTAATCAAGCAAATAATTATTCTAGATTCGTTTAAATAGCTAATTTAATTTAAGTAGCTCATCATGCCAAAACTAACCGAAAGCCCAAAACTCACAAACACTTCTATATAATTCAGCTCTTTCCTCAAATATGGTAAAACTTTTTATAAGATTAAATTTTATTTTAGTTTTTAAAATATTAAATTTACAATAAAAGATTGAAATAGCATAGCTAAAGCATATTGCACAACAAATGGAATTTTTTAACATTAATTGCTAAAAAAATATTCCTTCCACCAAAAACAAGCTGATTTTATACATTTAAGAGTATATTTCCCACCAATATACTCTAAAATCTTAATACATAAACTTTAGAAATAGTGGAGCTCTTTCATTTTTAAGAAAGTTTTTTCTAATACTTAGAAAGAATTTCAAAGCTATTAAAAATAATGCCTAAAGAATAATAAATGAGATACAAACATAATAGCCCATTTGTTTGGTAAAAGGTACACTTGGAAAGTCTTTAATGTAATTCTGATCTTATATACTAATATAGCTAACTACTCCAATAAATAACTTAACCAAGTAAGGTATATTGTGAATTTAGATAAAGATGATAGCTGCTATTGTAGTATCTTTATCATAAAGTAAGCAGAATTATGCTATAAAATACACAATAGTTAAAGCTAAAAAAAGTATTAAAACAGAAATAAATATCCTTGTATAGCAATAAGGTAAATTTTGAAACTCAAAGAGAGTACCTAACTTACAATCTAAGAGCTTGAGAATATTGTTTGGTATATTAAATAATTCAAAGATAAACTGCTAAAGGAAGATTGGTAAAAAATAAATTAATGGATTAACCATAGTCAAAATTGTAAAATAGTTGATAAAAATCCTGACCAAGTTGAATGTTTCATTTTAATAAAAGATATTTAACTTTAACAGAAAAATAACCTTTTTTAGTTTTTGTATTTTAATTTATTTATTTATTAAATTTATCAAAAACCCATAAAATAATAAATTAATAAAGAAGATGACCAGGCTTGGATAATTTTTGAATCCATTACAGCTAATTAATTATTAAAATAGAAATATTTTAAAATGAATAAATTTTATAATTTAAGAAAATAATCTTTTATTTGCAAAATTGAAATTAAATAAATTAAAAAAATACATTTAGCATGTGTAAGGAGTAATCTATTAATAAGAATATTCCCAATATATTCCTTTTAAATCGCAATCTAAGCAAAGAGCCCCAATATTTCCTATTATTTAAATATATAGTTATGTAATTAAAATAAATAAAATATTACCTTCACTACAATATCTATTAGTAGATTACTATTAAACTTATTTTAAAACTCTCCCTATATCTCCAATACAATTTTAAGCAAAGTAACAATCTTAATATTCTATGCTCATTAAAGAATATCTCCAATATCCACTTGGTAAAAACATTTAAGAATTTTTACAAACAAAAGGACATTTTATACACTTTTATCCATCAGCAAGATTAAATGTGCTTGTAGGGCATTAGTAACACATATCTCTTTTTTTATTATCTTTTACAAGAGAAGTCCCAGTAGGGCATAGCTACCTAAATTAGAATTCTAATTCAAAATATATATTTTAAGATATTTAGATAAGATTTCCTTATAAATCATAAATAGGGATGTAATTAAAATTTGAGCTAATATTGACTTTTAATTATGAACCCATTCTTCCATAGATATATAAAACATTTTTTAGATTAAATAAACCATTATTCTGCTTTATTTGAGTAGGAAATATTTCAAAATCTCCTTAACTAATTTACAAGTTTAATATGATATCATTTTTTAATTATGATATAGGCTATCCTTCTTCATTAATAAGCTATATTTATAGATCATCCTTTTTATAATATAAATTTTAAAAGATTAACATATAATTATTTTAGGTTATTTTTCAAACAAGCTATGAAACTACTTGCTTTTCAAATAAATAATAACTAAAATTACTTGCAATACTCCTCCAGTAAAATTTTAAAAAATGATACTTTTACTGTATTAATTCCCATCTAAAATACCAACAAATGCTACAGCAGATTGTTAAAGTTAGTTACCATAGAGTTTTGCTAAATTATTATTTAAAGTATTTTAAAAGTTTCTTTTTATGGGCTGATTCTACATTTAGAAGAAGACACTACCAATAAGGGCTTAATTATTTTCAAAATTCGATGATGTTAATTAGATATTTTAAACAGTTTGTTAGAGCGTATTATCTGCAGCTATAGCCCCTCCATACATATATGCCTTATTTCCAATAAACTGTAATCTTGATAAATAATATAATGAGTTTACTAAAAATATCGATCCTCCACTTTATAAGGCTATATTATTAATAAAGGAGCAATTAACTATTGTTTAACTATTTGTACTATATTATATTTATTATTCATTGAAATCAGTTACTTACAAAACTCTATTTGAGTTTGGTTAATTGAACGTTTGTAAATATAGAGATCCTCCATTTATTGCAGTGTTTTCTTAAAATATACTTTTAAAAAGAAACAAATGATTTGATTAAATAAAAATATTGCCTTGTTAGCACAAAACACAGTTGTTTTTCTTGTACATTATTTATTTAATAATAACTGAATTAGAAGTAATTGATATTAAGCTCTATAATTATAATTATTAAAGGTATTGAAACATTTTAATTAATTCATTTTTACTAAATTAATCCCATTAAACTATTACTTTTTAACAGTCAAGTATATTAATTAATTTATTGTAGACAATAAATGATTCATATTGATTTTTTTCTAATGTTAGTTAAGTGATTGATTTAACATTGATGATTGCTTAATATTATAGCTTAGCTAAGTTATTATCTTTATTTTGTTAATTTTTTTATTAACTAGATTAAAATATGCATTAAATAATATCTAAGCTGTAGTAATTTTGAAAATTAAATAATGAAGGATCTGTCCCTGTAATCATTTTTTGAGAAAAGTATGGCAATAATTATTTGCTAAATATCCCTATATCATTAGTTACTTAAATAAGATTTGCTTGCATTTAGATTTAACTATATGAACCTGACTAAGAAGAATAAATATTACTACCACTTAGAGCCAGGTTATTTGTAAAGTGATTATTTTAAATTACTAAGAAATACTTAGAGAGTGAATTAGAAATATAAATAGATCCACCTTAATTTAGAGATAAATTATTTTCGAATGTAGAATTAAAGATAAACAACTCTACGATCGTTTAGCTAAATAAAATATCGATATAAATAGCTCCTCCAAAGCACTCTTACTAATTTTTCGTACTAAAGCTCCAGTTATCAATGAAATTAGATTACTAAATGTGCATTTTTAATTGATATTAGCTTTATAAATAAATAGCACCTCCTTACAAAGCAAAACCACCTTAAAATGTATTATTAAATATTTTTATGCTTGGCGTATTAATATTTATAATTCCTCCTTTTAGAGTTGGATCACCTAATATTAATTTAGTAGTTAATTATTCTTGCTAAATAAATGAATTATTAGTTAAGCTGATTTATTAGCAAGCGATATTCATGATATTATGAGAAGGATGGGCATAATATGACTATATATAGCTATTTTATATTTATAAAACACCTATCTACATCTAAATTAACAACACAGAAGATAAAAATTATTATTCTTATAAATATTCCTAATTATTTTAAAAAATTATTTTAAACAAATTTATTTGATACGATAATAATAGAATTAATTTTTTAAATAATAAATAATTATTTGATTAAAAATCATAAATTTATTGAATTACCAGTGATTTATTATATTTTCTATAGATGTTGATGCCTTGAAGGTTGTTAATAAATAGGCTTGCATCAATTTTAGACTAAATTTAAATAAAGCTCTAAATAGTATTTTATACACTAACAGACATTATTCTTCTCAGCTCTACATCATATAAGGTTATATTTGTGAATATAATTTAGTAATTTTAATTATCATTACTATTGATTTAATTCATAATTTGTTATATATTAATTAATTATTGATAAGATTTAAGACGTCTAAAGATAGCATTTTCAATTAAGCAAGTTTAATTTACTCCAAGAAAATTAAATAAATTGAATGATGTTGCATAATTAATCAAGCTACCAATATTTATTCTATTTAAATATATAGTTTAGGCTCCGCTTATAGATATAAAATTAACTATTTGATAATCTGATATTTAAAGTCCTTGAATTATTAAATTATTTATTGATTTGAAGTTAAAATAACTGCATTATTGTTAATTTAGTACATTATTTGGATTAATACTGTTATCTATTAATTAAATATCGGTTAAATTTACAGAGGCATCCTAATTTTGATTTAGTGAAAGTATAATCGCGTTTAAAGATTCAATAGTGTTTTATTATAATTTAATCGAGGTTAAATTATAAAATATGAAATTTTTATTAGATATAGTTAGTTGCTAAAATAATTTTGTTTAATATATAAAGCTGTTTAAAATTTAAAACTACTATATTTGTATTTAATTCAGATAAAATAAGCTTTGAAACGTATTTAGAGATTTATCTTGTGATATTATTTAGCAATTTTTTATAAATATTTAGTTGATAGTAATATTTTAGAAATTATCTGCATAAAGTAAAACAGAATTATTAAATATATTAGTATCAATAACTTTCAATTATGTTAAATTAAAAATCGATTACTATCTTGATGTATATTACTGCTTTGCCTAAATAAATGTAGAAAATTGAGTTAAATTACTGTTTATTAATTGTATATTTAGTAAATTTAATATTCCTAAGTATTCAAAAGTCAAGAACTAAGAAAAAATAAAGGAGCAATTAGTAAATAACACATTTTGGATTGAATACTCTATCACTGGTTAAGGCTGTAAAAACTATATATTCAGAAATTAGTTACTTTATATTGTTATATTGTTAAATGATACACCATTCATTTTCAAAGATCCATTGAAGTTTAAAAAATTTAACTATAATAAATTTGGAGATAAAGATTTAGAATTAAAAGTAACATTATAAATAGAAATTTCATTTATTATTGCATTTTAGGATTAGAAACCAAATGTATTGCCTATTTATTTAGGTTAGAAGTTAATATTTTCTATTTATATCTTACTAAATCCTGAAATTTCAGCTACTCCATATTAGTATATAGTGAATTTAGACTAATCTTCTTTTGTTTAGTTTGCTTTTATTGTAAGCGTCATTAACTCAATCGAATTTATTTAATTTTTTAAAGTAGAAATTATTTTTAAATTTATATTTTCATAACAATTATTGCTAGGATCTGTATATTGTAAAACAAGCTCTATTTCTCTCAATTGTAGTTCATTAAAATATACATATGCCCTATCTAAATTAGGCTCATTTAATATAATTTGATTTATATTAACTTCTGATATTCTAAATAAATTATATGGATCCTATAATGTTCCTGTACCCAGCGGTTAATCATAGTTTCCACAAAAGACATAAACACTAGACTATTTTTTAAAGTAGCAACCATTATCTGTTTAGCTACACATCTAACATTTCATTCTTTCTTTATCATATCTGATTGCAAATTAGCTAGTGTAATTAAACTTGGTTGTTATTTTTTATTTGCAAGAATAACATTTAGTATTATACAAATCCAAAGCTCCATTTTAAAAATAAATGCTTTTGTCTTCACATGTTTCACATCTATATTAAAATAAATATTCAATAAAATATATTATTTTTGTTTTATTTTATAAATAAATAAATATAATATATAACATTCTTTCTAGAATTAAAAATTCTTTAAAAGTTAAAAATAAAAAATATTACAGCATTGGACATAATTTACAATTCTATTGGTTAGAGTCAAAACTTATCATCTATTAGATATTATCTAGGAACAACTCATAAAAATACATTTAAGCTATGTACATTTAAATTTAAGTAATTTCACTAAACAATAGTTCAGAATTGCATTGAACACAATATGGCTAATCTAAGTAGAAAATACAAGTTTTGCAGTATTTTCCACATTAAGGTAAATCACAAGATTTTCTATCACTGCTAATCATTCTACCACTTTCACATACAGTGCAGAGCATTTAAATTTAAAAAACTTCATAGTAAGAAATTCTTTATTAAAGAGTCAAGCCTTATAACATATTTCTCTCATATATAAGAATGTTAGTATAATTAACCTTTTAGCCTTGATAAAATCCAGATTCAAAGCAGTTAAGGCAACCTTGAGGACAAGGTATGCATCCAGATATACTGGGAATATATCCTTACTCACATTATATGCATTAAAATAGAACTCCATCTTAATAATCATTACTTTAATAGCAATTGAGGCAAAATGGGATCTATATTTTATTATTTGAATATTTAAAAAATATTGTTATAACTAAATTAAAAACATAAATACTTAATCTAAGCAGGAGAGATTATAATTACAACTATAGGAGGTCTGATGTATAATTATTGGATAACTATAGATGCAATGATTAATCTCAAAATCAGATCCATAGAAAGATATTGTGTTTTTAGGATAATAGGTATTGCATATTAAAGAATAAGTATTCAAATCAGTTGGCAAAATGTAATCAAGACATTCACCTCCTAAGCTTAAACAAGTTCCTGGTAAACATTATTGACAAAAACCTTAAATCTATTCACCAGGCTTGAGGATGTATTCATAATAAGTTCTGAAATGATAGTTAGATGTAATTGTTTCATAATCATACTTTAAACAACTCCTTTAAACCCCGACCATGTCACAATCAAATCCTTTTTGAATAAAATAAAAAATTATAAAATTTAATCTTTATTATTTAAAAATCAAACTTACTGTTATATGAAGTTATATACCCTTACTTACATCTTAGACAAATTTAATTTAAATTTTATTCAGTGTATTAGCCAAAAGAGTACATCTTAGTGTTGACTAATTTACCTGCAAATGCTTTATTCAAAAATTAATTAATTAATTTATAAAAAAGACAAAAATTGTTTGTAAATAAAATTACTATATGCACACTCTTGACAAGAACTTCCACAAGGCAAACATGAAGAAAAATCGTATTTAATCATGTAGCCAGGTTGACAATACCTGCAACTAAACTATGCACTTAGCATATTAAAAGAATTGCTTAAGTATTACTCATAGCTTATGTCTTCAAAGTTTAGGAATTTATCTCCTATCAGGATACTCATACCACATTCTAAACATTAACTAGGACACATAGCACAGGTATAGGTATTAGTAACATAATAAAGATATTAACATTTAAGACATCTTGCAATTCCTTATGTATCAATTTTACATCTAAGACATTAACTTTAACCTTTAAATAATTTAAAATATTTTTTCAAAAACTTAAAATAAATGGTAACTACTAAGTACATTATGATGGATTATCTTAAAGTATCACTTGATAATAAGAGAGAGGAATTCTATTAGATTATTAGTCACTTATGCCTTAAGTTTAACCATATTAAATTTAATAGTAAATTGTATTATAAAGTAAAGGATCATATTTGTTATAACCTAAGAAATTAACTATCATTTTTGTGCATATCTTTTTAAAAAGGCTAGAATTGCTCCTAAATTTATAAAATGAATTTGAATAGTTTTCATTATTATTATTATTATGAAAAATTTTACCAATCATTCAATTCAAAACTACACTCTGCACATTTATAGGTATAAAATTGAGCAAACTTGTAAAGCTAAGATGAAGGGTCAATGTTAAATGAAAAAGAAGAGGAATCACATTTGACACATATTTAATTTGAACTTAAATTATCTTTAAATAAAAAATATCCTTCTATGCATTCTTAGCATACACCTCCAGATATACACTTTCTACACCTTTTTATTAAAATAATATTATTTACTACCATTTTGATTTCATAAAATAATCATTTTATATGGAGAAAAATTAATATATACCCTTCTGAGCACTTTTTACTATTTTAAGAACAATCAGAATTAGGATAGCAGTCTTCTTTTACATATGAAATAGTAAAATTGTAGTAGCTATTTGGAATTTTTAAAATTTATTAGTAGCAATTATCATTTCCTGGATTTTCAAAATACTAAGGGCATATCAAGCATGGCGTATCTGGGGTAATGTTTTAGCAAAGACTATTTTTATCTTTGCATAAAATTTTTTTATATTGATTAACTGTGTTTATGTTTTATTTAAGGCACTACATGTCTTGCCTATAAATATATAAGCACTCATCCTTTTAATATTGTGAAGTATCTACTTAAGTATAGAATTAGCAAGTTTACAATTATTAATTTAAGCAGTAATTTTTTGGACATACATAACACCCTACGTTGTTAATACTTAAGCATTTACCTTTTGAGTTAAAAGCTTATTTATAAAGTGTAAATATATAAATTTATTACCATTTTAATCCTAGCAGTAAATATTACTGAGAGGTATACATACACCATTTTATAAGCAGTTATCATATGAGCATACACTACACATTTAATTACTAGATGAAGAAATACACCTTCCTTAGGAATCTGAACACTTTATAAGACCTTCTACTTTTTAACAATAATCACCTTTCGCATTTGTAGATATGCAATATACACCTTTAAAACACATTTCCTTTTAAATTAAAATATTTTTTAAAGTCTAAAAGAAAATTATTTACAATTTCTTGAGACATATGAGGATTAGAGGCATCTTCTGTAGAAACACATATACCACTACCTTTATATTTTCCTTTAAAATATAAAATTTACTGAAATAAAATTAACTGAAATGAGAAAATAGTTATCTAATAAAAAATATTACCTATTTAGTCATTTTAATTGTAATCTAAAATGACACATTTGTTCTAACTTGTTGAAAATCCTTGCAAGATGCAAAATCTTTTTAAAAATAAATTTTATTAATGCTTTATTTTTCAAAATTACTATTCATAACATGCGCTTGCTCCATATATGCCAGAATCATTTGGTTATAAACAGTTTTCTGTATAATTTTCTTTTCCAGGGTAATTTATTGACAAAGGGAGACATTTATTATTCAAAAGGCAGAAGTTATCAGCACAATTAGAAGCATTACCTTAGCTTTTAGTTAAACAAGTTTGGTCAACTTAACTTCTCCCAATAGTATTTGGGTTGCTGCAACTAAGCTATACACATTATCCATTAAGTAAGCAATAATCACCCTATAAGCAGCTTATAGAGTTAGCTAATAAAAAATTGTCAAAAATATAAGAGACTTGTAATTTAATATATATTTTACCTTGATTTAGATCAGAACAAGTCTAGTCAGACCTTTTTGCCTTTACATTTGGAGTGTTTTTGAAAAATTAACTCGTTGATTGGAGAGGATGACAGACCTAGAAATTTCTAATTTATCAAAGTAATAAATTTTGATTTATATTTTATCAGTTTTCTAATTAAATAATATTTACTAGTATTGCAAAACGCAATAATTTGAACTAAAACACTATTATATTCCTTTTTTTAATATTTAAATAAATATATTTATCTTAGCTTATGTTTACCTAAATAAGAAGGTTAAAGCAACTAAAGGCATAATTAAGAATATTACTCTACTCCTATATAAAAAGTGCCATTAATAAATGAACCAATTGCTATACAATATTTTTGTTAGGGTTATTAAACATAAATACAATACCCATCTGGGCATCTATAAATGTTTTATGCTTATCCACTTATAGGTTGATAAGGTAAGCATTTCATAGTTTTTGATTCTTTAGCAAAGCTAAGAGAATTCTAATTAGGAGTCAATTAAGCACAAAAACTTTATTAAGTTTTTGGATCTGTATATAAACACTAAGAATCATCAACGCAAGACCTAGTATTTCAATTTATATTATTTATAACAATATTTAAAATTTTTATTTATTATGCTTTATAGCCAGTAATTAAAATAGTAATTTAAAAATTGTCAATTTAATTTTGGCAAAATTAAAAGGAATAGAAAAAATTATTTTTTTCAAATTTTCTATAAACAAAATTAATAAATTGTGATAAAATTATTGGTAAAAGTTTAATTTTTGAGATCAATTTGAACTCCCCTGCCCTCTCCCTATCATTTTAAACACTTTTATATCTACCCTACCCCTAAATTTTGTAGATTAAAATTAATTTTATTTTTAAATTTTAATCTCTTAATTTAAAATTTATATTTTTCATTTTCTAATTAAAAAATTTTTTAAATTATAAGTAGAATTTTATAATAATGAAAATGAATATTTTATTAAATTAAATTTATTAGCTATTAAAATATTTATATTAAAAACAATTTTAAAAAATAACCAATAAAATTTTAAATTACAGTTAAGAAGATGCAACACACATTCCTTAAGAATCTTGTTTATTTCCATTTATAGATTGACATTGCTAATATGTGACTGAAGTTCTAGTCAAAAAGTCATAATGAGTGTTTTAGGCAATACAATTATATTCAGAGCAGAATATGATATTTTATTATGGTGAGCTATTAACTTTATGTTTCAATTTTATTATAAGATTTGTGAAAGAAATATATTACTTGTAATTTATTAATTTGAAGCAATACAAAAAAATTTAGTCATTGCACCCTTTAATTTGGTTAAAAATTAAATATAATAAATTAATAATTTAACAATTTAATTATTTACCACAAAATTTTTTCCTTATCTAATTAACTCACAAGATTTCTATGCACCACTTTAGTTGATACAAGTAGACGCATCTTAAGAAGATAAATAACATTCCAAATAATTAATTTCACTATCTCCACCACATGATTAATCTTATTTTTTAGATATTACACTATATCCATTCATCTAAATGCAATTTTGTTGAGAAATGCAATATCTAATTTCATCAAATAAATTTTGAGTAAGAGTAAATATTTTATTTAAAAATTACCCTTGTATGCAAGATTTAATGCTATCTTATGAATCAATAGAGGTATTTTGCAATACGCAGGCAAATTTGTTTGTTATTCCTATTATTTGCTTTGCTGAATCACTATTTGACACTATTTAATTATTCTTATAGAAGCAATAATCAGATTACAAGAATATGATACCTAATTTCAAAATAACAATATAATCCACCATGAAAAATACAAGAAATTAAAATATAATTACTATCTATAATTAATAATTATTAGACTTATGTTACTTACACACAATAATTTATGTTTTTATATGAATATACTCCAATTATTTGTGTATTAGATGAATATGCTATGCATTAAGATTAATTTTGTGAAATCTAAAGCAAACAGATACTCATTCCATCATCATAACATGTTTGAATATTATCTATTGTTTGAATAGGGATGCAAACTCCTTTATCATTTTTAGCTGCGTTTTAATTATTATTCATCTAAGTGCATTAATTTCCTTAATAACATTAACTTTAATAATATAAGAATAAATTTATCTAGTTTTTTATCATTAATAATTACTTATTTGGACAATCACACTAAAAACTACTTGCTACTTGTTCATCTTAGTATAAAAAATTATCATTTTTAAAGCAGTACCCTTGCTTTAGGAACTTTATTGCTTTTTTATATTTAAAATTCTTAAAGTAAGGGAATAGATTCTAGTAAATTAGTAGGAAGAAAAAGATACATGCAGGATTTATGGACATATTTTTGATGTCAGACTAACTTAGACAAATTAAATTCTAATTGCTGTCTAAATAGCTTCCTATATATAAATCTTTTGGGTCTTAGTTTAGTAAAACACATTAAGTTTTTGAAGAATTCATGCATATTTAATTTGTGTTTAGTGCACATTATTATATTATTGATTCTTGTCTATCCATCACGCAATCACCTTAAATGTTAATGCCTGTGAAATTAGGTAATATGCTTACACAAGAACTAGTTGAAGGCTAAAAGCACTAACCTTAGCTACAGTTAGTAGAAGAACAAACTTTTAGAATTAATTGAAAAAAAACCAATTAAAGGTAGTAAAAGTAAAATATAGCTTTATTCATTTTTTTAATTCACTTAATTAAAAATTAGATTACTAAATAGGTAAAGATACATAAATATTTATGATTTTTATGTAAAATTAGAATGTAAATTTAAAATTAAGAAGATAAACAAAACTAATAGGAATAAATTGGTGAATTTTTAGTAAAAATAAATAATACTCATAAATATATTACAGCCATATAAAAATAAATATTAGACCAGGGATCAATTCTTTGTAAATCCTTATAATAAAAATTGAATATTAATACATACTTATATCTTTTACATTTTGGTGTTTTCTTAGTTTTATCTTTTGATATTTTATTTATTACTTTGAGTTTCCTGAAAACTCTCAATCTCCATTTTTTTTTTGTTAAATAAATTTAGCTATATTTTAAATTGATACTGCTTATAACTAAATATACTCTAGAATTTCAATAATTAGAACTATTCCTCACTAAAAACTTTTTCAAAAAATTAGGGTTAATGTAAAATTAGCTTAAAATCATAAAAATTAAATGAAATATCACCATCTGTACCTACACAGTTCATGATATTTTAATTACAGGATTAGTAATATTAAAAATTATTTGTTTATTTGATTAAAATATGTAGAAGACATAAAATACTATAATACTAAAAGATAGCAATAACTCAATATATAAATTCATTAAATATATGTTTTATTAAAGGTCGATGAGTTGCACTCTTGTTTATTACTTTATTATTTTCTACTAATCTAATTTAGTATATTTTATTTACTAAATTAATAATTGTAAGAAATTTATTTTTCAAGAGTATCTTTATAGTACTAATTAATAATATTCTTAGGTTTTATTAGAATTTTTTACTTTAGTAATTTCCAAAGTTATGATGGTTATCTTGATTTTACTTATTTATTTGTTAAATTATTAAGAAAAGTCTTGATATTATTTTAAAATAGCTTGTATGTGAGTAAAATAACTATCAAAATATTAATCAAACAAATAATGATTCTAGATTCGTTTAAGTAGCTGTTTTAATTTAAGTAACTCATCATGCTAAAACTAACCGAAAGTCCAAAGCTTACAAATACTTCTATAAAATTCAGCTCTTTCCTCAAATATGGTAAAACTTTTTATAAAATAAATTGTATTTTAGTTTTTAAAATGTTAAATTTACAATACAAGATCGAAACCGCATAGCTAAAGCAAATTGCAGAACAAATGGAGTTTTTTAAGATTTTTTGCTAAAAAAATATTGCTTCTACCAAAAACAAGCTGATTTTATACATTTAAGAATATATTTCCCACCAATATACTCTAAAATCTTAATACATAAACTTTAGATAAAGTGGAGCTCTTTCATTTTTAAGAAAGTTTTTTCTAAGACTTAAAAAGAATTTCAAAGCTATTAAAAATAATACTTAAAGAATAATAAATGAGATAGAAACATAATAACCAATTTGCTTGGTAACAAAGGGTACACTAGGAAAGTCTTTAATGTAATTTTGATTTTCTATACTAATATAGCTAACTACTCCAACAAATAATTTAACCAAGTAAGGAATATTGTGAATTTAAACAAAGATAATAGTTGATATCATAGTAACTTTATCATAAAGTAAGCAAAACTATGCTAAGGAATATATTATAAAAAAAGCTAAGAAAAGTATTGAAATAGAAATAAATATCCTTGTATAACAATAAGGTAAATTTTGGAACTCAAAGAGAGTACTTAGCTTACAATCTAAGAGCTTGAGAATATTGTTTGGTATATTAAATAGTTCAAAGATAAACTGCTAAAGGAAGATTGGTAAAAAATAAATTAATGGATTTATCATAGTCAAAATTGTAAAATAGTTGATAAAAATCCTGACCAAGTTGAATGTTTCATTTTAATAAAAGATATTTAACTTTAACAGAAAAATAACTTTTTTTAGCTTTTGCAATTTAATTTATCTATTTATTATATTTATGAATGACCCATAAAATAATAAATTTATAAAGAAGATGATCAGACTTGGATAATTTTTGAAACCATTGCAGCTAATTAATTATTAAGATAAAAATAATTTAAAATATTTAATTTTATTTAAAATTTTCAAAAAATAACTAAATTTTAACTTAAGTAAAGAGTATTTTTATTTGCTTAGTTATCTTTTTATGTATTATTTAATAATCTAAAATATATTTTATCATTTTATTAAAGCCAAAAGTTAATCTTGTTATTGATTGGTTATACATTTTAATCTAAAAGTATTTATATAATGTAAAAATCAAATAATTAAATAATCGCAAAATTAATTGAGAAAAACTTTTTTTCTTCAAAAAAACTTCTAATTATAAATATTTTAAATTAAAGTTGATTGATGATTATTTTTGAAAAAATATAATATATATTTAAATACTCTTAGCAAGTGTAAGGAGTTATCTATTAATATCTGATCTCCCAAAATGTTCCTTTTAAATCACAGTCCATACAAAGAACACCTATATTTCCTATTTTTTAAATAAAAGGGTTGATAATATATTATGAATTTTATTTTCTTACCATCTCTACAATACCTATTAGTTGAGCTCTTTAGCTTTTAAGATATTTACCTATCAATGTCTCCAACACAATTTTAAGATAAATAACATTCTTAGTAATCATAGCTCATTAAAGAATACCTCCAATAACCTTAAGGTAAAAATAATTATGAATTCTTACATACAAAAGGACATTTAACACAGTTTTAACCATCAGCTAAATTAAATGTACCAGTAGGGCAATTGATACAAATGTCTTTTTTGTAATTATCTTTTAAAAGAGTAGTACCTTAAGGACATAATTATCTAAACTAAAAAATTAGCTCAAAATAAATATTCTAATAAATATTGATTAGATTTCCCTACAGGTCATAGTTAGGAATGTAGTTAAAATCAGAAGTAAGTCTTATTTTAAGCTCTTATCCTAACCTTCCGTAGATATACATAATATCTGAAAGATTGAATAAACCATTGCTTTGTTTAATCTAAGATGGAAATACAACAAAATCTCCTATACCTGCTTCGATCTTTAGTATAATATCATTTTTTAATTATGATATTTCTTGATTTTCTGTATTTATAAGTTATATTTGTAGCTTATCCTAAAATTTTAATAAATAAAATCATTTAATAAAATAAAGTAAAAATTTATTTTTAAAATAAATCTATTGTAAATAAATTTGTACTTTGATTACTCCACTCAGAAAATTTTTAATGATTATCTTACTATTATATGATTTACCATTTAAAATACCAATAAATCCTACAGCAGATTACTAAAGTTGATTTCCATAAAGTTTAGCAAAATTATTTTTTAAAGTATTTTAGAACATTTTTTAAATAGGAAGATTTTGCATCTAAAAGAAGACGCTTCCTATTAGTGCTTAGTTATTCAGAAATGTAGAAGAAGCTAATTAAATATTTTAAAAGGTATTACCAGAGCTATTATCTGAAGCTAAAGCTCCTCCATACATCTTTGCTTTGTTTCCAATAAAAAATAAGTTTGACAAATATATAAGAGTATTTTCTATAAAAATAGATCCCCCACTTTAGAGAGCTGTGTTTTCAATAAAAGTGCAGTTTAATATTGTTTGGTTTGCCTAACTAAATAGTATCAGATAGTCATCTATATTTGAATGCTATAAAATTCTATTATTACTTGTTTGAATTGTCATTTACAAATATAAAGATCCTCCATTAAGTGCAGTGTTTCCTTTGAAAATGCTTTAGTATATAAGCAGATGACTTGAATCTATGAGTATATTACCTTAATCGCATAAACTGCAATTGTTGTTTTAGAATGTTAGCTTTTTAATAATAACAGAGTTCGAGTTTATAGATATAAAGCTTTTAATTTAGGTATTTTGGTGATATATAAGAGGATTTGCAGCCAATTAATTGTTATCAAAAAAATCCCATTAGATTAACACTTTTAGAGAGTTAGAAATATTAATTAAGTTACTATAAACTTAAAATTAATTGTATTTGTTTTAATCTAAAGTTAATAAGGTAATAGATTTAAAATTCATTATTGCTTAATATGAAAGCATAGCTAAATTAATTTCATTTAATTAATTATTTGGCTAACTTGATTAAAATATGCATTAAATAACATCTACGCTGTAGTAATTTTAAAAGCTAAATAATGAAATACTAGCACTCTCTATCATTTGTTATGAGAAATAAGGTTGTAAATTTTGGGATAGAATATAAAAGTTGTCAGTAATTGAAACAACAGTTATATACATTGTTATTTAGCTAATTGCTTTGGACTAAAAAGAATAAATATTACTACCTTTTAAAGATAAGTTATCTATGAAGTTGTTATATTGACTTATAAAAAAATACTTAAGTAGTGAGTTGGAAATATAAATAGCTCCTCCTTGATTTAAAGATAGATTGTTTTAGAATTTTGTATTTAAAACAAAAAATTCAACAGTGTTTTTAATTAATGAAATATCAAAATAGATAGCTCCTCCAAAACACTCCTATTAATTTTTCAAATTAAAGCTCCAATTATCAATGAAGTTAGATTATTAGATGTATACTTTAGTCTGCTATAAGCTTTGAAAATAAATAGCACCTCCTTACATAGCTAAACCTCCTAAAAACGTTGTATTAAATATTTATACCTATGAAGCAAAAAGGTTTAGTATTCCACCTTTTAAAGTAGAATCATCTAATGTAAGTTTTTTATTTTAATTTTCTTATAAAACAAAAGAAGAGTTGACTAATTATATTTAGTAGCAGCTAATTTACAAAAGATTATGTTATGGATGGACATAATATGATTAAATTAAGCTATTTTCTATTTATAAATACCCAATTTGCATCTAAATTAATATGACAGTAGATTAATATAATTCTGTTATTTAATACTCCTTTTTTATAATATAAATAATGTTTATAGGGATTGATTTAACTTAAAAAAAATTAATTATGCTTATAAATTTTATTAATAAATATTTTCTCTTGATCAGAATACTAACTCTTATAGGGGGAGCTCACTACTGTGAGATATTATAGATAGAGTTAAATTTAGAAATTTGATTCATAAAATTATCTTTTAAAAAAATAAATTAAAATTAAGATTTTACCTAGGTTTTATTGAACTTTCTATAAATATTAGTTCCTTAAAAGTTACTAATTAACACATTTCCATCAATTTTAGATTAAATTTCAATAATGTTTTACATTGGAATTTCTAAGCTAATTGGTGGTATTCTTATCATCTCTATCTCGTTTAGAGTGAAATTCAATAATTTAATATTGTACTAATCTCTATCATTTATTTAATTCATTATTTGGTGTATTAGTATTAATTATTAGTATGTAGTTAGTTAAATAAGCACCACATTCTTAATTATACAAGTAGAGTTCACAGCTTAAAAGCTAAATATATTATAGGCAGAGGATTATCTGGCTAATTAACCAACATTAAGGATATTTATATCAACATGTTAAATACTTTAAATTGTTAAAAATTGAACTACATTATCATCTTAAATGCTTAAATTATTTATTACTAAACTTGTTATTGAGCTAAATTAAAAGAATTTATTATTCTACTGTTCAACATTTTATAAAATATTGTATTTGTTGCTTTCTATTTAGAAATCTGTTATATTTACTACTGCATTTATACTTTTGCTTAATTAGAATATTATAGCTTAATTACAATCAACTAAGTTAGAATGGATCTCAAATGAAGTAAAATTGTAAGCCTGTAAATTTGAATCGTATTATATGGCTGATAATTAAAATATGATAGTATTATACAATATATTGCCTACAAATTATAATTAAGAAATCTATACCTAATCTAAATAAAATAAGCTATAAAACTGTTAAGTATTGCTTATATCTGATACTATTTTATTATTAAATAACTCTAGCTTGCTTATTGTTGTTTGATTAAAATTTTGAGCATAAACTATTATAGAGTTATTATAAAAATTGGAGTTGTTTATGCTAAGCTTTGCTAAATTAAAAGCTGAAGATGTTTTTAAAATATGCAGAGAAGCCAATATAAGTGTTGATTTCTATAAGAAGCTACTTTAGTTTATTTAAAGATTATACAAATTTAGTTATCCCTGAAATTAAAAGATGAAAAATTGGCTTGAAATAAATGTACAATTTTATAAACCAACATTTTTAATTGAATATGTTTATGGAGTTATTATTTATTTAAACTTTAGATCAATTAAGTTACTATTTTGAATTGTAATGTTATTGAATGAGACATTATCTATAATTAGAGTTCCGTTGAAGTATTCAAAGCTCAACCACAATAAGTTAGGAACTTAGCTTTAAGTACTAAAAGTTACATTTTAAAATTAAATTTGATTGATTGTCGTATTTTGAGATTAGTAGCCAAAGTAGCCATTTATGTATTTTGAAACAATATTAAGATTTTATACCTAAATTTAGCTAAAACCTGATATTTATGCCACAGCTATTTGCTTAACTGTAAAGAATGTTTAATAATCTTTACTTTAATCTGCCTTAATTGTTAATGTCATGAATTCTAATGAACTGATTGTACTCTTTAAGTTAGTTTGAAGATTTAAAGCAACATTTTCTACACAAACTCCACCTTAGTCAACATATTAAATTATAAGTTCTAATTCCCTCAATTATAGTTCATTATAATATAGGTAGGCTCTGTTTACATCTGCTTCATTAAGTATTAAGGAATCTACGTTGATTTAAGAAATTTTAAATAAATTATATGGGTCTGTCTCTGTTCCTGATCCTAATGTTTAATTATAAGAACCACAAAATACGTAAACATGAGATTGTTTTTTAAAATAGCATCCATTATCATTCTTTAAACAAAGTTAGCATTTCATTCTTTATTTATCGTACCTTATTTCATACCTTTCAAGTTCTGGTTAAGAGTTTGGTATCTTTTATTTACAAGAGTAACATTTAGTGTCATACAGATCATAGGCTCCATTCAAAAAATAATTGCTCTTATCTTAGCATGTTTCACATCTAATTTGAAATTTTTTTATTAAAAAAATGATTTTATTATTTATTAAAAACTATATTTAAATTTATGAAAAATCAAGATAAATATTATGGAGTAATGAAAAATAGCAATGATTTTAGATTACTCTTCCAACTATTTTATCAAGCACAATTATATAAAACTATAAATATTTTTAAATAGATGAATAGAAATTAATTACAGCATTGGACACAATTTACAGTTTTGTTAATTTTGATCAAAGCTAATCATAAGATCAATTTAATCTAAAAATATAGAATTAAAGTACATTTATGCTATGTACATTTAAATAGATGTTATTTCAGCAAACAAAAGATTAGTATTACATTACACACAAAGCGGCTAATCTTAATAATACATACATTTTTGGCAGTACTTCCCACAAACAACATAATCGCATGATAATTAAGTAGCACTTAGCACTCTTCCACTATCACAAACTGAGCAGAGCATCTAAATTTAATAGAGATTACTATAATCAATTCTTTACTATAATGTCATATCTTTTAACATTCTTCTTTCATAAATAAGAATATTAGTGAAATTAACTTTTTATTATTAATAATAGCCTATTTCATAGCAATTTAAACATCCTTTTGGGCATGGAATACACCCACTTATACTAGGGATAAATCCTTCTTTACACTAAATACATTAAAATAATAAACCATCTTAATAGTGCTAAAATTCATAACAATTTAAGCAATTCTAGATCTTTATTTTAATTAAATAAAAAAAAATAAAAAATAAAAAAACTGTTTAAAAATTTTAATACTAGTTAATCGCAATGCCTATTTGAGTCGCAATAGAGATTAAATTCAGCAGTTATAATTAAAGGATATAAATATTAACAATTATTATATTAATAATCGCCTCCAACAACTTTAAGATTCTATGTAGATTATGAATTGCAGATTATTGAGGTAGAGTTTAAATTTGTAGGATCACCAAGGTCTATACAAGCTCTATAATAAGGTGATAAACAAGTACTAGGAGAACAATAGTTGCAATTAAATATACTAGTTTCTCCAGTTTAATATTAATAATTTAAGAAAGTTTTTGTACTTTTAAAATTAATAGAAGAAATAATGTCATAATCATAACAGTTAGGTTAACTGTCTTGCACTATTTAGGCACAATCAAACCCTGTTAAATTAAATTGAAAAGCTAAATTATTTTAAATTATAAATAAATAAATATTACTATTAGCAGCGCGTTTATAACCAGGTTAACATCTTAAGCAATAACCTAATACATTTTATGCTTAGTAATTACCAAAGTTATAATACTTTTTATTGGTAAATTTACCATCAGGCAATACTAAATATATTTTATTTAATTTTTAAAAATGTTTTATCAAATTAAAATTTTATTTTATTCAAAATTTTGAACTCATAAATTTTTCTCTTATTCGACGATCCTAAGGTATAAAATTTTAAAATCAACCTTATATATGAAATTAGAAGTCTTAGAAAAGTTTAATTTTACTTAGCTTTCTGAGTAAGTTTAATTTAATTTTTTTATTAAAAATTGAAAAATATAAACTAATTTAATCTACCCTTCTGGACATTTTTAACTATTAAAGGAACAATCAGAGTTAGGGTAGCAGTCTTCCATGATGTATTGAAGTTATAAATTAAAATAGCTATCTTAGATATACTTAACTTGCTGATAGCAAGTATCATCTCCAGGGTTAAAAAAATATTTTGGGCAGACTAGGCATTGTTTAATTTCATTTGCTACTTTTAGATCTTAACATAAATTATTTTTATCTTTACATAATAAAATTTTGTATTAATTCATATTATCTATATTTTATTTGAAACAAGGCATATCTTGTCTGTATTAGTATAAACATTCGCTACTGCTATAAGAAGATTAAACCAATTAATAGTAATATTAGCAAGTTTATGAAGCCTACTAGAGGCAATAATTTATAGGACATACTTTGCAACCTGACTAACTCACATCTAAGCAATTACCTAAATAATAAAATAATAAATTAATATTAAAAGTATAACCTTTATTACCATTATTATCTTAGCAATATTTATTATCTAGTGATACACAATTTCCATTAAGTAAGCACTCATTAAACGAGCATCTACTGCATGGAGTTGTACTATCTGTTTGCAAAACGCACTTTCCTTACGAATCAGAACATTTATAAATACCTTCAACTTTTTAGCAATAGTCTCCATTACTATTAGTAGCAATGCAATAAACTCCTTTAAAGCATAATTACTTAAGTAAAAAAATTAATAAGCAGTGTAATTATAATGAAAATTTACTATCATTTATGTCGTATGTGGGATACTTTAATCATTTTAGGATACACATATACCAGTTCCTTGATATTTTCCTTTAAATTTTTAAAACAAAATAAAGTATTAAAATATCAAATAAAATTTTTACCTAATTAATTTTGCTATTAGTAATCTATCGGCAAACACATATTTTAATTTTGTGATGTTCCCAAAAAGAGGCAATAACTATTTATTTATATACCAAAATTAAGTTTATAAATCATTTAAAATAATTTTGAATACTCAATATAACAAGAACTAGCTCCAAACATTCCTGGATCATTTGCTTAAATGCAAATCCCTGTTTAACTTTCTCTTGCTGGATTCTACAAAGAAAGAGGATAGCATTAGTTATTTTTTAAACAATAATTTTGTGCACAATTAGTTGCTGGCATTGTATTCTAAGGCAGGCAGGTTTAGTCTTGTAAGCTTCTACCTACAGCTAATTAATTGTTACTATCAAGAGGAATACAAGCTCCATTCAGTATGCAGTAATCACCTGCTAAACAATTTACAGAAACAGCTTTTATATAAAAAAGATTAGATATCTTAAATATTTTAAAGTGTTACTTATTTACTTTAATTTAAATCTGCACAGGTACCATCTTATAACTTAGCCTTGACACTTAGATTTGTTGAAAAGTATGTGCTTTAATACTATAGAGGATGGCATACATAATAATTTCTAATGAAAAAAAGAGTAAAAATCTAATCATTTTATAAAGTTTAATTTTTTATACTGATATTTGAAAACACAGTTATCTCCATAACACCATGATATCCCTATTTTTTTATTATTTTGTATGAATTAAAATTTGCTATGTAATCAAATATACCTATATAAGAAAGATCTAACTATTGTAAACATAATTATGTATATTACTCAACTCCTATGTACTAATTTCCATAAACAAAAGATCCAAGAGCTACACAATATTTTTAAGATTATGATAGCATATAAATGCAATATCCAGCAGGACATTTGTCAATATTTTAAGCTTATCCTGTGATAGGCTGATAAGGTAAGCATTTTGATGTCTTTTTTTCTTTAGCAAAATTAGGATTTGTTATATCTGTAGACAAACTCACACAAATATAATTTTATAAATCAGAGTCATATGTTAAGCATTAGTTATCATTCGGGCAAATACTTTTTTATATGTCATTTTTAAATATTGGAATATTTAAAAAGAATTTACTTTTATAAACCCTAATATATACAATATCCTGAAGAATCTTTTTTAAACCAATTCATCACAAAGCATGATTAAACAGTAACTGTCCTGTAAACATCTCCATGCCTACCTGAGCTAACCAGAACATCGATCTGATATTATTATATGCAATAATATTAGTCACAGTACATTATCGTTTACCCTTGATCAGCTTTTTTATTAAAATTTAATTAACTATCCATCTAAATTATAAAAAATTAAAAATGATTTTACAGTTAACCTGCTGGTTAGCTTTAACACAGTCAAAATTTGCCTATGCTCCCTTTCAAAAAAAATGTAAAGAAATATGAAGTAGATTTACATATTCAAATAATAATTACAACAAAATTATTGCTTTAAAGAATAAGTTCACAAGAATTTCCATTAATACAAGTTGTTTTACTTGTGTTAGATGTGAAGCATTCTAAAAAATTTTATTCAGAGTTACCACCACATGTTTAATCTTATCTTTTAGAGATAAGATTGTAACTATTCATTTGAATGCATTTTTGTTAAGAAATGCAGTATCTATTGTTTAATTTAAAATTTAATATTGTAAGCTAATTCCTATCTAATCTTTTTTTACCCTTTTATACAGGATTTTAATGGATCTGATTAGTTTACAGTTGAATTTAACAGAAAGCAATTATATCTAGAAGTGATCCCAATAATTTACAAAGTCTGATTGGGAATTTATACAAATTAATTGTGGTAATAACAATAAGTAGAGTTCAAATTAATAATGTCTATTTTTTATTAAAAACAGAATTAAAAAAAAATTTGATTAAACTAATCAAAATACTATTTATTATTATTGTCTAATTAACTTAAGATTTTGACAAACAATAATTCACATTTTAGTAACTATATACTCCTATTATGTCAGTGTTTTAGTTGTAGACTATGCATTTTGAAGTATTTTAAGTTATTGTTAATAAACAAATACTTAATCCATCATTAAAACAACTTTAAATATTATCTATCACTGACAGTTTAACGCATTATCCATTTAAATTTAATCCAGCATTTATATTTTTATCCATTTAAATACACTTTGTTCCATTGAAGCATTAACTATTATTTTTAAGCAAAAATATTTAAAATTCTGTCTTTCTAAAGGTTAAATTACTTTTAAGGACATTGGCACATATAACTAGTCTTTAGTTATTACCCCTAATATATAAGATTATCATTTTTGTAGCAATACCCATCTTTTAAGAATTAAATTCCTATATAGAATATAATTAGTTTCTAATTACACAAACATCATAATTTTACTTGTAGGGGTTATTTATGTCAATTAGATATCAGTTAATTAAATACAGATAAGAATTTAGTTGCTATTCAAGTAACTTCCTACATAAGTATCAGTAGGATCAGAATTAAGCAAAATGCACATGGTTTTGGAAGAATCCATGCATACATTATTTGAATTTTTAGCACAATAAAGTATATTAGACTTTTCTCTATCACTAGTACAGTTTCCTTAAGTGTCGGTTCCAGTGTAATCAGGTAAAATGTTGCTACAACCTTTCAGTTTTACTGCATAACATTAATTGGCATTACATGTTAGTGCTTTTAAATGATTTGAAAGTTGGATAAAAATTATATAAAAATAAATTGAAAAATATTTAAATTCGAGCATTTTCATACTTCTTTATTTAATGTTTGACACAAATAATTAATTTATTATTTTCTTTAGGTTTTTTAAAGAATTCTTCATAATATCATTAAGAAGAGCATTAATAATTAATTGCTTTTAGAAATATCCAATTCGACTAAAAAAATAAGTAACAGAGCATATGAAAATCTATATTTTGTTTATGTTATTTTAAATTAACAATTAATCTACCAAATTATTTACTTCAAAGACATTTATATCTAAAAGCTTTTTTTAAATGTACGTTGATATTTATTTTATTTATTTATTAATCAAAAACTATAATCCTTTATTTTAATAGATCTAAAAAAGAATATCATTTATTTATGATTTTATTTCTAACTTGCTTAAAAATTATTGAAATTAAACTCTAAGAAATTTTTCAAAAAAGATGAAAGAAAATAGTGTTAAATTAAAAACCGATCTTAAAATCTGAAAGCGAATTCATTGCAATATTAATTTTTAATTAAAATTTTATATGCTCTGAATTATTTATATCATATACTTCCTTATTTTTTTTAGGTGTTTGGTGTCATATTAAAAATATTCATCTAAATCTAAATAAATTTCAGATGGTATTATTTCATTCATACATAATTTGATTTAATTTCTGTGTTTGATAATAAATTAAAGGTCTTGATTATAAAAAAGTAGACTGTTATTTGATATTTATACTAAGATTTAGTAACTAGAAAAGCTAAATTTGAAATAAAAGAAATTGAATTATCTATTTAATAGTGAATTTATAGAAATTGAGTTTCTTTTGAAAATTGTCTTTTATAAAATTAAAAATAATTAGATTAATTCTGTGTTAAGCTTACATTTAATTAAAATATTAGTTCAAAATAATTAAGAAATTGAATTGAATAGAGTTTAATTAAATTAATGTAATATAAAATATATCAAGAATTTTTATTCAAATATGTAATAAAATATATAATCTAAATTTTTTAAATTTACTTCTTTGTAAAAAAATAATCCTCATTTTATCAATACTTATTAAAAAAACAAGTTATCGAAGAATGTGTTGGAAATAAGTGTTATATTTTGGTACCATACAGTACTAATTAAATTTGACAATTATTTACTTTTATTCTCAAAATTAATTATCTGTTTAAATCTGAAAATAAAGAAAAATGTAAATACCAAGGCGCCAATTATTTAAATTATAATTTTATAATAAAATGAGTAACAAAGTAAATGTTGTTAATACAAAATTATGTTTATTTGAATTTAATTATTTCAACATGAAAGCTCTTAATGATATTTTAATTTTATATAAAAACTAAATTTTAAACATTTTATTTTTCTAAAAGGTAAACTTATTACTTTTATATGCTACAAAATGAATTACATTACAATAAAAACTAAATTTTTTAAGATTATCAACATGAGCTTCTAAATAAATATTAATTATATTTTATTATTTTTCTATATAAACTTACTTTTTATATTAATTAAAGCAAATGCAATATTATTAATTATCAAAATAAAAGTGACAATCAAGAAATGTATGATTTAATACCTAATTTTATTTTTGTTTCAATTAATATAATTTTATTCTTAATTGATTAATAAATTTAGACAAAAATGTATTCTTAAAAATTATTATTTGAATATAAATTTGAAATAATTATTTTGAAATAAATTTTAAGTAAAAGCAATTTAAATCATTTTGTTATGTCGTCTTAATTATTAGGTTAATTATTTTATTTAATTTATTTTTTCTTTAATTATTACATAACTACAAGTTTCTTGTAACTTAAGTAGCTTTTAGCTATTTGTTTCTCTTATTTTTCCTTGTAATATTAAGCTAAAAGATTCTACTGTTTGCTATAAATTCTTTGTTTTATTAATTTCCAAAGCTCTTATGAACTTTTTTAATTTCTTTAATTTAATTTCTTTATTTTTAAATAGCTTAAAAATATTTTAAAATAATTTTAAGATAGACAATATGCCAATAAAATTAATATTGAAATATTTATAAAGAAAATGGTAGCTAAAGACTCATTTTTGTAGCTTTTCTAATTTAAATAGCTCATTAAACCAAAACTCACAGATAAACCAAAGCTAATATGTACTTCTATATAATTTAATTCCTTTCTTTTGTAAGGTAAAACTGATAAAATTATTAAAAATAAATAATTATATAAATATTTTTACAAAATCAAAAAATTTACAATATAGTATTGATGTGGCATAAATAAAGCAGATCGAGCAGCAAATCGTATCTCTTAAAATGTATTACTAAAAATAAATACCTTCAACTAAAAATAATAATAATTTATAAAGAGAAGAAGCAATTTCCCACCAGTAATAATAGTAATCTTGATACATAAATCGAAGGTAGTGAGGAGCTCTTTCATTTTCAAGAAAATCCTTTTTTGTCTTCATAAAATATTGTAAAGCAAATAAGAATAGAACTTAAAAGCTTAGTAATGAGATTGATACAATAAATCCAACTTATTTAATGTTCAATGTTACGCTTGGAAAATCTTTTATATAATTTTGACCCTAAACGGTTAGATAACTTAAGACTCCTATGAATAATTTGGCTAAATAAGGGATATTGTGAATTTAGACAAAAAAGAGGGATGCAATTCTTGTTATTTTATCAGTTTTTAAGTAAAATTATGATATTATAAACATAAATAGAAAGATAAATAAAAAAATTATTAATGATATAAATATCCTTGCATGACAAAAAGGTATCTGTTAAGTATCTAATAGAAGAATAAGCTTACAATCTAATAGCTTTAGCATATTATTAGGGGCATTGAATAACTCAAATATAAATTACTATAAGAATATTGGTAGTACATTGATAAATGGATTAATTAAACTTAGTAAGACTAAATAGTTTATTAAGATTTTAATCAAGTTGAATTATTTGGTATCCTAAAAGATATTAACTTTTAAAAGGTAGAAAACTTTTTTCAATTTTTACACTTGAATTTATTTATTTATTATGTTTATTATAAATCCATAAAATAATAGATTTATGAAAAATATTATTAAACTTGGAAAATTTTTGAATCCATCACACCTAATTTTTTAAATTAAATAAATATTTGTATTTAAGATATTGTATTTTCTATTTAATATAATAATTAAAGATAAAAAAATAATATTTTCATTTTATATTTTTCAGAAAATTGATGATAAAATTAAAATGAATGATGATTGATATTATTTAAAATGGAAATCACAATATATTATTAATCGTTAATACGTTTAGCATGTATAAGGAGTTATTTATTAGTATCTGTTTTCCCAGTATATTCCTTCTATGTCACAATCCATGCAAAATACTCCAATATTTCCTTATTTTATAATTATATTAGTAATATATTAGTTTAATAGTAATTTTTTTTACCTTCACTACAATATCTATTTGTACTGCCCTATAATTTTTGAGATACTATTTTATCAATATCTCCAACACAATTTTATGATAAATAGCATTCTTAATATTCATATGTTGTTAAAGAATATCTCCAATATCCTCTTGGTAAATACATTATTGAGTTCTAACAAACAAAAGGACATTTGATACAATTTTATCCATCAACTAAATTAAATGTACCAGCGGGGCAATTATAGCACATATCCTTTTTGCTATTATCTTAGACAAGAGTTGTACCCTTAGGACATAATTTTCTGAACTAAAAATGTATTTCAAAATAAATATTCTAAGAAATATTAAGAAAATTTCCCTATAAGTCATAATTAGGGATGTAGTTAAAATCAGAAGTAAGTCTAATTTTTAGCTATGACCCCAACTTTCCATAGATGGATAAATTAGATAAATTAAATAAGCCATTATTTTATTTTATCTATGAAGGAAAAATTGAAAAATCTTCCTAGTCTGTTTCTAATTTAAGAATTATGTCATTTTTTAATTATGAAATTGGGTAATTTTCAGCATTTATAAGTTAAATTAACAAATCATCCTTTATTTTCATAATTTAATAAATTAATATATTGATTTGAAAATTATAATATATTTAAAATTTACTTTTTTTAAATAAAAAAAATAATAAATATTTATAATTATTTACTTGAATTATTCCGCTTAGAAAATTATAAATTACAATTTTAGAATTATATTTTTGACCATTTAAAATTCCAATAAATCCTACAGCAGATTATTCTAACTAGTTTCCATATAATTTTGCAAAATTATTTAACAATGTATTTTAGAATATCCTGCTAATAGGGAGGTTTTGCATTTAAAATAAAACACTACCAATAAGAGCTTAGTTATTCATAAATGACGAAAATGTTAATTAAATATTTTAAAATTTAGAATCAAGTTTATTATCAGAAGCTATAGCACCTCCATACATTTATGCTTTATTACCAGTAAATTATAAATTAGATAAATATATTAGAGTGCTCTCTATAAAAATAGATCCTCCACTTTATAAAGCTAAGTTGCCAATAAAAGAGCAGTTTAATATTGTTTGATTTGCTTAGCTAAATTATACTTAGTAGTCATTAAAATTTGTACATTCTAAAATTCTATTAGATTTTGATAAAGCTGGCATATGTAAATATAAAGAGCCTCCATTAAATGCAGTATTTTCTTAAAAAATACTTTAATCTATAAAAAGATGATTTGAATCAATAAATATATTCCCTTATTCACATAAAGCGCAATAGTTTTTTTAGAATATTAGCTTTTTAATTATAGCTGAGTTTGAATTGATTGATATTAAGCTTTTTATTTAATTATTTTGAGGATAAATAGGAAGATTAGTTAATTTATTGTTATTAAAATTATCCCATTAAATCAAAACTTTCTTAGAGTTAGAGATACTAATTAAGTTGCTATAAACTTACAATTAATTGTATTAATTTTAATCAAGAGTTAGTAAAGTGATAGATTAGAAATTCATTATTGATTGAAATGTAAGCTGAGCTAAATTTAAATTTTGAAATTATTGATTTGACTAACTTGATTAAAATATGCACTAAATAATATCAACACTATAAAAGTTTTAAAAGGTAAACAATGAGTTAGCATTACTTTGTATCATTTATGAAGAGAAATAAGGTTATAAATTTCCAGAGAGTACTTTAAAGTTGTCTGTAATTGAAACAACATTTACATACATTGTTATTTGACTAGTGGCTTTTGACTAAAAAGAATAAATATTACTTCCACCTAGAGATAAATTATCTGTAAAGTGATTATATTAACTGACAAAAAAAAATTTAAGCAGCGAATTGGAAATATAAATAGATCCTCCTTAGTATAAAGATAGATTATTTTTAAAGGTTGTATTTAAGATGAATAGTTCACCAGTAGTTTAGCTTAATGAAATATCAAAATAGATAGCTCCTCCATAGCATTCTTATTTATTCTTTAAACTAAAGCTCCAATTATCAATAAAATTAGATAATTATATATATACTTTAGTCATCAATATACTTTAAAAATAAATAGCACCTCCTTAATAAGCTAAACCACCTGAAAATGTGGTATTAAATATTTATAGCTATGGTGAAATAAGGTTTAGTATTCCACCTTTTAAAGTAGAATCTTAAAATGCAAATTTAGAATTTTAGTTTTCTTATAAAACAAAAGAAGAGTTGACTAAATTAATTTAGTTGCATCTAATTTACAAAATATTATGTGAGGGATGAACATAATAAGTTTAAATAAAGCTATTCTCTACTTATAATAAGCCTATTTCCATTTAGATTAATAAGACAGTAGATAAAAATTATTCAGTTTATAAGTATTCCTATTCGTTTTAAAAAATATAGATTTAAATGAAAAATTTAAAATATTAGTTTTGTTATTAATTTAAAATCAAATAAAATAAATGTACCTCTAATTTACTAAATTTTCTATAGACATTAATTCCTTAAAAGTTACTAATAAGAACAATTCCATCAATTTAAGATTTAATTTCTATAATATTTTATATCGGAACTTCAAAACTGATAGGTGGAATTCTTTTCAACTCGATCTCATAAAAAGTGAAATTAACTAATTTGATTTAGTATAAGGACCTGTCATTATTTTAAATTTGATTCATTATTTAATGTATGATTATCAATTATTAGTATGTAATTAGTTATCTTATCATCACATTTTGAATTACGCAAGTTAAATTTACCCTTTAAAGATCTAATATATTATATGCCGAAGACTAAGAAATTTATTACCCAACATTTAGAATATTTATATTAACATTTTAAACACTTAGAATAGTTAAGAATTTTATAGCGATTTCGTCTTCAATTATTAATTTATTTATTGTTACGTTTGTTACTGAATTAAATTAAAAGAATTTACTATTTTGTAATGTTAAATTTTGTATATTATAAGTATTATTTTTTATTTAGAAATCAGTGATGTTTAAAATTGCATTTTAACTTAAACTTAAATAAAAAATAAAAGCATGATTTGTATTCACTACATTAGACTAGAACTTAAACGAAGTGAAATTATATTGAATAATATTAGAATTTTATTAAACTGAGGATAGCTAGAATATTAGTGTATTTAAAAAAATATTATTCACAAATTGGAATTGTGAAATTTATATTTAGTCTAAATAAAATAAGCTTGGTAGCTAGTTTTATGAGCTAAAATCTGAAATTATACTATTATCTGACATTACTACTTAAGTAAATACTATTTTGTTAAAATGTTAAGAGTACATAATAATGGAGTTATAAAAGCTGCTTTTGTAGATGCTAATATTAGTTAAATTTAAAGCTGAAGATTATTATAAGACTTGAAGTGAGGCTTGAACTAAAGTTGACTGTTATTAGAATATACTTTAGCTGATAGTAAAATTATACATATTTAAAATTCCAAAAAACTAAAAGGAGAAGAATTAACTAGAAATAAAAGTGCAATTCTAGAAAATAATATTTGTTATTTAGTAAGTTTATGGGGTAGCTATCTATTAAAATTTTAAATCAATTAAATTATTATTCTTGGTAGTAATGTTAGTGAAAGAAACATTATCAATTATTAGAGTTCCATTGAAGAATTAAAAACTTAACAAAAGTAAGTTAGGAGATAAGGTTTTGGAGCTAAATGTTACATTTTGTAACTAAATTGAATATATTTCTGTATTTTAAGATAAGAAACCAAAATTTCCATTTGAGTGTTTTGATACATAATTAATGTTTTATATTTAAATTTAGCTAAATCCATATATTTATGCTACAGCTATTTACTAAACTGTAAAATAAGTTTGGTTATCTTAATTTTAGTCAGCCTTAATCGTCAGTGTCATAAATTCCAAAGAATTGATTGTACTCTTCAAGCTATTTTAAAGATTTAGAGCAAAATTCTCAATGCAAATACCACTTTAGTCAATATATTAAATAGCAAGTTCTAACTTTCTCAATTACAGCTCATTATAAAACACATAAGCTCTATTTAAATCTTCTTCATTAAGTATTAATCTGTCTATGTTTACTTAAGAAATTTTAAACAAATTATAAGGGTCTGATAATGTGCCTGATCCTAACTTCTATTCATATGTGCCACAAAATACATAAACATGAGATTTTTTTGTAAAGTAACATCCATTATCACTTTTTAAGCAAAGCTAGCATTTCATTTTTTTTTTATCATATCTTATTTCATACCTTTCAAGTTCCTAATATTAGCTTATTATCTTTTATTTACATGAGTAACACTTTGTATCATATAAATCAAAGGCTCCATTCATAAAATATTAGCTCTTATCTTCACATGTTTCACATCTAAAATTTATTTTTTTAATATTTATTAAATAATTTTTAAGGCCAA